GTGTAACACTGCATACTCCACACTAAACCTCAGGATGCCCACTTCCTCCTCCATCTAGCCCCCCCACACTAAACCTCAGGATGCCCACTTCCTCCTCCATCTAGCCCTCGATTTAACCGGCTGTAACAGATCGCCTGGCACCTCCATTTGATGGCTGCTCCTAGTGCTTCCTGAGGGCTCCAAGCAGTCAACTAGTCAACATAACCACCGCAGACTTGTTTGGGGTCTTGCCCTCTTCCACCCACTCTGGACCCAAGACCAGGATCCAGCTTCCAGTAGGTAGACCTCTCTTGTAATCCAGAGAGCAGGAACAGGAACAGCTTTTACCAGAGCTAGTGATTATACTCTGGGGAGTACAGTGATTATAGCAATCCCCAGAGTGTGGTTCTCCAATCTCCCAAACATGAGCCAAAACTTCATGAAGGGTAGAACAAGTCTCAGGCTTTTTTGGTACAGCTTTGCTTATAAACAATTCCTCAGGCCAGAGGCACACCCCCAGGACCTGATGGAACACAGGCACACAAAGGATACAAACCAATCAGAACAATACAACAATGTTCGACACTCCCACTTACAGCACACAATCCCTCCCCTCTGCCAGTGATACAATTAACAAAGACAATAGGCTAACTCAATTAACTCTAAACAGAAAAAACATACATTTTTACAAACCCCAAAAAGTGCCCCAAACTACACCATATGCCCACGATCTGGGTGAACAACATATCCAAAAATCCCCCAGATCGGTTCAGGGGTTCAGGAATTTCCTGGAAGTCTTATTTTTGCCCCACCATGCACATGGTCCCATGCCCAAAACAGTTCCACACACTCGACGACAAAAAAACGCTGGACAATTTAAGATGGCCGTCTCCACATGTTTGAATCTGTTCCAGTTAAAAGTCCAAGGGGAAGAAACAGTACTTTTGAACATGGGTTATCACAGAGCCCATAGTCCCAGGGTAGGAGGCTGGCTCATGGGCCCCTCCAAAAACCAGTGGCAAAGTGGATTTTGTCACACTGGCCATTCCCTGCCAGAGCTCAGGACTTGACACCTAAAGCTCCTGAGTGCCCCACACAGAAACAAGGCCCTGTGAAGACCGTCCTGAAGGCCCCCAAAAAAAACAGGTCACACCCCATATCCGAAAGATATACACCATCCCTCCTGTAGTACCCAGGTGGCATGCCTTACAACTCCCCATGCCTCATAGTCACTTCTCCTAGACGCCTAAAGACTGTCATCAGCTTATTGATTTTACCTTAACAGCGAGCCACTGCAGCCAGGTCCATTGCGTGTCGCTAGTGGAACCAAGGAACCATCTCGGACCACACCACCACCACACCTGGAAGCAGCTCCTGTAGCCGGTCCAGATCCCTCTTCATCCACAAGACCAACTCCGTTTTCAGGACCAGCCCCAAATCATTACCCTCAGCATGAATCAATAATACGTCAGGAGCGGTACCCGTTGCAACCCCACTAATGCCTTGCCAACCAAAACGATCTGTTCCTTGTGCAAGGCCCCTACTTGTAATGAAAAAGGTAAGGTCTCATGGGTAATGAGTGGTTTCCTAAGAGGTCAAAGGTGTTGACCTCTCCCTTAGAGGTATTTCGTGTGTAGACACAAAGTGAGCATCAATAAAGCTTTCTGCTGCTCCGGAATCTAATAGGGCTTCGCAGTTGACCTCAAGATCGTGTAACTGAATGGTGACAGAAAGAAGAAGTCTAGAAAGAGGCATAGTGGGGGACATATATATATATATAACACCTAAGGCCGGTCCCCTTCTGGAACTTAGGTGCAAGAGTTTTCCAGACGAATTGGGCACTTTACTCTCTTGCGGTCACGTGGCGTTGTGGACCGGGAGCCGTGACACAGGTGCAATGCATCCTGGGGAAACTTGCTTTGTATTGCAAAAAAAAATTTGTAAACAAAGGCATTATTTTCAATGGATTTTCATTTGTAAACCCGAAAATTATGTTAACTGAGGCGTTTGTAAACCGAGGTCCCACTGTATATGCATTCATGAGATATGAATGATTTTAATGGTTCTTTAACTCTCACTCTAGTGCAGGGGTAGGCAACCTTTTAGCAGCACTGTGCCGATATGGGATTGTGATGTCCCGTAGTTTGCCGGTCCTATTTTTTTTAAATTGAGGTATGTATGCTGCCGTATTCTGCTTGTGTTATTTTTACTGTAATTGCTTTGTATTGTTGTATTTGTGCGTATATGAGCTATTATATTGTATATGTTCATTAGTAGTTTATGGTATTGTGTATGATACATATAAATGTAGGCTGTGTATGGGGGCACCTTGTGGAATTGTGTGTGTGGATGGATATGTCACATTGTGTGTTTGGTAGTGTGTGGGGGCTGTTTGGGGTATTGCATGTGAGAGGCTGCATGTGGGGTTGTGTGCATGTATGTGGATTGTTAGTTATGTTTCGTTTGTGCGGATTGTGTGTATGTTTGTGTGTGGGCTGTCCATATTATTTGTATGAGGGGAGGGTTATTCTGCCTTTCTGTATATGTCTAGCAGTGTGGATGGCTTCCCTGGGTTCCAGTGGGGACCAGGCCAGCCAGGTACAGGTCAAGGACAGGAGCTGCAACAACAACTGCGAGCTGCTCTAATACTGTGTGGATTCCCATTCACAAGTGCTGGAATGAAGTGCTCTGAGATCACTTCCTCTACGTGCTGCAATGCATAAATTGAAGATTGTCCTTCACCACCTCTTTGTATTAGCAGATATATGAAGCCTTGAGTGCCGTGCAAAGGCACATCGAGTGCCGTGCATAAAACTAGTGCCGTAGGTTGCCTACCCCTACTCTAGTGTATTATCTTGTATGTGTAAATAAGATACTCTGGTTGCATACTAAATTACATTTTCAGTAAGGTTATCACGAGGTTTGGAAATCTCCTAAAATTTGCGAAGAATAATCCTGATACCTGGTCACAATCTTAAAAAAAAAAAATAAGTTATGCTGATGTAGCAAATAAATATCACCATAACCTGTAATGGTAGCAAAACCTTGCTCACAGGCTAGCCTCTTAACCTTAAACTATGGACCCTTTATGAGTGAAATCCCCCTCCACCCTTGAAAGATTAAACTATCCAGACCATCTGGGCATGTGTATTTAACAGGTAAAGGACACAGTAAAAACTACCATCTGGACATTGGGACATTCAGGATGAATCCCTACTGACATCTGAAGTTTTAACGCTGTGGAGGACAAACCAATGTGGACAACAAAAGGTTTACATTGTGTGGGACTGGCGCAGGTTACAATGAAGTACTGTATTTGCTGTGGTGGGACTGACAAGGATAATTGTGTGCTTGTTTTAAAGTTTAAAATACAATTCTCAAACTTTTGGTTCTCTGACCGGGTAACCCTGTTAACTGTGTACACATAGCTACACACACCTTTACCACTTAGCCATTTGCTCAGATAAGCCCAGACATACTGGTACAAGTGTGTGCCCAGCACTCTCTTTCCTACTTTGTCATTCCAGTCTCCCACAAGGTCCACACTTTTTTGCATGTTTATCGTGCCTTTATTTAACACCATATGCTGTATAAATATACTGCCTGTTGTTCAACAAACTATTATTATCTGCCCCTACACTCTGTCTTGTCTAGTGCTTGGGTACAAGGTTGGATTTATTGCTTTATCCAGTATATGGTTGATGTTTGGTAGATATCACTGATGTGCTCAAGCTGCTGGGTAGGTACCCATAAGTTACCATGTTACTGTGGTAGCTTTTTGAGGTCACTGATGGCACGGAGAAGGGACGGACATGATAGCGGTTCAAGTCTGGTGAAAAAGTCAGGAACTAGACATCCTGTTCCTGTTACAAAATGTTACTGGAGAACAACATTTTGTAAATCAAAGATTTTATGAGAGCTCCATTTGCATCAACAACAACAGGGATGTATGGAATATTATGTAGATACATTTTACAATAGACCATTCATGGGCAACAGCAACAATGGCTCCTTAGAGATGAAGCATAAGAAGCTATTTTTTGCATATTACAGGGTTGTTCACAAAAGTCTGAATTGTCAGGGATTAGATTATTTATCATTTTAGTGTGATATCCAGTTTTATACCACCTAACATAGGTAGCTGTGTAACTTGCTACAGGATTGTGCAGGTCTGAAGGGTGCAGTCCAGTAATGCAGTTGTTATGGTACCTGGAGGGTTCCTTTAAAGACTTTGCATGCGCAGATCACTTATAAAGAATTCTGTACATTGTCTTAGTACTCTTAACATAGCATGAGCACATCTGATAGACGCCAGGGACTGCGAGACAGGACCCTGAAACTGGAACTCTTCCACTGGATTAAGAACAGTTGGGAGGCCTGTAATTTTACCTAAAATTCACTGTTAATCACTGTGTGAAACAAAGTTTACCTTGCACTTAATTTAATTTAAACTAACTTGACTATATTTATTGATCCTCTTTTAAAGGCAACTTCTTACTTCTAGAATCCCAAAGGGGCACACAGAGGAGCAGGTGTTCTAGGGCCAATAACATATAAGAAACAAGCACAAGTCTGAAAAAAAAAGGAAATATAACTGATCATGTGTATATAGTTACAAGAGGTTATATTATGTTATCACATTGTTGACATTACTAAAGTATACCTTTTTAATTATATTTCATTGACTTTTCTACTTGTGTCTATAAGAATATTGTGAATTGTTAACCCTGTGGGTTCCACAGTTATGTCCAGTATTGCCAGGAATGTGTTATTTTTCATCCCCTGGTCCAATGGCTTTACTGGATACTTTACCCCTTGGCAGCCCCATCCATCCAGAGACATGATGTGGCATTCTATCATAGAATGCGATCACTCCAGGAGTTCCAAGAGAGTTCCCGCAGAGCGAGGCCACGCCCACTGCAGACCGTCCTCCGTCACCAAGTCAGGCTGAGCAGGGAGGTCAGCATTCCCGCCTCCACACAGGGTCGGATCGGCCCACCAATCAGCTGGCGGGAAGGAGGAGGGGAGTCACTCCTACCCGGACTGGATGGCAACTGCTTGCGGTGAACGACTGAGTGTGAGCAGTGACCCCAGGGGTGGTGTGGGGCTCCGGGTGTGTATGAGCAGTCTGGATTATTGTAGCTACTGATACTTTAAAAAGGGCTGGTGGGCTTGTAAAACCGGGGAGACCCATGCCTGTGGTTATACAGGGTCAGTGGGCACACAGGGGAGCCGCCCTGCACCAGTTACCAGTATAGAGCGCCTGGCATGATGCAGAGTTGGCACTGACCTCACCCTGTGAGACACAGCTGGCACTGACTGAACTGGGCACTGCAGAAGGAGATCTGCAACTGCATTAGAGGACCCATCTTTCCATACACTGTAAGTACCAGCTAAGAGCCGTGTGTAATAATCCACCCTGCCTGCTTGTCATGTCAGTTTAACGCAGTATTATCCTATCAACCAGGTTTGATTCATACTTAGCGGAGACCATCAGCTTTCATCATGCCTGGCACAGAAGGGCTACAACTCCCATCAACCCCCAGTCCGGGCACAGAAGGAACCGTGTCCCCATCATCCACTAGCTCGGGCACAGAGGATGCACAATCCCCATCGACTTCGAACTCTAGTTCTGAACTGGTTGCCAGCTTATTGACTCTGGGCAAGACATTGCTGCTGCTGTTGCCAGTATACCTTTGTGGCTACCTGGGTATGAGCATACTCTTCGTGGTCCTGGGACTGCTGTTTTACCTGGGCTGGAAGGGATCTCGTCAAAGCAAACTGAGAAGACTTAATACAGTTTTGGAAGCCTTGCAGAATGAAGAAGTTATCACTGCTAAAACCTTGTTCATGACAAAGAAAGAGTTGCCATCCTGGGTAAGCCAAGCACATAACACAACATTATTGTACGGCTGTGGTTATCAAAGCAGACCATAGGCATCACAAGTGACAGAAAGTGTTAACTCTCCCTAACTCTTGAGCTATGGGAGTCATTGTGTACTGATTAACGCCTTAAGGATAGAGGCAATTGTACAAATTCTGACCTAACCAAAACCAAAAGTTTTCTAAAAGTTCAGCTACAGGTTCAAGCACCCTTTACTCTTTCATATTAAGTGCACCCACACTTATATAGGGCTTTCATTTCACAACAAATATTTATATATGAAACATAATTTAATATGAATAAAATCTAAACTTAATTTTTCTAAGTTCTGCATGGCATTTCGACCCCCCACCCCCTCCACCATGCACAGGTTTTATGGGATTTTTGGAACGTAAAGGGTCAAATATAGGGTTTTCCTCATTTCATTTTTTACACATTGGGGAAATTTGTCACTTTGGTTTGCTGGGCCTATGTTGCCTTTGAGATCATAAGGCAACAAGGCTCATCTTCCTGTCTGCCCGCACCTCTCATGCCTCACCCTTCTGTCAGTCCCTACATTGGCTTCCTATAAAATATAGAGCTCAATTTAAAATTCTGGTTCTTGCTTTCAAATCGCTACATAATGCTGCTCCCACCCATCTATCCTCCCTTATACACAAATATGTCCCGTCTAGGCCCTTACGATCTGCTGAAGACTTACGTCTATCTTCTGTCCGTACTCCCACATCTGATGCTCGCCTTCAAGATTTCTTGAGGGCTGCACCGTTCCTGTGGAACTCGCTTCCCTCCTCCGTTAGATGCTCACCCAGTCTCCACTCCTTCAAAAAATCGTTAAAAACCCACTTCTTCATAAAAGCGTATCAATTAAACTGTTAATAGCTCCTGACTGATTCCTCTTCTGCAACTGTCACTAGTCTAATACTATCCTTACCTTTTTGTGTCATTTTACCCCACTCCCTCTAGCATGTAAGCTCATTGAGCAGGGCCCTCAACCCCTCTGTTCCTGTGTGTCCAACTTGCCTGGTTACAACTACATGTCTGTTCGTCCACCCATTGTAAAGCGCTGCGGAACTTGATGGCGCTATATAAATATCATAATAATAATCATATGGCATCCGAGGAATAAGAATTACCCCATCATCATATCATTTCCAAAAGTTTAAAGCTTTAGGTATTCAAATGAGTTATGTCCTGTATTTGTTAGTAGCCACTTAGTCACAGACCCTGACGAAAGTTAGTGTTAATATTGGATTTTTTTGCATTTTTTACACACAAACTGCCATTTCACTAATCACATTGTCATTATACATTTTATTTATTTTAGATATTTCACTGCAATAAAATATACATGTTTTGTGTTTAGTGATGCCTCACGAGTATACCAGTGCCCTCATGTACAGGTTTTATGGTGTTTTGGAAAGTTACATGGCCAAATATAGGGCTTGCAAATTAAATTATCTGAACTTTCTGCCAAATGTGCTTAATTGTGCACCTACCACCTATGTGCAAATATCTCTCACCTTTACACAAGCTTATAAAATTTGTAAAACCTAACTGTGTGTTATATAGACCCACCTTAGTCAAAAGTGGAGCGCTGTAGGCTAAAAATGACTCACCTTAAATTATATATAAAGGGCTCTGTAGCCTAAAAAAGTAAACACACATATAGTGCAATATTGCCAATATTTTTGTCAAAATGGTGCTTTTATTGAACACTCACATTTAACAGAGCCTAACAAGGACAGGCTCTGATCTCATAGACTGATGTGTACTTCAGTCACACTGCCCATCTTCAGCTGTATCTTGCCAAACTTTCTAAAGCTAGAAATGGAGACAAACTCCTAGTGCAATATGCTAGTTCAATATAGGGCAAAAATAAAAAGTATTGTAAACTGCTCACCTTTTATAGAGCCTGTAGTACTTGGCTCTTAGTGTATGGGCTCTTGTCTATAAAAAGGACACAAACCCTTCTTAAGAGGCTGGACCAATATAGCAGATGGAATCCACATTTTACTATTAATTAAGTCATATAAAAAATAAAACACTTAACATAAATTAAAATAAACCAAAATGAAAAATCTTCCAGCAGTCTTCTCAGAGATGCGTTTTGCAGAAAATCTGCTTTCTCAGTCGGTGTAATAATCCATCTGTCCAGCTTCCTATTTAAAACCCCATGGGAGACCTCATTGTTCTGTTAATCTGCCATTGGTGGACGCCAATATTACGTAAATGTTTGTTATTTTCCCATAATAATGTTGCTTTGCTCATTATATGTTGGGGGATCTGTCTGACAGTCAATGATGTAATCCTTCCTATCCAGTTACGTGATCACAGTGTCATCACGATCACATGACGCAAATGGGTAGGATTTGCTACACGGGACTGCTTCGTTTGTCAGGCAGTCCTCCCAATCAGATCCAGCATGTGAGTAAATAGTAACGCCCTAACAGCGTTAGTTCTCCATATGAAGGATGACATTGCACACCCTAACGTTGTTAAAGAGTTAACCTTTCATGGCAAATCTTTGGAACACTAGCTAACAAGTTGTTTTTCAGTTTTTGATTGTCATATGGTACTCCACAACAACTGGAGATTTTAGCTGTCACTGCACTAGGGGCTGTATACATTCACTACTGTATCTTAAATATGTTCAGGAGTTTCACTCTCTCATTGTCTATCACAAAGGTGATCAGTCTTTCATTAGAAACATTTTATCTTGTAATGAAAACCAAATTGCAATAATCTTTTTTTAAAAACCTCATTTACGATTAACAGAACATTTCTGTAGTCCTGTGGCACACCCTTTAAAATTTTCTTAAAGGATTACTATAGCATTAAGAATGCAAATCTGTATTCCTAAAACTATAGTGTCCCTTTGCCCAGCTCTAAATAGGGGTGTCTCCCCCCAAATTATTTTTTTACTTCCCTTATACAAACACCAAGGCTCCCACAACACTGCTTACATCTCCTCCGCCCCCGACGTCACGGACGAGGCCTGCCTCCTGCATGAGTTTCCAATCCATTGCTCCATGCGTGGTGAGTGCATTCAAAATTCCCCATAAGAATGCATTGAGTCAAATTGTACAGCGCTACGGAATCTGATGGCGCTATATAAATAATAAAATAATAAAATGAAGTAAAACAACCAAAAAACAATGTCCAAACTTGGCGAAGCTCTACGATTGCCATCTTATCCTTTTCCTTATTTTAGTCATAGATATTCTTCTATTTACATATTTGTTTTTGATTAACCTCTTAAGAACGGCTGGCCAAAATTAGCGTTAAAATTAGTTTTTGTTTTTTTTTCAATATTCACACACAAACAAATATGAACACTAACATTGGCCAGTGTTTGTGACTAAGTGGCTACTAAAAAAGACTGGACATACCCCATTTGTAATCCCTTGGGTTGTCTACTTTTGCAAATGGTATGCCCTCGTGGGGGTAATTCTCATTCATGCGCTACCATTTGATCTCAAAGGCAACATCTTTGCAAATTTCAATGTGTTGTAAACTGAAAAATGTAACGTGCTATATTTGACCCTGTAACTCTCCAAAACACCAAAAAACCTGAACATTTGTGAGACATTGCCGAATACAAATGTGTATTTTATTGCAGTAATAGATAACAGTATTATGCTATTCACAGTTATAATGCCATGCAGAACTAAAAAAAAAAAAAAAAAATTTCTTAATTTCTCACATTTTTTAAATTTTTTATTAATATTAAGTTATGTTTCATATATAAATATTTAATATGATATGAAAGCCCTGTTTCTCCTGAACAAAATGATGTATAATAAGTGTGTGTGCATTTAATATGAAAGAGGTGAATTCTGGTTGAACAGACATATAGCACAAATTCAAAGTTTTGTTTACATTTTGTTTTGATCACAACTTGTACAACTGCTTCAGTCCTTTTACTGTTGAAAAGTTTGACAATAATATTAGAATATCACATAGACATTTTTAGTTTTGACAAATTATATAAAATACAAAATTCTGAGCTATGTTACAGAGTCATTTTGGTAATTTTAAAATATTCCAGTTCTTTTTAAACCCAACCTACATTTATAGTACAAATCTTGTGGTTTGCTACACGTCAGATCTCATATTTTCTATAATACAATATAAAGTTATGTAACTGGTAAGGATTATCTTTTTAATAAATTGCAAATGTGAACCATAATGGGAATCAAACCTATGAACCACAACATCTCAATTATATAAAACCAAGCACTGAGCTATATCACCATCTTTGCTACTGTTTAGACATCTGCACACAGACCATTTTATAGCCTTTTTCACATCTTATCTGACTGCATTTTGTAAACAACCACTATCACTATATTTATAGAAATAAATTATGTAAATGATACCCCCACTAAGGTGCTAATCTCTGTGCAAAACACAGAATTAGACCAAGCTTTCATACTGCATGAAATTCTCCCATATTATAGTGTTTATTTATGCAATTAATTAACTTTTCTTCTATATGAACATGTTAATGGTAACACACACTAAAAGGAACACTCCCGAGGACCATCAACGCTAAACCCTTTGCAGTGGTTACGATGCTAGCAAGCTCATGGTGGCTGTGTCATTTGGTAGCACCAAAATGGCTTCCCCAATTTGGTGCTGAAGGGGCCTGCTGTGATTTGATGTGGCCAAATTGTCTTGAGCCAGCATCATGAAATTTGAATTCCTTCATGTGATGTTGCAATTTAAAGGAGTGGATGGCATTAGATGCTGTGAAGTACAATGTATTTCACTTAATTATTTCAAAATAGCTTGACCCCATAACTTATTTACATCATAAGCTCTAACGGCACCCTGTGTTTGTTACTTTATGCCTATATTTTTCTTTTCTTTCTTTCTTATTTTTCTTTTTTGTTCTTTTTTCCGTGTTTTTTTTTTTTTTTTTTCATGGGTAATCAATCCAGCCATTAGTGCTTCCATTTGCTTTCTCAGACTTACTGAAGGACAGGGTGACCAATTTGAACCTGGAATAGGTATTAACTTAGTAAGGCATTTAAATATTAAAGAGGTATTTTGGGATTTAGTGCAGCAAGTATGCGTTTTATAAAGCACCATACAAAACTATTCTTATTTATTCATTCCTTCTTCTTTTTTTTTCTTGATGAGAGATGCGTGTCTGTTGCCAGGGTCCACATTTAGTCTTTCATTCAAAAGGAAGCACTGATACCTGATGTAATCAAGTTAGCTCTATTTTTCCTATAACCCCCTGGGCATAGTTTTCTCATGGGAAAGAATGTACCTACTTCCCACTCACAATATCAATAGGAGAGGAAAAAAACCTTGCACATTTAGTTTATGAACAACTGGCCCCGTCATTCATTGCTCTAAATAATTAATGTGCATGCATCATCAATTTGTACTTTCATTTGAATTTTGTATCTAGAGTAATAAATGGTAAATTTGCATTATATAAAATTGTCTATTGCTTCTAATTACCAAATATTTAATTCACCATAGAAGACCATTGTATATAATAACCAGAAGCTATATTTTCTTATAGGTTACGTTTTAAATAGAGAAGTGACGTGAGATCTGATTTTGTTAAATACACCCTGTAATCCTCTTTATCTAATGACTGCCTGAAATGTATCATGCAGGCCTGATTCTCCAGTAATCTTTAAAGGGAAAACCATTTTATATAGCGCAGGAGTGCCCAAAAGGTAGATCCTTAGATGTTTTCAAACTACAACTCCCATGATTCTTTGCATGCGTTTAGAATGACAAATCATCATGGAAGCTGTAGTTTGAAAACATCTCAGGATCTATTGTGGCATATATATATATATATATATATATATATATATATATATATTTTTTTTTTTTATTTTTTTTTTATTAAGTCTGCCTTTATGAATAGTGTATTATGTTATATGTGATCATTTATACATATGGTACTTGTAAGAAAAAAAAATTTCAGTGCTGAAGACACTCGTATATGATAAACCAGAATGCCATGGACTTCAGTTTAGAGATGTCTGTTTTAACCTTGACCCTTTTGCAGCGCTGGGGGAGCCCCAAATGAATGACACCACACACACACCTGAAAGGTTCATAAAGTACTGCCCAATGTTTTAATGCGTAGCAACATTATAAAGTGTATTCATGTCTAGGGGCGCGATGTAACTTTATACCAATTAAAAGTTAACACAATTTCAAAGTACTACATTTTGGGGGCCATATCATATATCCAGCCTATCATTACCTAACTGGCATTACTTTATATCTGTTAGAACCGCGTGATTTCTTAGTTATTTGCTACATAGCCAAAAATACATTTGCTGGAAAAAAAACTAATTATGTCCTTGAAATTTTACAGCCAGTTAGTGAAGCATAAAACATAGAAAGGGACTATCGCCTAAACATGGTTATATCAATAGATTTTAAAAAAATCAATTCCATCAGTATTCATTCTGCTATTACAGTATATAGATTAATTTAGTTTTTTTTTTTGGCAGGTTACAATTGGATTCCTATATAACCATATTGTTAATTATATTTGGAGGGATTAAGAAATGTATTATTTGTATCATAAGCCTAATACATAAAACTTATTATTATTTTTTTATTATTAGTATTTTTACAATTGGGTACAGTCCTTATAGATAGTGTTACAGAGGGGACATTTTGTATATCTGTGTACAATAAAAATGTTGTTTTTTTTGTTTGTTTACCATTTATCACACTTCCCATCCCCCTTTCACCAGTTTTAGTGAAGTGGTTTTAACACAGTGCCCAGAAACAACACTGTTATCAGGTAAACATTTCCACTGGTTGTCAAGCATATTCTAGAAGGGGGAAGGAAGATCCAAACTAACACTAGATAAATAGCTACTAAAAACGGTAAACATAGAAAACCCAGACTCTTCATGCAAAGTTTTACAGATTATGCTTCAAAAAGTGTATTAAAAATAGAAGACAATTGGATGATGTGGATTTCATGCATTTATAAAGAAGAACTTACAGGCATAAAACGTTCTGGAATATATAGATATATATTAATATCTGATAACTGCTTAAGTACAAGTGTACATTCATATATGTGTCTAATGTAATATAGCATGTTTGAGATGGCTGTTTTTTTACTGTTAAAGAACAGGGTTAATGATAATTATAGCTTAGGGTCAAAGTTAGACAAGATGAGGATAAAGTGGGTTCTTATGATTAGAGGGTTTAGAGTTAGAGATGGGTCAATGTTCGAATTAACCCCTTAAGGACACGACATGTGTGACATGTCATGATTCCCTTTTATTCCAGAAGTTTGGTCCCTAAGGGGTTAAATTAGGCAGAATGTCTAGTGCTAGAATATTTAGAAGAGTCCCACGGCCGCTGCTCCTGAAACTGAGCTAAGCCTAATCAAGCAGGGCCAAGCTCATTGGCTGTAAGTGCTTATCTGACTCTTTCAGCCAGTGAATTAAGCCCTGCTTGACAGAGTTTAGCTCAGTGGAGCTTACAGAAGCTCCTTGCAGGAGCTTCCAGTACAAGGGGATGTGGCGACATGGGCTAGCGGCACCAAGGTAAGTTGTCAGACTGTTGAGATATGATAAGTGACAAACTGGGGCATAGATTGGATGAGGAGTGATCTTTAATAAGTGATATGGCAAAGGTTTTCTGTGGCACATCTTTTCACATTACTTGCATTCAGAAAACGATCAAGTTAGTTGGCCTAAAATCTACTGTTTTGAGCTAGAGTCTAGACTGACACATAAGTAAATCTCCTGGGATAGTTGACGGAATAAATGGACATTCTCAGAGCACTGCATCATAGGAAATCATGGCAAGATGTAATATGAGTAAGAAGGGTTTCCAACTTGCAGCCTATTTTGGGATAAAATTCACTCTCTTCCTTATACGTTATGCTCCCTCCTCTGCTGCAGTGATGCAGTTCCATCAGCATTCATTCAATCCTACCAACTGGCAGAATTAAAAATAAAAATAGTGTTTCCTGTCCTGTTCATGTGTAAGAAACGCTATCACTAAGCAGTGAGATATGACTGTGAAGCAGTTTTATTATCCATTATATTAATTCTGCAAAGGCCCTGCATGTAACAGGAAATTGTTACTCACAACCACAGATTAAAAAAAAAAGAGATCTACATCATTTCTTCTTTTTATTTCTGCCTCTTTTTTTTTGGCACAGTGCCGTTCTAGAAATGGCATTCTTCTTCATTACACATTAGTTGTAATGGTTTTTAAGAAATAATAATTATGCACAGATACATAATTGTAGACAAAACAAAGTTGTTGTTTTTTGTTTTTATTTATATATATATAGGGCATATTGATCCCTTGGGATTTTAGATCTGTGCTCTTGAGTGTATATCTAACATTTGTTTACAGCACGTTTATACAAAGTGTCTAGGACGATTCCTTTATTTGGAAATAGAGATTTACATGTTAGGACCATGCTTAGACCTACTATAAGGCATTCTGTAAATAAGGAGATATATAGTAAATCTAGGCCTTTTTTGCTTTATTTAAAATTTTGAGCCAGCAACTTCAAATCTCCACCCCCATGCCTCTTTCACAGCTGTTCCAGCTCACAGGATGACTGTGCAGAGAGAGATGCAGACCAAACAAGGCTGCAGTATGTTCTGAGTGGGTGTGAGGAAAATGTTCGCAAACGTCCGCTAAAAACTTCTCATATTGCCATTTTTTGTTTATTAGAAATTGTTATACCACTGCAATCTTTAATAAGGCATTTGGAATAAATATAAACAATGCTAGTCAAGTTTGTATGGTTAGTTTGTAATTGTGTGCCTTTCATAGGTTGTAATCAATAAAGATTTTAAGCCTGTAACACAGTAACAACAAATACTTTTGAGTCAGAGACTGAGTGCCCATTGTTGTAAAGCATTTAAATCAAGTAAGCAATCTGAGTGTCCAGCTTCACCTTGTCTTATGTTATCCTATTCTCTCCATATGATTTTTCCTTCGTTATATCAATAACCCTAAATCTCTGTATTAAACTCCTAAACTCTATCTCGGTTAACAATCCATGCTTTCTCTGTTTCTACTCTTCCTTCTCAGTGTTCTCTTTACCTTTAACTTCCATTCCCCTCTCATTATCTGGGATTCTGATCAGCAATTAGTGAAGAACAGTTCAAAATAGTTTAAATAAAAACATGGCTGTGACACTGACAATTTTTCGATTGCTAGTTTAACATTTTACATTTATTTATTTATAAAATATTATACCAGGAAGGATATATTGAGATTTCAAGCATGTCCTGGGTTCACAAAACATTTCATTGATACATCAGGGTACAATAAAATACAAAAACAATATTCACTTTTAATAACACAAACTCACACCTTAGAGAATAACCTTGTATTTGTCTTCACAGCTTTTGTGTTATCAGACACTAACTCATGTCTCTTCTTATTTTACCAGTCTTTTTTACAGTCCCTGCTGTCATTTTTTTTTTTGCTGCTTTGTAGTTTGTAGAGTTCCAAGCTCTGGTGCAGTGTATCCCTGTACACACACGTTCACCAACAACATCCTCGTCTAACTGAGCTCACTCCTTCTCCATCTCAGTTCTATTCTGCATCCTCTATTCCAGCCAACCTCTATCAACCTACTCATTGGCAATATAATTTTGGTTCAGTTAAAGGAACACTCCAGGCACCAAAATAACTTAATCTAAATTAAGTTGTTATAGTGCCATTCTAACCTCAAAGGGTTAAACAGTTTGCCTAAACTGTCCCTTTAATGCTGACCATCTGTCCCATCCCATCCAACAAAATTAGGATTAGTAGGAGGAAGCAGACAAATGGTGTAGATTTAGCAAATAACATCAGCTGTTTTATTTCATTTTAATATTGTAAGGGCTTATTCTATGCACAGTAAACACTTCAGCAAGTTGTAATGTTTATGCTGCCTGGAGTCCCATGGCATCATTCTACAGCATATAGTCAAAATGTTTTCAAGCAGTTTGCGACTTACCTAGTTTCCTTGGGCATGCTGTGGTGGTTATGGTGCCTTTAGTGTCTGCTAAACACTGACACACTAGAAATAAAATTATTTCTTAGTTCCTTAATGCAACTGCCAATATTGGATTGAATGTGAATATCCAAGGACAGTAAGACATGGAAAATGTCATGCAGAAAAATTATCAGTCTCATTTATATAGTGACCAACGTATGTAATGTTTAAACCTTCATTATAACATAACGTATTCAGTTATTGGTCACCAACACCACCTGTGTGAAAACGCATTGACCCACTTATTTAAAGCTTTAATTGTATACAGCTGTTGAAATGTATGTGCATGGGAAAAAAATTGGTTTGGCATCAGTTTGAAATTTTTCGAATTTCATTAATTTTCAAAATTTGGATGCCCATTTAATACTTTTAGGGAATGAATGAATGAAGGCAGTCACAAAATTACAAAGTACCAATTTAGAGAGTTATCTGCTAAATTGCTGGAAGATCAGAATTAAGAAAAGCCCTTTTCTTAACTCCTTAAGGACACATGACGGAAATATTCTGTCATGATTCCCTTTTATTTCAGAAGTTGTATCCTTAAGGGGTTAAAGAATTATTCCAACCACCATGACCACTTCAGTGATTTGAAGCTTGAAACATTGCACACACCCATTGTACAGCACTACAGAATTTGCTGGCGCTATATAAATAATATAATAATAATAATAATAATAATAATATAGAGAAAAACACTTCTGTGCTGGGGCTAGATGCACCCCTAGTACAAAATTAAAATTCTGTGCAGAAATGACATCTGGTGTGATTCATCTTATCCTTTGAAGTCAATGCCTGCAAGGGGAAGCATTTGTCTACCCTCCATACCTCCTATACTCCTTCATTGAATCCCTCCCACTTCCATGTATACCCCTTTTTTTTTTTTTGCTCTTTCAGTTATTTAGTAGATATCTCCCTAAATTGCTATTCTTCTCAAAAAGAATGGCTTAGAAGATCTGTAGTTTTTTGGTTTTGTTTTCCATCAATTTGGAAATTCAAGTGCTTTAGAGTTTGGATGAAATTCGATTCGGGGTGAAACAAATTGCACATGTCTAGCTGCTAATGCTTTGTAAGCAAGACATTCTATACCAGCATAAGGTTTTCGGGAATCACAGTGATGGTAGTGCTAAATATCTTTGTACCTTAAGGACTTGAAAACCACACATAAATGTCATGCTCTGTCTATTAAACACTGGTTATATGTATGTATGCTTTACTTAAAAGTAAAAAGCTGTGTGGTGTCAGGTGCTGCGGACCCGGACACTGTTCTTGTTACTACATTATGTCACATCTCAATGCATACAGAAGACAATGCCTCTAGGGCAAGTTGACCTGGCAGCAAACAGATGGTATATTAACCCTTCTTGAGCTTGCAAATCAGCTACCTTACACATTTCTAACTGTAGTCATACACAGGTCAAACGTGAGTTTGCATCATATTTTTAGGTAAATGCTTTGTATTTTTTTTTTTTTTTGTATGATACTAAAATACCAACTTGATCAGAGGCACTGAATGTCAGTACTGCACAGTGTGCAGCACTGCCCCAGGAAGCACCTCTTGTAGCCATCTGAAGAGTAGCCAGTTCAGTTATCACTAGGCTATAATGTAAACACTGCATTTTCTGTGAAAAGACAGTGTTTTCTGCAAAAAGCGTGAAGGAAATTATTATAGTCACCAGAACAAATGCAATTAGCTGAAGTTGTTTTGGTGACTATAGTGTCCCTTTAAATCCACCTTTAGTCACTGTCCGGCACTTCCGCTGCACTAACTGAGGAAAAACTGGTTTTAAACCTAATGCTTTAGTGTTTTTTTACTATTACACTTTGCAGTTTCAACACTTATGTGCATTTTCCTAAATACCACCCATTCCATGATTGTGCAAATCATAGTATTTTTTCACGCTCATCTTCCTTTGTGTTTTTATAATATACACTCTATACACAATATACACTCCAGCATATATAACAAAACTCCAAAATGGAAAAAAAGAAATGGTGCAGCATCCTCTGGTATTCTAAAGATTTCACAAAAAATATCACTTTGTTTCTATGGACCTTCAAGAGAGCCGTAACCATCCTGTTTCTTCACACCTCACTACTCGTATACATACCAGGAGTCAGGATAGGTATAGTTCCCTGAAAGGAACTGTGCTGTTTGGGGAGAAAATACGGGTTTGCCAAGCATCACAAGCTCTACCCATCATCCACCGATGTGATAATGCAGTTCTGCGTTGTCAGTCAGTTAGCCCAGTGCTTTCAGCCTATTACTGCCATCCAAGCTTTGTTGGATTTTGATGCTTAATGCATAAATGAAATATCTGCAATATCTGACTGGAAGCAGAGGGGCTGGGCTTTGGAGTTCTAAAGAGCTGAGATTTTTGCTAAACCTGCTCGAAAAATACTTGACTTAAAAGGGACAGCACCCAAAGACTTCTTGGATCATAGCCACCATAATAAGCTGTAGAGATTCTGGTGCATTGCTGTTATAAACTATTTGCAATGATTACATTGATTTATTAATCAACGGAACACTCCAAATACGATTACCACTGCACTACAGTGGTTATGGGGCAAGGAGTGCCTGCCCATCCTCCTTCTCTTCCTTATTGTATTCTGTGTTAGAATGGGATGACCTTGCACCTTGGGTACTTTGGCATCACTCCCTGCCTCATTTCGGCCCTTAGGAGTAGGCTTAGTTTAGGCAGGCTCTTTCCAGCAGGCCTCTAGGCTTCAGTGAAGGCAGGGATAATGTGATAATATGTGAACTGAAAGTGAAAACTGAATTGCAAAATTCAGGCAAATCTAGTCAAGCTGATAAGATAGATGTGTTTAACAATAATTTGCCCCAAAATACGCAGTTTGTTTTTCAAATTATTAAGATTCTGTGTCTAGGGAATAAGCCTCATTTTCTGTTCTGAGGTTTGTATTGCAAAGTTTAAAGTATCGAGTATCCTATTCACATACAACCATTGCACTGCCTCCGGCCTTGCTAAAACAGAAGAATGACATCATCTCTGCATGCATTGCTGTATTTGTTACTGATTGCATTTGAACAGAGACACTGCAATGCAGAATAACAGCATTGATCTAGCAATATTACATATACAAACATGTAATTGCCCCAGGGAAGTTTATAATCATCCTAAGTTGGTAATCATACTACGTTAGTGTGGATTTGTGCAAATGCCTGCCTTATTGCTGCACTGAATACCGAGAACATATATATCTCCTGATGTTGTAGAACAGGTTTAAAGTGGTTATTCCTGCTGTTTAGCCTAAAGAGAAATATTTTTATTTTACTGCCCTTTTATATTTAGACTTAGCGTTTTGGGATTGCTAAAAGCTACAAATAGAAAGTCTTTTTATTTTTTCATGAGAAAAAAAACCCCTATCTGTGTTTTTACTCATGACAATTTGTGTGCGCATATATAGGAAATAGCAGCCTGTACTTTGTTATTTTGTATTTAATTTACCTACAGAGGAATTAAGCAGACCTTTGGCATGTTTAAAATCCTAGTGGTCACTGAACCCAGCTGTAACGAAACCGGTGCTTTAGATCTCTTTATTCTTTTCTCACTCATGGAAGTCTTTTGTTTTATGTTAACCACATCAGCTTGCTAATGCCATTAAATTATAATATGTGTTGAAAGAGTAAGTAGTGTTAATTGAAAAATTAGCATTCAAAAGTAAAAAAATAAATAAAAAAAATAATAAAATAAATATATATATATATATATATATATATATATATATATATATATATATATATATATATGTATGTATGTATGTGTGCGTAGTGCACTATTAGTGTAATCTTTTGTTTCATATGTAAACTGTACTACAGAAAAGTGACTAAATAACTTGTGATTGGGGTGTTCCTTTTTTTCACTTCCTGACTTTGCACAGATCTATTTCAATGCCTTTTTGATATAGTGCCAGAAGTAATATTATAAGCATTTATATAAAGTAAATATATTCTACAGCCTTAACAATTTTTTTTTTTATTTTTTTTTAAGAAATAAAAATTCTTTATTTTTGTCACACTGCATGTGTGATATTCAGTATATAGTGAACAGTAAGACAAAGTACATGCAGTATGAATTTTGTGGTGTAATTACATTAAGTGAGCGAGAAGTGTATAACAACCAGTGCGCCCTGTGTGGATGTCATACGGGTGACAATTGTCAGGGGGAGTTATAACCCCAGAGAACTAAGTGTGTTAGTTAGTGCCTCCAACCATTGACCAGCCTGCGGGGGGGGGGGAGGAGAAAGGTAAGTAAAGATCAGTCAAGAGTAGCTGATCGGCATATAGATGCGTTGGGTGTGTGTCGCATAGTGTTAAGGCTGTCTGCGTATAGTGTGTCTCTGTGCTCATTTTGGTTGCATATTAGTGTGAAAAACGAGATGTCATACTAATAAACATTAAAGGGAAAGTAAGAAAAAAAGAGAGGAAACATAAAACTGCAAAACAAGGCAATTGTGATGGTATTGTGAGCAATAACCGTGGATATAAGAGTCCCCTTTAGAAGACCAGCCTCCAGTTCCTCAGGTAGGTGGTCTGGCAGTCGAGGCTCACTGAGGTGCTCTTGGAGTGAATTCCGGAATGGTGGCCGGGTTAGCTGGGACAGGCCTGTTCCAGATGACGGGTAGGGTTGCAGTATGCCCGCAGTCTTGAGGTGCGACTCCAGCTCTTGAGAGCCCTGTGATCTGTATAATGTCCTGTTATGCCTAAACAATATGGCTTGCGATGTCCCCCATCTCTAGGGAATCGCTCTTGTGCGGAGATGTTGCAGGAGAGGCTACATTGACTTTTGCCAGGTTAAGGTGCACTTGGTGAGGTCTGGGAATATTGTTAGCGAGGAAGAGCAGGGAAGTTTTCCCTTGCTGGGCAGCCAGAAGCGAGGCTTTATCTGATAGGGCTTGGAATCTAATGATGAGATCTGCAATTGCCGACTCCGGTGCCCTAGCTGGCTTTGGCAGTCGCATGGATTTCACCTGTTTAGGCAGTAGCAAGACTCCGAGGAGGCGCCTGATGTAGTGGGGTAGGTCAGCAAGTGCCCCGGACCTTCAGATTATAGCATCGGATTTGATCCTCCACTGCGTCCTGTTTAGCTGAAGTGGTGATCTGCAGTTGTGCCAGGTCTGCCACCTGTTGTTCCACTTTGGTAAGTCTGGAATCATGGGAGCTTGTACATGCTTCCAGCTGAGTGAGCTTTGAAGTGGCCCATTCAATAACGCTTTTGTAGTAGGCCATATCTGCCGCCAAGTCTTTACGGAGATCCACCAGCATCTTTTTAAGTTGATCCGCAGTGACCGGGTCCACTGTTTTCTGTGGTACTTTTCTGCGGTCTGAAATGGGCCCGAAGAATGCTCCTTCCGTGAGGTCAGTGTCAAACTCCTCCGAGGAATATGAAGAGAGGTTGTTATCCAACGCCATTTTGGACCATGCGGCCTGCTGCATGTTCCGCAGCATTTCTCTGATATCCCTGCCGCTGGAGCCCTTGTCGGCTTTCACTTTTTTTGTTTTGTGGCCCATGGTCTTTCCGCCGATGGTAGGAAGGGTTGTGGGGTCGTTTAGGCTCAAATTCCATCATATATTGTCGCGTTTGGGTAAGTAAGAGCCGGTGCTCAGAAAAATGTGTCTGCTCCAGTGCTGTGCTAGCTCCGCCCCCCAGCCCTTAACAATTTTAATGTGCGTTTAAGATGGCTAAATAAGAAACAAGAGGGGCTGGAGGAGAGAAACAGAAGAGACTCAAAGAGATGACAATGGATATGTTCATAAAAATAGTTGCCGAGGTGGCGTGGCTGACCGAGTAACTGGAAAGACGTATGCTGCTGGAGCTCCGGCTGGAAGAAGACTAAAACTCGACAACTCACGGCGAATAACTGGCCGTCGACCTCCAGCAGAGCTGCCCCAACCAGAAGACATAGTGGGCAAGAAAAATAAAAGGTTCCGGATGCCCAAGGGTCCTAGACTGCCTGACATACGCCTCTCATTTGAGAGGCCTACTATACGTGAGCCACCTAAAATGGTGCCGGCAGTGCAACCAGAGGCGGAGGACACGGAGGAATCACAAGAGGAGGCAGAATCCCGCACCTCACACCCCAGCGAAGCCGACCGCTATTCAGAGTCTGAAGATGATTTGACACCCTCCACAAGAGGGGTTATCAAAAGGTTGCTCCAAGACCTCCGCAAAGTGTGGAAGAAGGATCTCCATGAGGCACAACAGGAGATAAGTGTTGTGACTCAGAGGGTAACAAGGGTGGAGGAGACAAAAGGTTACAGAAACTAAATGAACAGAGCTTACTCTAAAAGTCAAACAAATGCATAGAACCATGGCATCCATGGAATCAAGGCACAGACGGGTGGGCAGAGCTCCTACCATGTGCCCAGAGACTCTTCATATTCATGGTCCTTAAAAACGGAAATGACCCATCCATGCTCAGGGCGGCTTTCCGCATCCGAAAGACCGCTACGGCACTGACTGACGTACTGAGAGATGCCATAATTATGACAAAGGACATAGCGGTTCACATCGCAATCATGGCACGCTCACTGGAGATGGGCATAGTCAAGTTTGAGACCAGTGTGGTAACAATATATGGTGACATATCATTTGCAGTGCTGGTGGAGAAACGTAAACTGGCACCAGTCGCCAAACAGCTCAGGGACCGAGAGGTGCGCTATAGATGGAGTACAAATGGAGCCTTATTAGTCCCAAGTAGAGACCAACTATACACACTCACGTCAGAACAAGACCCGCGCACACTCTCTAGGACAAACTGAGGGTCAATCCCAAAACCCCAAGCATAACAGCTGACACTACCCTGAATGACAAGCTGATAAAAATGGGGAACCTGGGAGGAAGCGCCCCACAGAAGCTACCTAAGCTAAGCTTGAGACCCTGACTGGGAGGAGGTAGACATTACCCGCCCGAGCCCAACCTCAAAGCAGAGGTCGATATTGTGTTTAGCCATGGACTTTACGACCTGACTCTTGCCACAAAAGCCCCTAGCTGATTGTGTCTGCTCCTAATCACTATAGCCCACTGCACCACTTCAGTTAAAGTTGCCACCCCAGGACACAACTAGCAACCCCACACCATAATGTATTGTTTGTCACAATGCTATGCCCACAATGTTGTTGTTATTATTTATGTTCTGCTGACATACATGTTTCATGTCTGCCGGACGGTGAATCGCACGGCTTGACTAATTTCTTAACCAGTTACTGACCTGCAATATACGTGTGTGTGTGTATAAAGCTAATACAATCCAAAAATAAATAAGAAACAAATCCTAACAAATGTTAACATGAGATTCTCGAAGACCCTGCTGAAAATAGCTTACAGTCTTGTTTCCTTACTTTAAGTGTGTGTTTTGGGGTGAAGGTTGATTTATTTACAAAGAGCTTGTGTGGTTTCCCAGAAGTGGCTCATTCCATTGGTTTCCATGGTTACTGCTCCATTATTTAATTGTGCACCAGAATAGTTTTATACCCATAGCGTGACTGACCCATACCAGCTGGAAAAGACCCCCCAGGAGTGGTAGCAAAAGTACACAATACAACAAACTGCTCATGCACATTATAACACAGCCCACATACCCACAAATACAACCCTACAAACACCCATCCATAACACAAGCAGCATATGGAAAAATACACATGCTAAGAGGTTACTTACCCCTGTTTTATTATTTAAAGCAATGTAACAAATGCTAGTACACTGCTATTTCATTCTTCCGGTTAAAACAAATGCTTTACTAAATTATAAGTAAGCCTCTGTGTGGTATCACTGGTACTGTCCAAATGGAGGCTGGACATGAGACTGAGAGTTTCTTGTGACTATCTTTCCACCTATCATAGCAAAAGGTTCTTTAGAGTATTACAATAATTAGTGTCACTTCTCTGCATCAAAACTACACCCTGTTCCAAATTATTATGCACATTATATTTTTCTCATTTACCTAAATAATTTATGTAAATAACAGTCAGCATAATTCTCATGTTATAAACTATTAAGAGTACAATTCAAATTTTATTGAACAAACCTCCTAATGATAACAGTATTTTTTTTTTTAAACATAAACAACTTACAATGCACTGTTCCAAATTATTACGCACAGTAAGTTTCAAAACACTTTATAGGTTATAAAGAACTGAAAATTGTCATTTGTTGTGTTTGCAGCATATTTACTGAAATCAAAAGCTATTTCAATCAAACTTATAACAACATTTTAACAGGTCACGTTACATTTTAACATAGGACCCCTTATTTGATAACAGCTTCACAAGTCTTGCATCCATTGAACTTGTGAGTTTTTGGACAGTTTCTGCTTGAATGTTTGCAAGATGTCAGAATAGCCTCCCAGAGCTGCTGTTTGGATGTAAACTGCCTCCCACCCTCATAGATCTTTTGCTTGAGGATGCTCCAAAGGTTCTCAATAGGATTGAGGTCAGGGGAGGATGGAGGCCACACCATGACTTTTTCTCCTTTTATCCCCATAGCAGCCATTGATGCAGAGGTATTCTTTGCGGCATGAGATGGTGCATTGTCATGCATGAAGATGATTTTATTACGGAAAGCATAGTTCTTCCTTCTGTACCAGGGAAGAAAGTGGTCAGTCAGAAACTCCACATACTTTGCAGAAGTAATCTTTACACCTTCAGGGAGCCTAAAGGGGCCGACCAGTTCTCTTCCCATGATTCCCGCCCAAAACATGACTCCACCACCGCCTTGCTGACGTTGCAGCCTTGTTGGAACAGGGTGGCCGTCTACCAACCATCCACTACTCCATCCATCTGGACCATCCAGGGTTGCACGGCACTCATAAGTGAACAGGACTGTTTGAAAATTAGTCTTCATGTATTTTTCTGCCCAATGCAGCCGTTTCTGCTTGCGAGCATTGGTTAGTGGTGGCCAAATAGAAGGTTTATGCACAGTTGCAAGACTCTGGAGGACTCTACATCTTGATGTCCGTGGGACTCTAGAGGTACCAGCAGCTTCAAATATCTGTTTGCTGCTATGTAATGGTATTTTAGCAGTTGCTCTTTTGATCCGATGCATGGATCTGGCAGAAATCTTCCTCATTGTGCCTTTATCTGCACGAACCAGTCTGTGCTCTGAATCAGCCGAAAATCGTGAACTATCTAATGTTTTCACACCTCGTCCAAGGCATTGAACTATTTCACTCTTTTCGGCAGCAGAGAGATCCTTTTTCTTCCTCATATTGCATGAAAATGGTGCTCTGCTTAATAATGTGGAACACCCTCCTTTAGTAGTTTTTCCTTAAATTGGGCTCACCTGGCAATCTAATTATCACTGGTGTCCGAGATTGTTTTCAGTGATTAAAAGAGCCCTGAGACACAATGCCATCCATGAGTTAAACTGAAAAACAAAATATTTAATCTTTGTGACAATTAAATAGAATTTGCATAATAATTTGGAACGGTGTATGCTTCTCAATGGTAAATCGCACTTCCCATTAACATTATATAAAAAAAATATTTTATGTGGATTATTTTTGTATATTTCATACTGTTATCCATTTAAAAAAAAATAATAATCTAATTTGGCTGTTGACTGAAGCAAAACCAGCTGTTTTTATGTTAAACATATTTTCGAGAATAGAGCACTTGATGCACACAGTACATTAATGTTCTTATTAATAGACATTGTTTGTAAAGTTTACATCAGTCAAAGCATAAGGAAGGCTGACCGATTTTTATGTAGCTAGCTATTCTAATTTTCTATGAGAATGACGACCACTATAGTCACCCAGACCACTTCAGCTCAATGAAGTGGTCTGGGTGCCAGGTCCACCAGGTTTTAACCCTTCAGCTGTAAACATAGCAGTTTCAGAGAAACTGCTATGTTTACATTGCAGGGTTAATCCAGCCTCTAGTGACTGTCTTCCTGACAGCCACTAGAGGCACTTCCGCTCAAATCGCATTGAGCACGCGGAACGTCCATAGGAAAGCGTTGAGTAATGCTTTCCTATGGGCGGTTTATTCGGCTCCACTCGGGAGCTGACGTCGAAGGGGGAAGAGAGGTCACCAGCACCGAGGGAGCCCGGCGCTGGATTAAGGTAAGTGGCTGAAAGGGGTTTTAACCCCTTCAGCCCAGTGGGATGGGGGACCTAAGGACTATATAGTGCCAGAAAAACAAGTGTTTTCCTGGCACTATATAGTGGTCCTTTAAACCCTATGTGGGATAATTAGTGTTGAAAATAGTGCTTCCCTAGATTTCCTAGCAGCTCAGCAGCAGGGGATGGCAGACAACAAAAGGAAGCTATCTGAACTATATACAACTAAAACACAAGAAAACAGAGTAAACCTTAAACGCAGATAAAATGTATCTGTTTTTTATGACAAATTTGTGACCGCAATTACAGTGCATTTCTGTTCTGCTATGAAATAATCTGATTTTCACTGCAAAGTTTAGGAATTCACATATTCATCAACACATAAATTGATGCTCATTTAACACCAGTGCAACAATGATACTTTTGAAGTAGCAAATTTAACCTGGTGTAAATAATGAAATACTAAATCCATAAACATTGAATAAAAGGGAACTCAAAATTTAATGTTTGCCCTCGTACCCTCCCCCGCCACCCCCAATTTTTTTTTTTTTGAAGTGAGACAGAGATGAAGTAGGGTCTACTTTGTCACTGTGTTTCTCCCCTGCCTGACATTCTTAGACTCAGGGCGGAGTCTGTGTGTCAATCTTAACAGCCGTAACCTGTGACGGTTGCTGGGAATTGGCTATGTCAAAGGAGGATCTCGTGGTCTTGCGGGATCCTCCATAGTTCTTAATGCTGTACTCTTGTGTGTTCGGTGACGTCACCTCTGGGGAGGAACTGCGCCCACAATTGACAAGTTCAGGTGAGTAAATCCTTCCTTTACCCCAGCCACCAGGCCCCCTGCAGCGATGTCATTGCCGGGTGTTTGCAAATTCGTCATAGTACCCAAACGGTGACATGTCACTTTAACATTCTAAGGTTGTTTACAGGGAGAGCAGGAGAGACTTCCTACAGGCAAGTAAACCTCCAGCCAACACATCTTGATTTGGCTAGGTGGTAAAGCAACTCTGCAAGGTGCATCACTCTGCTAAGATTGCAATATAGTCAGCATGTCATTATCATGACTTGTAACACCCACTAATCTGAAGACATGGTGCTTAACCGAAGATAAGTTAATATGGAAACATTTGCAAGTAAATATCTAATTTTTAATTTTGTTTGCAGTGTGGGCAGTTACAAGCAACTTTGTGGTGTCACAACAGCATCAACAGACAGAGATAAGCTTACATAGTGGTACATACCGTGTTTCTCCGAAAATAAGACCGGGTCTTATATTAATTTTAGTCACAAAAAACACACTAGGGCTTATTTTCAGGGTAGGGCTTAGAGCCAGTCTGTCAGCCGGTGTCCGCGCTGTGTAACCCCCCCAGAGACCCTCACCTCCCTGTAATACTATCTATCCCTCCCTGTAATTTTATCCCCCCCCTCCCTCCCTGTAATACTCTCCCCCTCCCTCCCTGTAATACTCTCCCCCTCACTCCCTGTATCCCCCCTCCCCTCCTGTATACTCTCCCCCCTCCTCCCAGTAATATTATCCCTCTCCCTCCTGTAATATTATCCCCCTCCTGCCCTGGCCCCTCCCCCTGCTCTCCCCCTCCCTCCTGTAATGCTCTCCCCTCCCTCCCTGTAATGCTCCCCCCCCTCCCTCCCTGTAATATTATCCCCCTCCCCCCCTCCCCCTCTCCCTGTAATACCTGTCCCCTCCCTCCCTCCTGTAATATTATCCCCCCCTCCCTCCCCCTCCCTCCCCCCCTCCCTCCCTGTAATATTATCCCCCCTCCCTCCCTCCAATCTTCTCCTCACCTCCCCTGTAGCGTGGCTGAGCTCCTATCCGGTTCGCGACCCAGCCAGACTGACAGGAAGTGCACACCCAGTGTGCACTTCCTGTCAGTCCGGGCGGGTCGCGGACCGGAGAGGAGCTCGGCCACGCTACAGGGAAGGGGAGGTGAGGCACTGCGGCAGCCGTCTGAGCGCTCTCTATAGAGCGCTCAGGCGGCTGAGGCATTTAAAGGGCCGGCAGCCGCCGGCCCTGCCTAGGTCTTATTTTCGGGGTAGGGCTTATATTGCAGCCCACCCCGATAATCCAGCTAGGGCTTATTTTCGGGGTAGGTCTTATTTTCGGGGAAACATGGTAGGTAGGGCATGTGGAGACTTTGCACAATTTAAAAAAATAATAATTTTTTAGGATAAGGTAAGACAAGATGGAGTAACTTTAGTTAATCTTAATCGCATACTCATGAGGATAGAAACTCTTAGGTATAGGGTAGGTATAGCGTAGATCTGTAGGTAAATGCAAATTCTGTAAACCCGTACACAAGAATTGGTATACAGAGGTTTTAGCAAGATATAACTGGTGTAGCTTAAAAACCGCTGGGGCTGAGCAGACCTCTGTGATATTACATGTCTGTGTGAGATCAGGCGGAGCGATATGGTTAAGGAGAACATAATGGCTGCGGTACATGTTGGAGAACATCAGGTCTCAGGCGGTGGATGTTAAACGTGCAGCTGCTGTCCCTTGTGAGATTCTTGTCAGGTTGGGCTGTTGGGCGATTGACGCTTTGCTTGCATAAAATGGACAATCCACATTTTCAGGGAGCAGGTACCACGGCAGTTCGGCACAACAAGCTTAATGGGGACTATCTGGTGCTTTCAAGGGTCACAGGTACTCATCTGTGTGTAGTTGACAGTCCCTCATCAGGCTTGATATTCATCACTTGACAGTCTTGTGGGTAGTATAAGTCCGCTTGGCATATCTGTATTGCGGCACGGGTTCATTGCTCCCATCCAGCACCCAACCCCACCAAGGGGCGTCTGTTATGGGCAGATGGTCCGGTGACTCTCACGGTCCCTCTCTCTCCTTGGGTTGTCCGTTGATTTGTCGTTGGATTACACTGTGAGGTTCTCCACCGGCGTCGGTGGCAGGATTGCAGCTCATAGGGGCTCTGTGGTGCAGAAGCAGTTGGTGAAGTGCCCTGAGACACCGCCATTTTGCAAGGTAGGCCTTGGGTGTTCCGGGCGCCCTAAGCTCCTCATACCTCAAGCTCTCCCCAGTGGGGACCGTGATGATCCCCCAGGCCCACAGGTGGGGTGGAAACTGGACCAACAAGTGACTCAAGAAGTCAGCGTGTGGTAGCTGGGAAGGGAGGCGTGGCGGTGGCACAGCCTCCAAAGCTTCATATGTCCCCCAGGGGATCCAAAACTCCCGATCTCAGGGTCTGCTACCTCTCCCGCAGATTTGTGGGTATCTCGTGGGTTTGTTATGGGTCAAAAGCTTCTAAGTATAGCTTAAGAGGCCAGATTCCTCAGGAGCCCCTTCTGCACGCGACCGGTCAGCATGGCGGTCCAGCCCCGCTCCCGTTAATATATAAAAAAAAATTCTCTGCTAAACTATACATTTGTAGTTATTGTGGAGAATTTCTGTTAGAGTGAATGTCATGATGGCTTTACTTCACTTATATGTTTTTTCAGGGCAGAATGATTCACTGGCTGTTTGTTCCAAGTCTGCTAGTTTCTATATGGCCTAATATGAATAAGATTCCACTGATAGTGAATGCAATCTGAGTTTAGTATGCTGAAAAATCCTAAACTGTGCATTGTAGTATTGGCCAAACTTTCATGCACAATTTCGTATTTATTGAATAGACCCGTTACTGTAGAGATAATGCAGAAATCTTTTAATTCCTCTGTGTATCCTGCCTGTGGATGTGTTATTGAGGCAGTGGTTTAGTAACAGTGTTCATTTGATGTAATGAGTAAGGAACTTGCGTGAAGATGACTGCCGAGCAGCTGACCTTCACCATCTGCTGGGTATTTTCCTGTCCTTGACTCACCCCACCTAGTCATGTGGGATGCAGTGTACTGATTTTACATTATTATTATTGCATTATACAAACACTGATTTGGGGGCTGAATCACAGTGTCACTGTTTACACGATCTGCTAAAACTGTACTTTTGGATAATTAATATATTTTTAGATTTCTAATGCATTCATATGAATTAAGTTATGGACTTTGATAAGATGCAAGCAAAATACGAAAATGACAGTGACAATAGTTTTATTATTATTATAGTATCATCCACCAAGTGTAAATTTTTATGATAAAATCAGAAAGAAAATGTTTTTGTTTTAAATCACCATAGAAATTAAAACAGATGTATTTACTAGTCAGTCACCATTATATTCTGGCAGAATTGTAGCGAGTCTAAAGTGCGGTTAGAGACAAGAAAAATCTTCTTCCACCATTTGTTATTTATGCCTCCCAACTGTCTCACTTCTGGCAGAACATTCCTGATTTTTGGCTGTCCCAGCTTTCATAGTGTTCCATGGTGTCCTGCTTTTGAGGACATCCGGGAACTGTCCCCAACAAACACAGCGCAAGCGTATTATAAGGTATTGCTTTTAGTTTGGAATAAATAACCAATTTATCATATAAACCTACTATTAAGTGGAGGCCTAGAAACTGTGCCCAGAGGTTTATTAAAAAAAGATAGGCCATAGCCAGGTGCTTTAGGAAATGGGCTGGGTTTTAAGAGCACAGGTTGAGACTGACACTTTTGCAGTGTTTTAACCCCTGTCCTTTATCTGCAGTTTATGACAGTAAAGCCGTGTGGCTGGTGATAGGCGAAGAGCCTACTACTGACTACCCATTCAGAGAAAGAGCATGTTTTTGTGTTTTTTTTTTTTTTTTTTAAATCTTTATTTTTCGTCCGTGAAAATGGCAAACATATGTGTAAGGCCACAATAGTCTTTACACATCAAAACAGTGAATATCATGTAAATAAATGTCTAGGATCGTTTCACAAACATTTTATAGATACAATTGGTCTCAATGTTATAACGAGTGATATAAGTCGGGTAATCGTGATGATAGAGGGTACCTATCTGTCAATATCGCCCCTTGTATTGTAGGGTCGTGAGGTGCGGGAACAGAGTGGGAATGACTAAATCTGGGTATTGTGTCTAACGTCTCGCCCTTTGTCCCGAGGATGTGGGTTTATGAGTCGTAGGGTGTCCCTTCAGTCTAGTGGTGGCTGCGTGTAGTCGCTAAAACAGTTCTTAGCTATGGCTAGTGTGTCCAGACGATTATAGGTCGCTGTAATATGGCAGGATCAGGTCGGACCCGTGTGGTTCCAGGCTATGGTTATCAACCTAGTGGATGTGCCTGATGCCAGTCCGGTTTATTATATCGCCCTCGATATCGGTTCCCTATAACCCCAGGGAGAGGGGGGGGGGGGAGGTGTCGTCGGAGCATAAATGGTTGGATCTAGTGAGCCTCGGTCGTGCTGCAATAATTGTCAGAACGAGAAAAAACAGAGAACTATATATAGTTTAAGAGTCAGGGTTAGCTACACAGAACATTTGAACTGAATGTGCGAACTGAAGCCTAGTCGGCTGTCGGCTTAAGTATGTCCCTCAGGTCTTGGGTTTGGCATCTCTGCCTCTTCCAGGAGTCACGGCTGTTTCAGCTTCGGAAGTTCCAGGCTGAGGGTCTAGTGGTGTCCCCAAGTTTTCTGTGGGGTTCGGTAGTCCCAGGGCAGTCATCAGTGCTGGGCCTTCTGTGGGTTCGGTGGCCTTGAAGTGCTTGTCGCCTTTAGTGATCCAGAGAGTTCCTGGGGTCGCCCACCTATAGGTTATCCCAGCCGTTTGGAGTTGCTTGGTGATTGGGTGCATGCTCTTGCGCCATTGTAGTGTGGCTCTGCTCAGGTCCTGAAAGAAGGAGATTTTGCATGTTTCGAAGTCGAGTGGGGTCAGCCCTTGTATTGCTGCCATTAGCCCCAATTTGTCCGCCATTGAGCGGCATCTTAAGATTACATCTCGTGGAGCTGAGGTGGGTGCTTGTGGGGATTTAGCTATACGATAGATCCCGTCGAATTGGAATGCTTTTGCCTGTTTGGCTGGTAAAAGTGTGGCCACAAGGCGTCTAGCGAAATGCGGTAATTCGTCCAGTGGCATTGATTCCGACACCCCTCGAATTTTAATATTTTTGCGGCGCCCTCTGTCATCCAAGAGATTAACTTGCCTAGCCATTGTCAGTTGTGAGGCGTGCAAGTTGCGCACTTTCTCCCCTAGAGCTAGGTAATTCTCCCTCAGTCCCTTGACCTCTTCTTCGATTGCTTGCGTGCGCGTTGACACCGTGTGTACGTCTAGCTTGAGTATGGCTAGATCTGCTTCCCACATTTGTCTGAGATTCTGCTGTAGGCCTGTTAGCATTGCCTGTATGTCATTTTTGGAGGCCGGTGCGCTAGTGTCCGATGTCCCTGTGGGTGTCGGGTGTTGGGGACTGGGGTATGGATTGTCCTGTGTGTCTCCTTCCTCTGAAGGTTGTGGGGATGTGTCTCGAGGAGTTTGGGCCTTCATGGCGTTTGAGGCCTGTAGCATTTGGCCTATATCGCGCTGGGGCTTTGCGGTATTTTGGGGCGTTTTTTGCGTCTTGCGGCCCATCTCACCTGCGCTCACTGTGTCGGGGTACCAGTCCTCAAAGTCTGGGACGTTCCAGGGCCAGTGCGTTCCCGAAAGGGCCTGAGGTTGCCCTCCCGATCTGTAGGCCTTGCTGCCGCGGCGTTTATTTTTGGAGCCGGGTGTCAGGAGGAACGGCATCAGCGTGTCTGTGTGTCTCCGAGGTCAGTACTCGGTTGGGAGTCTGTATGTGATGCGGGTTTTCCCCGATTTCTGCAGATTTCAGTGGATTGTACCGGAGCTCCGGCAATGTGCGACCGCTCCGGTCTGTGTCAGGCTCCGCCCCCCCATGTTTTTGTGTTTTATGTATATTAATGCATGTGTGCTATAGAAATAATAAGATGATAAAATATATCATCTGATCTGTACTGAAAGGGAAAAATGAATAAAATAAAGATTAAACTACATTATGCATAAGACCCCATTAACCCTGATCTGATAATTGACTCTACCAGGAGGGTATTTCACAGAGAACAGGATGCAATACTACGCTAAACAGACCAAGGGAAAATTAAAGCTAATCTGATCAAGCCGCATTTTGAGCATTGGCAGTTGGTGGTCTGCAACCACATTCTCAAGATTAAGCATCAGGTTTCAAAGGAGCAAATGTTAAAATTAAATTGAAATTATTTATGTTAAATGTATTTAATGTACTTATTTTTATTGAACACTTGAACCTATATCCATTATTAAAAGGAAAATTACTGTGTTAAAGGGACATTCCCGGCACCATAACTTAACTGCATTTGATAGGTTTTAGCTTTATTGTTTATTGTAATGCTGTATTTTTCTCCACATTCAAATCATTTTACTTTTGCTAAAACAACAAAAAATACATTTAATTATTTTGGAGCTTTCTGGATCATCCTCCCCTTTTCACCCAGTTGATCTCAGGAATAAAAAGAGTTTAATGTGGCTTTTATGGTATAAAACTGTTAAACGGAAACTCCTCGCACCATAACAACTTTTATTGGCACCAGCTTCAGTGGTTAAACGGTTAACAAATGATTTAACCCCAAAGTCTTCACTCTAGCTCCAATCAGATCTGCCCCTGGACTTCAGTTGGTCTACCAATTCACAGAACAATGTGATTTCAAGCTTTGGAAATTCTGGGTCAGAGCTGACCCAATGATCTCAAAGAATCAGTTTTAAATGCATTTATTAGGGCCACCACACATGTGACCGGGAAGTGTTTTGATCCTCTGTGTGGCTCTTCTACTACTTCCATGGCTATTAAACCTTCTTGGTTAAATATGGCTTTCCTTCTTGGGCATTCCACACATTCAGCAAAACAGACATTGAAATGCAATTTTTCTCCCAGTTTTATTTTATTTATTTATTTTGCTCATATTTTCATTATTTACATTTTAAAAAATCCAGTCTCAGTTTGCATTTTTTTTTTCCACACAAACTGTTCTCAGTCTTTTGCAACAGCAACTCCATGTAGAGATAATATAGATCTCATTAGCATTGTACATTCTGCCTGTGTCAATACAGCCTAGGATACACAGTGAAGAAAAAAATAAAATGCTTATAGAATAAGAATTTTGAGGTTTGGCTGTTCTGTGGTCTGTTCATATGTTAATCACACGTTACCATGGAAGTTCCTCTTCCTCTTTACATCTTCATAAACACGACTGTTTTTTTTTTTTCATCTTCATAAGCTGCTTTATCCTGTATCAGTTTTCTGCCACCACTTTGCCCTACTTTCAGAAAAGGTTCTCAGAAAATAAAGCCACCATAGGCACAAGATCATCATGCTTCAGATAAAGCAACAGCCATCCGTAAACCCGCTTTAAGAGCAGCAGCTTTGCCCTTGATATAACCAGCTTTTGTGTTGTTTTTTTATTTTATTTTGATTATGAGGGCAGTGCCAGTTAACTTGAGTGGCTTTACAGCTCCATATATGTAATGAATGCTTCTTAGAATATGGTGTTTAATTGTGGTGGAGCCTTTATGGGAGTTTATTCGCAACCATGAATTGGGACAAAGAAAAGTAAAGCTAGAGGTCAAAAAACAATATTGGTAATAAACTTAACTCTGCTCTTTTGGCCTAACCTTTGCATAAAATAAGTCTATAGAAAAAGTCCAATATTGTCCATTGGTACATTAAGAAGCTGGAATTCCAAATACATTCTACCTCCTAAACATTTTTCCTCCAAATAAAGTGATGCCCACGTATAGTTTGCACTTAAAACACCATTATTTTCAATCATGTTCACTGATTTGTTATATTTATAGATTCATACTTCTCAAGTGGCTCTTCTTAGTAGGGAAAGTCTTTATTTTGATTTCACATCCTCTATCCTAATCCTCAAGCAAGATAAAAGTCCATGGGGACTGAAACGTTAACTTGAATATGTGCTAAATAAAAGCATCAGTAATATATTTCACTAGACCTCTGAGTGCACTCTTCTTGATTTATTTTATATATATATATATATATATATTTTTTTTTTATTTTTTTTTTTTATTATACATGATATCCACAAAAGTGTTAGAACACACCTCTTAATTATTGATTTTAGGTGTTTTAATCAGACCATTTGGCACAGGTCACAGGTGTATAAAATCCAGTGGTGTAAAGCACACTGCCATCGGACTCTAGAGCAGTAGAACCGTGTTCTGTGTAGTGACAAATCACACTCTCTGTTTGGTAGTCTGATGGGTGAGTCTGGGTTTGTCGAATGCCAGGAAAAGGTTACCTGCCTGACTGCATTGTGCCGAGTGTATTGTTTGGTGGAGGAGGGAAATCTTAATTTTTCAGCATACCAATACATTTAGGACAATGATATGCTCACAACTTTGTGTGCACAGTTTCGGGAAGGCCCTTTTCTAGTCCAGCATGAATGCTCTACTGGATGAATGGGCAAACATTCCTGCAGAAAGAACCTAAAAAAAGAGTGGAATCTGTTATAGTTGCAAATGGAGGATCAACTACATATTAAAGGACCACTATAGGCACCCAGACCACTTCAGCTCAATGGGTGTAGGATTAACCCTGCCTGCTGTAAACATAGCAGTTTCACAGAAACTGCTATGTTTACATATGGGTTAATCCAGCCTCTAGTGACTGTCTCATTGACAGCCGCTAGAGGCACTTCCTCGCTTCTCACTGTGATTTTCACAGTGAGAAGACGCCAGCGTCCATAGGAAAGCATTGAGAATGCTTTGCTATGGACTGGCTGAATGCCCGTGCCGCGCATGCGCATTCAGCCAATGACGACCAAAGGAAGAGGAGAGTCCCCAGCAGCGAGGGATCCCGGCACCTCAGAAAGGTAAGTGTTTAACCCCCTTCCTCCCCCTTCAGTCCGGCGGGAGTGGGACCCTGAGGGTGGGGGCACCCTCAGGGCACTATAGTGTCAAGAAAAAGAGTTTGTTTTCCTGGCACTATAGTGGTCCTTTAATGCAATTAATGTCTGTATATTTAGAATGCGATGTTATAAATGTCTCTGTTAGGGTAATGGTCTGGTGTCCCCATACTGTTTTCCATATAGTATCCAGTGCTCCTCATTGATGAGCATTGGGGACCATAGGTGCATGCACGACACTATCTGCGATCCGCCATTGATTCAGTCATAAGAAATTATTGAATGTAATGATTCTCCATGACAAGTCGTGATGGCACTGCGCATGAAGCTTATTATTCTGTAATACCATGTGACATAGCTTCTTTGTCAGGAAGGATGTTATCTATTTTATTTTGGAATCATATCCTCTGTGTGATGCATAACCAAAGAAATTCATTTATTTAGTATATGCTGTAATTTAAAGTTGCATTTTAGCTCTCCTTACGTGTTAGGTGTTAATGGATTGTTATCTCTTATTCTCCAGGTCACGTTCCCTGATGTGGAGAAAGCTGAATGGCTTAACAAGGTAACAGATGTGTATTTTGCATATTTGTGGAAGAGTTGTGACCATGTATTGTGCACGTAATCTAAGTTGGTAAAACATACATTATCTTTTCCTTTGACAAAAAAAATTATCCAAGGCACAGGCGGGCAAACTATTACTATTAATATTATATATCGTTTATATCAAATGGAAATTATTTCATTATTAGACTATCAATTAATTCCAATTGGACTGCCACCAAATAAGTATGAGGGTGTCCCTTTGGGTAAGGCACTAGCTTTGGGCACTATGTTTACTAGGCCCCTGATGTATGAGAGTGTGATGAGAGGCTTTCACTGTGAAATCTCTGAGACAGCAGTGTGGGCTGAGCAGCAGATGAATTTACTGTTAGAAACTCTTTCACCTGCATGGTAACACTGAGTCAGGTAGCATGGTGCTGTGGGACATACCTCGGCATCTGCTGCCTGTCTAATGTTTAGCAAACCGCTTGGAAGCTGGAGGGAAGGATGTGCCATTCAGTACACAGATCTCCTGCTTCCACAACACTAGACACCAGAGATAGACTTAAAGGCCTCTCTCCCTTCCCTGCTGTGCAAGATACAGGAGGAGAATAAAATCATTACTTAGTTAGTATGTATCAGTTATCTGCTGTTGATGTATGTACTATACAAACAGTATTGTTTTTCTTTTTAATAATAATTTCACTTTAGAAACCAGTAATCCAGTTAATTACATTAAATCTTTTTTTTTTAAATATATATTCTGTTCCTTTCTTTCCCAGTTTCTGGCACAGATGTGGCCATTCATCAGTCAGTACTTGGAAAAGCTCTTCTCAGATACGATTGCACCAGCAGTCCGGTCATCCAACGCTCACTTGTCAACTTTCTACTTCACAAAAATTAACATGGGTCAGAAGGTAAGTAACATATTCCTTTCACCAAATGTCTACCTGCATCAGAACAAACATTATTTAGGACTCTGCACTGCTTTGAACCCCTTCACAGCAGACATTTTTTCAGAATCGCCATAATACACTTATAACGCCTTATCACGTAGGGTTTAAGTTGTTTTATGCTATTTTTGGAAGTTTTTTTTTATTTTTCTTCCTCAAAAAAAAAGAATTAAAACAAAACAAAACAAAAAAAAAAACTAGGAGAAATAGAGGATCAAAAAGGGAATCCTACCTACTTATTAAGCAATATTAAAGACACTTTAGTTCAGAGATCGGTAGAATCTGCCTCTCTACCTGTCATGTACCTCAGCACCAATGCCTGAATTTGCACGTTGACTATACATTCTAACATAGAATGTTCCTTTTTACAGACTTGCCAATAAACTGTTCAGTAACTAATTAATGCAGGCGCTAATTTCTATTAACATAGCCTGGACAGCATACTAAACTGCATGTTATACACCCTGTGTAATCTAGGCCCCGAAAGTGATTGGAGTGAAGGCACACACTGAACTCAACAAGAATCAGATCATTCTGGACCTGCACCTCAGGTAATTGCTTTTCATGACCATGCTGTCTTGCACTTGTTCCAATAATCAAAATTCCTATAAAACTGATTAGTTTGGTATTCATGTCTACTTTAAGGCTTGCATTTGGCCGTTGAAATTTCTCCAACTAATAATACTCATACTATACTTATGTGTGTGCTTTGCAGTATTTCAGGGGTTGTATTGTCTGTAGAGAATACTAGTATAGGCCCCTGTGCTTGATGCTGTTCACCTGTCCCACGTAACCCACATTCTCACTGTTTCACGATCCTCACCCTAATACAGCCTTTCTTTCCATAATAGAGCCTTTCATTCCAGTGAATGACATTCTGCTATATTGCGCTGACACATTATTTTGTTTTCTTTTCCACAGTTATGTTGGAGACATGGAAATTGATGTAGAAATAAAGAAATATTTTTGTAAAGCTGGGGTAAAGGGAGTACAGGTGAGGAACATTTTTGTCCCTATCTAGTTTTTTGGACTCTTCCTTCTTTAAATTATTGTTTTTACTTTTTGAAAGTAAAATAGTCCATGGCGCAATATATGATAATCAGATATGTTTTCCTTGACAGTTACATGGTGTGCTACGCGTTATCTTGGAACCCCTTATTGGAGACGTTCCTATTATTGGTGCAATAACATTGTTCTTCATCCGCCGACCGGTATGTCAATATAGACTTTAAACATTTTTATTTTATATCACAAAGAATCCTTGTTTTCAACTACAATATGCGGACCATAGGTAATCCCTGAATTATGCACTAATTGGCAGGGCTGGACTGGAGATACAAAGCAGCCCTGGAAAAAAAAAATCTATGCCAGCACTATAAGTCATTGTGCCATGTATTGTCACATGTAATATGTAAGGCTTTGTCTTGCCACCCAGAGGATTGAGTAATATTTACTATTAATATATAATATTAAATAATAAACACATAATATATATATTTGTGTTTATATATTACTTAATTATCTAGGGTGGCAAGACATAGCCTTACATACTATTGGTTAATGTATAGGATCTTGAAAAAGACCCGTTAGGGTCGAAATGTCGATTTTATTTATTTCTGTATTTTTTTTTTATTTAAAACAAAAAAAAAAATTAGCTGGATGTAATTTCATTACATTAAATCACATTTTTTTTCACTTGAAGACCTGAGAGTGCATCCTTGAAAAAAAAATTTGGTTTATTTTTATATATATATATATATATATATATATATATATATATATATATATATATATATATATATATATATATATATATATATATAATTTATTTTTTCCTAATATAAAATATTGGTCCTTTCAAAGTAAAACACTTAATTATACAGTAAGCATACCCACATGCTGACACAGACAACCTCACTGACACACACAAGCTCATTGATACACAACCTCATAGACAATTTTACTGATATGCATAAGCTCATTGACATAAAAACACAAGCTCATGGATGCACACAAATAGGCTCACTGACAGATAATCTCACTGACGCACACAGACAAGCTTATTGGTATATGCACACAAATGTAGTACGGACCATCTCTGACGCAGAAGTTTACTACAGGCAAGCTTACTGACACACACATGCACACTATACACACGCTCACTACACACAAACACTGACACACACATGTTAACTACAGACAATCTCACAAAAACACACATGCTCCCTGCAGACAAGCTCACTGACACACACATGCTAACCACAGACAAGCTCACTGATACACACATGCTCCATATAGAAAAGCTCACTGACACACACATGCTCACTACAGACAAGCTCACTCACTAGCAGCCACACACACACACACACACACACACACACAAGCTCACTTACTAGCAGGCACACACACACAAGCTCACTTACTAGCAGGCACACACACACACACACACACACACAAGCTCACTTACTAGCAGACACACACGCACACACACACTCACTAGCAGGCAGGCACACATACACAAGCTCACTCACTAGCAGGCAGGCACACACACACACAAGCTCACTCACTAGCAGGCCAGGGCGCGCAAACACACACACACACAAGCTCACTCACTAGCAGGCGCACACACTGAAGCTCACTCACTAGCAGACACACACACACACACTAGCAGACATGGGGGGGAGGCTTTTTTGTGTGCAAATTTTATATTGCTCACTTATATTCATGCTTAGATAGCTCATGTTGCAGTCTATTTCCAGGCATCTAAATCATCTCATTGGTCAGTCTGGGGCCACTAAAAATGATACTTGGATTTGATGGTGTGAGCAGAGATTTAACCACGCACACCTTGCAATCTATTTCTAATCATTGAAATGCTTACAAATGACTATGACCTTCAACGCTGCATGCAACTTATCAAAAAGTCTGGGGCCACTAAAAAATGACCCCAGCTGACAGAGGTCAGCCCTAGGTATTGGAACTCAATGGTGTGAGCAGAGATTTAGCCCTGATCAAACCAAATCTTCAGGACATGGCAGTACATAGCTGCATCGAAGTCCACTAGTTAGCACATACTGACACATCCTAGCATCTTCAAAGTGCTGAAGATATTTTTTTATCTATGTAGCATGAGGTTGTACAATACAATGTTTTTAAATTTTTGAGAAATTAATTCCATTAATCAATTCACAATGTCACACTCTACTAGTGGTTACTGTAAGATTACTTTGGACAGTTTTTCTATCTAGAAGATATCCCAGATGCTTGGATTTGAAGTTTGGAAAACTGTTAATTTAATCTGAATACTGAATGTTTCTCTATGAAAGATCCTGCTATAGAAAGGAGCAGCCATAAACTGTACTCCTAATGGGGAGCCAAGTTATCAGAGGAGGATGGCATAGCAAACATACACTGTTTACACAAGGATTATAAAGAATTGGTTGTATATAGGAGAGAAGATAAAAAAAGATTAAATGGTTAACCATTTTGATAATAAATTGTCTTTTATAATCTCAGTTGTTTTAGCCATATTTTTATATTGCTTTATAGCAACCAGTTCCAAGTACTGGTTTTTGCTTGATATTAGTGTACATTTTTATGAACTTTTTCTGTATTTTACTTATGTCTTTTATCTTTTTAAAAGTAGAAAATCTGGTAATGGTAACATTTACCCTGGGTTACTTTCTGTGCCACACATATTTTCTCAAGGTATTTGAGTATTTTGGAGTCAGACACCAAAGAATATACTGTTTCCATTTAATACTTTATCCAAACACTTTAGAGTCTAACACTTAAGACAAGATTCTACATTAATCTATTGTATTAAGAAAGCTCCTGGATACTTGTCACTATTTTTATATAGCACTACTCCCCTTTTTTACACTATCTTTATGGATTTTTGGTGAATCCCTATATCCTTCCAGATTTTTAGAGCTTTCTTCTGATAGTCTTATTCCCTCTCTTTTTCTGTATATTCTGTTCTTAGATATCAGAATTTTTGCACACTTTTTTTGTTTGTTTGCTGTAGTATGTGTCAGTCAGTTAACCATCAATGTGTCTTTAACTTCTGTTTTCTGGTAGTTGTTGGAAATAAACTGGACAGGCCTCACAAACCTCTTAGACATCCCTGGACTCAAGTAAGTAGGCCTCATCAATGACAAAAAAATACAAAATGCTTTTTTTGTTTTTTGTTTATAATACTCTTTAATAGCTTTCTTTTCAGATTGTTTTCCCCCAATTTTTTATAAAATTCTTTACAACCATAAAAACATGCAACAATAATTACAAGAGCATGCATGTTAATTCAACAGCGGCACTAAAGAGAAAACAAGTCACATCTCTTGCATTTACAACATATAACATTAATCTAACTGACTGCCATCCGGGTACGTGGATTATCGCAGCTTCATTAAGACTTTTGTTTTTAACACAGTAACTCTTCCTCTCCCAAATTTATAAACTTTATAAACTTCCTGTACTTTTCACTCTCCTAATTCAGGGTTGTCTTATGTATGAATCAATGCTTGGCTATAATTTGTCTACACATAATATTTTCACCTTGCATTTCTTTGTCTTCCTTCCTACACGTTCATATTTTATACCTACAGCGTCATGTCGGATACCATGATCATGGACATAATTTCTGCTTACCTGGTGCTGCCAAATCGGCTGACTATCCCATTAGCACCTGACCTTCATTTGGCTGAACTGCGCTCCCCCTTGCCTAGGGTATGAATTTTTTTATTTTTTTTAAAGGGTTTATTAATCTTTTAGGTTTTGATAAAGCTGATTTTTTTGTTGTCACTTTTTTTTTTTCTTGTCCACAGTCCTTGTCTTTCTCTTCGCTTTCTTGTGCATTCTAATATATTCTGTGTGTGTGCATCTATATATATGTGTGTGTGTGTATAAGTATATATGTGTGTGTGTGTGTGTGTGTGTGTGTGTATATATATATATATATATATATATATATATATATATATATATATATATCTTCCTTGTGTTTTTGATACAACTTTTATTCACACTTTTTTAGGGCATTGTACGCATACATCTCATGGGAGCTCGTAACCTTAGTGCAAAAGATCTGAAGGTAAAAGGATTGATAGCGGGGAAGTCAGATCCTTATGCCATTGTCCGTGTGGGGACTCAGGTCTACAACAGTCGCATCATTAATGAGGATCTCAATCCTGTCTGGAATGAGATGTATGAGGTATGATTGTATGCAGAGCACTTTTTATTTGGAGTAGGTACTTGGTCATTATATTAAACCTCACAGAGGAGTTTCTTTTTTTTGTTTGTTTTTTTTTTTTACTAGGATTTGAGTTTCATAATAAAGAAGTTTATGGATATATTTAAACCAGAAATTTCCATTTAGAATATTTTTTTTTAAATTACATCTGGATATGAGAACATTTTTAAATTAAATTCAGATATGAGGCTAAATTAATATTTAGTAGACATTGTTTATTTAATGTCTAATAAATATTAAATAAAAAATTATGCAATTAATAGCACTTCAGACATTTATCTAGCACTAGATTTTCTCATTCATCAAATTCTTGTTCATTTTGAGATTTGCATTTCCTATAAAAGGAAAGAATTATATAGTTCAGTGTGCAATCATTTACTGTACTACAGAGTGGAGTAATATATAATTAAATATACTTGTTTTATATCACACTTGCTTTATCTACTGCCTTTGTGTTCACATTTGTGTGTTTTTATAAAATGTTTGTATGTCATCTGCTGCTCTCAAGTTATGCTGTACAATTGTGGCCATTGTTAAGCATTTTTCATAAACCTTGACTAATTAGATGGCCTTCTGTGGGATTAAAAATAGCATGCATTCTATTGTTCACTACTTCAAAGCAACAAGATAAAGATTTAAATGTCTGAAGCTGACAGAGATAAAATTAGAACTTTACCCTCACATAAAGCATATATTTCAGCAATAAACACTATTTCATGAAATTTACCAGTTTGTGTATGTTTTTGCTACTGAGACCAGTTAATATAACTTGCAGAATCTAGCACACTCAACTTTAAATCGGCGTCAAAGCTCAGACAGTTCTTTAACCCCTTAAGGACACATGACGGAAATATTCCATCATGATTCCCTTTTATTTCTGAAGTTGTGTCCTTAAGGGGTTAAAGAGGCATTCTAAGCACTGAAACTACTACTCATTAATGTAGTGCTTTTAATGCATAAATGCTGTCTCTTTTCTCTGCCAAAGTAAAACATTGCCTTTTCTTAGAAAAGGCAGTGTTTACTTTTGTCAGAGATCAACTCTAGCAGCTGTCAAACTGCCAGCCAGTAGAGACACTTCCTCCTTAACACTTTTGAAAACCAAAGACCTTCGCATTCAGCATCATCACCCACACACGTCCAAAGTTTGTTAGAGAAGCATCGGATTTAGTACTTCTCTACTAAAAGCAAGATTTAAAGAGCAGGAGATTACTGCTCATGCACTGTAGGACCTCCAGGATTTTTGGCAAATCTCACTGTAACAACCTAAGGTGCACTGTTATGACATTAAACCTCTTACATGCGACATCTATTCTCTTGGGACTCTCTGCAGTGCATGGTTTACAAAGGGCTCTGTAAATATGACATTGTGCAAAGCCTGAGGGTGTGTGGTCAACACTGCTAAAAAAATTATGTATATAAAGAGCAGGAATACTGCACTCACCTGAATAAACATACATTATTGGTTCTGCTGGGAGCAATTAATACATCATACAGAATCCAGCATGCTCCATTTCTAATGCTCTTCCATGCCCACATGTCAATCATTCAATTTCCCAATTTTTGTAAAATCCTTTGTCAATTTAGAGATTTCTGTTTGCCTGCTCTTTATCTGCAAATTAAAAAAATGAAATGGTTCACTATGCAAACTGTCTAACGAAAATAATAATTACAAGGTAAATTCAAACATGCTTGGTTTCTCATAATACCCTTGTATCATCTTGGATTTTCTATACTTCAGAGTTGAGCGGTGTATCATCTCGGTGAAATAAGATACTTGTTTTATGTTACATTTGCTTTATCTGCTGAGTTCAGCTTTGAGTGTTTTAGAAGATGTCTGTGTCTCTCTTTGCTCTTAGAGTATGCTGTAAAATGGTTTTGTGGCTGGAAGCCATCATTAGGTCATTTTCACAGACTTTGGCTAATTAGATGTCCTTCCTGTGGGATCAAAAATAAATAAATCAACATGTATTCTATTGTTAGCTACTTCAAAGCAGCAAGATAAAGATTTGAATGTTTTCTGCAGCTTCCTTAGATAACATGAAAACATATACTCAAATAAAGCAAGTACATATAGGAGCAATAAACACTATTTCATTAAACCTACCTGTTTATGTATATTTTTGTATTTATGTTTTAATGCCTAAATGCAAGGTAACACTTGTATTATTATATTCCATCTGTAGGCTATTGTAAATGAAGTGCCTGGCCAGGAGTTGGAAGTGGAATTGTTTGATAAGGATCCTGATCAAGATGACTTCTTGGGCAGGTTAGTCACTTTTCCACAGTTGAACTCACCAGACACAAGAAAGTAACAGAACTGTATGGGTTACAAAAAATGGTTATTTTTCACATCTGTCATTGCAATAATAGGAGGACATTGAGAAGGCTAGCTCACGACTCATGTTATTTCCCCAAAGATGGTTATGGGATATTATAGTTTGTATTCCTGGCACCATAGCCCATATTTACTTACCTGATCCCAACGTCGATGTCCTCTCCGCCTCCTCCGGTGTCACTGCAAGTTCCGCCCCTGTATTAGGCCCTCTCCAAAAGTAAAGTATTAAATCACTGCTTTCCTGGGGAAATAGCTGATGCTGGATATCCTCATGCAAAGCATGAGGCCGTCCAGTGTTCGTTACAGAAACCAAAGGTCTGTTAACATCCTGTAAGCATCTCCAGTGGCTGTCTGGTATATAGCCACTGGAGTCAGACTTAATGCTGCAATGTAGATGCATTGCAGTTTCTCTAAAATATGGGCACTGCACCCAGACCACTTCAATGAGCTGAAGTGGTCTGTTTGCCTATAGTGTCCCTGTAATATACCCCCCCCCCCCTTAAAAATTGTGTTTAAAGTAACCAAGAAGAGTATCCATATGGAAAAATAATCTATGTTTAAAGGATCACTATAGGGTCAGGAACACAAACATGTATTCCTGACCCTATAGTGTTAAAACCACCATCTAGTCCCCTGGGGACCCTCATGCCTCTATAAATATAGCAAAGTCTTCCTGGATTCAAGCCTGAAGCTGTAGATCTGCATGCTGTTTGCCAAAAAAAAAAAAAAAACAAGCAGTCTGCTGACGTCATCAGAAGTCGTAGCCTGATCCAATCACAGTGCTCCCCCATAGGATTAGCTGTGACTGACAAACAGGCAGATAAGGGGCAGAGCCAGCATGATTCAAACAGAGCACTGGCCAATCAGCATCTCCTCATAGAGATTAATTGAATCAATGGAAAGTTCAGTGTCTGCATGCAGAGGGAGGAGACACTCAATGTTTGGATGCATTTTAGGCAGCCATGACCCAGGAAGGATCTCTAACAGCCATCTGAGGAGTGGCCAGTGAAGTTATTACTAGGCTGTAATGTAAACACTGCATTTTCTCTGAAAAGACAGGGCTTACAGTAAAAATACGAAAGGTAATGATTCTACTCACCAGAATAAATTCAATAAGCTGTAGTTGTTCTGGTGACTATAGTGTCCCTTTAAATTGATTCATTGCAAGAACAAATTAACTGGTTTTGAGATGTAAACACCCAAATCTGTTTTTTTGGGGGATTGTTTTTTTGAGGGGGAGCAGTGGTATTTGCTTGTTAGTCATTTAGATTGTCCCATCTTCCCTCTTTTTCAGGATGAAGTTAGATCTTGTTGAAGTAAAGAAAGCACATGTTCTGGACAAGGTTAGAATCAACAGCATATTCTGCTGCCTGTTGGAATGAGAGAGACAACAATCTGTACACCTGATATCTTATATTGCGTTCTCTCTTTCAGTGGTTCACACTAGATGATACAAAGACAGGCCAGCTACACCTCCGGCTTGAGTGGCTCACTCTAATGCAAAATGCTTCCAAGCTTGAGCAGGTAAGAAAAAAAGAGGGCCATTCAAGTGACAAACTATGTGTAGGTATTTCTTGACAGAATCCTGTTGATTCACATTATGGGTGGCCGTACAAGGGTTAATAAAAGACTCCTTGTTACGAACGTCAGTAGTTATGGTACTTTGTTCGCCTATTTGTTCCCCAATTACTGAGCATCAGTGATTATAGCTACAGCTAGGGTGTGTAGATGAATAGTCAGGTGAATGCAGTTTCCAAGAAGAATCTCTCCAGCAAAGAAAAAGTTACCCAAGCATGAGCCTAGCCTTCATGAAGGGTACAACAGAAATAATGTTTTATTGATGCCACACTGGCTTTTATGGAAATTATCCTGCAAGAGGACCTCCCACAGTACACAAAAGTGACAACCAATCATATGCTTATTTACAGTAAAACATTCCCTCTCTCTGCCTGGGAGATAATTAGGTAAGCTTAGGGATAACCCAATTATCTCCAGGCAAAGAGCACACAATTTCCCCAAAACCTGGAACACCCCTTTAAACACATGGTATCCCCACTAATGGTATATCCCCTGATAGCCCCAATCTGTGAAACAAACAAATTTCACCCAGATCGGTTCAGGGGTTTTCGAAAAGTGTGGAAGTCTTAATTCACCGACCGCACGCAAGGCTCCTGCCCAAAACAGTTCCATGAATTCAGTGTGTGCGGTCGGTCAATTTCGAAAAAGGCATAAAAGTGAATTAATGCACGAACGGAGCCTCCTGGCTCATAGGAGCGATTGTTCCCCTTGTTCATGGGAACCAAACTACCGAACGGCGCTCTCCTGGCTGTTCAGCAACAAAAGGAAGCAGACGTTCGTAATTTTTCAGGGGTGTTCGGGAAGTCGAGTGTCCGATTTTAGTTTGACACTCGACGACCAAGTCCCACTGCCTCCTTTTGTGAAAACAAGATGGCCGGCGGTTTCTCTTCCACGTGGCGTTCGACTATGTGAATGCCGGCCGCCCAGAGAGAGCGCTCAATTGACGGTTCCCTTTGAAGTTAATGAGCCAGGTGGGAGGTCGGTGTTCGGTAGTTTAAACTAAAGAAAATCCCGAAATCAAGTCTATTTTCTTCACACTCCTGCACACCCGTAGGTACTCGTTATCATTAATAAAGGATTGGGTGTCAATGGGGGCACTCTACTGGGCTTCCACAGGAAACTCTGCTTCAACCATTTATTTATAAATAACCATTTCTAGCTAGTTTGAGATTTCCTCTAAATTATGCAATCCAGTGGTACATCCTGACCTTGGTGAATAACCCCATAGATGTAATAAAACACAGGATAGTCTGCACAAGCCATAAAGAGAGTCTAATGTTAGTGAGTATATTCCCTGATCTTGTATTTTTTTGGTTAACTCAAAGACTTTGTATTAGTTTATTATCAATCTGTTTTATAATAAATATACATTCTGTTTTTATTCAATATTCAGATGGTGTGCTAGAAGTAGAGGAATCTTTAACTAATCTGTGTTTGTTCCCTCATTCCTGCTAGAGAACGTGTATCTGTGAACTTGACCTAAATGCCTCATAGATGTGTCCTACAGTGGAAAGATGTGCATTCAATGAGACTGAATAAACCACCTACATGGTGCACTAGTGAACACAAAATAGTGACTTGCTTGTCTTCTTGTCTTGTATTTCTTAATACAGATAATGAAGATCAACAGAGAGATTTCTTCAAAAATGACAGGAGAGCCTTCTGCCGCAATCTTGATCATCTATCTGGACAGGGCTCAGGATCTGCCAGTAAGTATGAAGTGCTTTTATTGAAGAAGAGGGAAAAAATTGGTTATTGTAGATGACCAGTTACTATTATATGTCATGAATAGATACCGGTAGAATCAGTATAGCTGTGTGATCATTAAGCAGATATGGTGGACCTACAATCTACATATAGACTAATCAGATGTTTAATGTTTCCAAGCTTGAGCAGGTAATAAGGAAGAATCTAGGTCTCGTGAGTTTTTTTTTTTGTTTTTTTTAATTCTTTATTTGTTATAAGAGGTCAGATTTGAAAATACCATACAGCAAATGTGGAGACCACTGATACATAGCAACAAAAGTTTTTGCAATACGACATTCATGTAACATGAAAAGTGAAAACATAACAGATCTTCTGAAATCCATGGTTTTCTCTGCGGTTCCATGCATTTCATCCGATTCCCATGGCTGCCATACTTTTTAAAAAAAAGGCTGGAGTGTGTTACATACTTGCGCTTTTAGTTTGCCATTTAATACGTGTCTTTAAGCTTTTAGGAGGGCTGTTGCTATGGATGGTGTTTTAACCTGCAACCACAATTGAGCTATAGCTCTCCTAGCTGCTTGTGAGATTTTGTTTTGTAGTTTCTGTTCTCAAGAAATCATTCCATCTAAGGGAGAAGAGCCCAAGGGTCTAAGCTAAGTTGTCTGTAGAAAATATAAGTGATCAGGTTACACACCACACTCCAGAATCTGATCATCTTAGGGCAGCTCCACCACATGTGTATAAAAGTTCATTGCTCTCCACACATTTGACAACAGTTATCTGTTGTGGAAAAAACAAGTGGGTAAATGGGTGGAGCACACCTGCCCATGTGGTACAATTTGGATCAGCGTTTCATAAGATTCCTCCTGAAGTGTTACACAGACTGAAACCTTTTGAGCAAGCCTCTCTGATGTATTCCCAGCTCAGTAGGGTAATAGGGCCCTTTTTTCACGTATCTTCCACATGAGGATATTTACGAAAGAATCTTAAACTCTTCTGGCACTATGTAGGTAATGTGCTGTTTTGATTTATTTGGGGGTTTTCCCATCCCATAGTCTAAAACAGGTTAAAGTGTTTTGTTTTTTTATTCCTTTTAAGATATTTCAAACCTAAAATGAATCTGGCATGTGTCTGTACGTTCATGTAAATTTTCCTTCTGAGAAGAATTTAGCTGTATGTCTTGATAAACTGGCATTTTCTCTCTCACCAGTTAAAGAAGGTGACGAAGTCCCCAAACCCCATGGTGCAGCTGTCTATACAGGATGTGACACTGGAGAGCAAGGTACATAAACAGACCAGTAGCAACTGATAAGCACCAAAATTAGATACTCTGTTGTTGATCAGGATGTGCATGTTTAGGGCAGTATTTTTCCATTTTAATTGAAAAGTGACAACAACCACAGATGACTTAGGCAGGCCACCTGCTTTTGTATTTATGCAAATAAATGAGAGTAAATACTTGCTTAACATCTCTAGCAGGGTTATCTGGGTGCTTGTTGACAAGCGTGCCACTCTGCATACATGGTAAAAACTCCTGGCTTCCAACCAAGCCGAAACATCAGGAAGTACAGACTTGTACCTCCGAACAGTTTTTGATTCACAATTCTGGTTCTCTGTCAACAAACACCTGAGAATAATCCACCAAAATTATACAGAGCGTACCGGTATCAAAACCGTAACAATGGCATACAACAACTTTTTAGAGCAGTTCCATTTAGGTCACCAAGTGTAAGGACTATGAGGTAGCAAAGTTACTGAGCCAAGGAGAGTACTGTTGCTTGAAGTGCAGACATATTCCTCATTGTATAAGCATATCGTGGGATCACTCTGAGCCATAGGCTCACAACTGTTCAAGGCCATTTTGCTGTGCCCTATTTCTGATTTATCTATTTTATTTTTATTGCCATGCATTCTCTTTGGCCCCACCCATCCTTGTTTTTTAGCTTCCAGCATCAGCAGGTATTCATACTCACTTGTAGGGGACAAATGCAAACCTTATTTCTCCATGTATTGCTGACAATAGTGAGGAGGAGAGGAACAAACCGCCTCATATACTTATTGCTTTTACATCCTTGCTCATAACATTAAGTTTTTCAGAACAGTGCATCTCGAATTCTGAGAGTGCTGTGTGACTGTTTGTTTTGGTTGGGATCCAAGTCTTATTTTCAGATAACAGGAAGTACACGGAATGATGATCATGAAAAGATATATATATAATTTGCTCTACAATACAAACACTGCATGCTTCTGTCAATAAACTGGCTTTTTTCTAGTCATGCTTCATTTAGAGGGTTTTTTAAAATTTTATTTATTTATTTTTTGAAATTCTGTTTAATAAGAAATATATAGGCTTCACAGCTGTTCTTCCTGCGCACCGAATACCTTCATGTTAAAATGTCAATGTTAGGTTGTTGCTTCTGTGACTCATACCTATCTGTCTGACATTTGTTATCTCACGTAACGACATTCATACTCATGTCATTTTTTTTTCTCTATATATATATGTAACCAACCATGCAGTGATATATCAAAACAAAAATGTTTCAATAAAAATAGATCAAGAAAAAAGAAAAATACACTAATATAAAAACAGTTTCTTGTACACTAAACTGTATCCTTTACATCAGTATAGTGTCTAACATGAATAAAGGACAACGTAGCAATTATAATAAATGTTTGCACATCACAAAATGTGACTTGACCCACATGGATTATTTTTTTTTTTTATATTCTTTATTTTTGCATGACACGTGAAAAAGCACAACAGTAATGGTACATATCTATTCATTCCACATATTATCAGGTATTTTTATAGACTAAGATATTGACAAGGTACAAACACAGTAAACATCCATATGTTACCATTACACTTAAGGTTTGCAAAGTAGTAGTCATTGTTATTAATATTAATTTCCTTAAGATAAAGGGAGATATGAAGAAAGGAAAGAGAAAGAAGTAGTAAAAAGGTGGTGGCAGAGGAGAGGGATGACTCTCTTTGATTCTGGTTATTACTCCTGCAAAATTTGGGCCTCCCTGTTGCAGCCAAGAGGATGCTACTGCCATTCGTGAGGCCCGGGTGATTTTATGCAAACGTTTTTGTTCACTCCTGGTCCAACCATCTATGGGGCTATTTAGTAGATACAGCCAGTATTTTATTTCCGGGGCTCTAGTAAACACCTGGATCAACAGATTCTTAAACAATTTCCAGAATCTTCGCATAAGTGGACATTCCCACCACATATGTAAGTATGTCCCCTTCAATCCACATCCTCTCCAGCAAACGTCAGTTGTGTGCATTCAAAATAGCTTTTAACAGGAGTTGTGTACCATCGCAACATGGTTTTAAAGGATTGTTCCTAGAGGGTTACGAACATAGAAGTGTTATTGATAGGTTCCCAGATCTCCTGCCACTCAATGCCTTCTAGTTTCTTGCCTAGATCCCATTCCCACTGGTCACCGTATGTCAGTCTATCCCATTCATTATTTTCAGAGTAGAGGTGGGTGTAGAGCAGCGTTATAGTTCCTTTAGGCATATTTCTGGCCCCACAGATACGTTCGAAGAACGTCAGCAGTGTACGCGCTGCTGCTTTGATGTGGGGTTGTTTCGCAAAATCTTTAATGTGAAGATACCTTAAGAAGTCGGAAGGTGTCAGATACCTCCGCTGTTTAAGGTCGTCAAAAGTAATGACCTCGGTACCCTAAAATAAATGGCATATCCTCTGAAGGCCTGCCTTCCCCAGGTTTCAGAAGTCCCCGGCAGTCATGCCTTGCAGAAACGGTCTGTTGCGTAGGAAGTACATGAGGGGAGAAGGAATGCTGACAACCCATACTTTTGCTTTGACGAATCCCAGATTCTCAGAGAGTTGAGAATTGACGTACAAGTGACTCTAAGCAAGGGTCTATGTTCCTTGGGAACCCACATGTGAATTGAGGCAAGTCTGCTCCCGCCATGAGTAACTCTATTTCCACCCACTTCCTATTATCTGAAGGAGAATGCCACATCGCTACTTGCATCAATTGAGCTGCTAGATAATAGAAGTACAGGTTAGGGAGGCCCAATCCGCCCTGCGTTTTTCGGCCGATACAATACCTATCTGGATATTCTGTGTGTCGTTTATTTTGCCATATAAATGTACCCATCACTTGTTGTAAAGGCAATAGGTGTGCCTTGGTAAGAAGTGCTTGGAACAGGAAAAGAATATGCTGCAGAACATTTATTTTTAATGAATTAATCCATCCTATCCACGATATGGGCTTATCAGTCCAGTTTTCCATGTCCTTTGTCAGTGTTTTCATTAACGGTATGTAGTTATGGCTATATAGTATCTCCGGGTCTGCTGTTAAGTGAATCCCTAAGTATTTGTGAGAGCCGCTTTCAATCCATATGTTATATATATCTCGCAACAGTGTCGTGTCCGCCACTGCCACTCCTACCGGCAGGGCACTACATTTAGCCAAGTTTTCCTTATATCCCGAGATTGCCCCACAATCCTGTAGTATCCCCTGCAAAGTAGCCATAGATTCCACCAGGCTTCTTGAGTGTCAAGAGCACATCATCAGCGTATGCCGATACCAGGAATTCCCTACCTCCCAGTTGGACTCCAAGTACATTTGGCTTTCTCCATAGCACCTGCAGGATGGGTTCTAATGATATTACAAATAGTAGGGGGGACAGCGGGCATCCCTGTCTACTGTTGTTATAAAGTCGTAAAGGTTGAAAGGGGGCTCCCCGAGATCTGCACTTGTGCCCTCACGTTACTATACATGGCTTTTATTAGTGTGACATATTCCTTTGAGAACCCCAGGTGTGTCAATAAGGTAAACCTGTATGGCCACTGGACCCTATCGAAGGCCATTTCGGCGTCAATAGAAACAACCAACGTAGGCGAATGTGTTTCCACATCAGATCTATGCTTCTATGGTTATTTTCGAACAATTGTCTGCCTGGTATGAAGCCAACTTGATCGGCGTCATTCAGGGCTGTTAAAAATGGGTTGTCTATCCGCCTGAATCTTTGCAAGGATCTTCATATCGTGGTTTATAAGTTATATAGGTCTGTAGTTTTCGGGCAGTAGCTGGTCTTTTTCTGGATTTGGTATAAGTACTATGGTAGCGAAGGACATGTCGTGGTCCGGTGTACTACCCTCTCTGAGCTCAGCAATTAACCATGACAAATGAGGTACAAGTTCCTCTCTGAAAGTTTTATAGTAGGTCCCGTCAAACCCATCAGAGCAGGAAGGAAGAAAGGAAAGAGAGAAAGGAAAGAAGGTATGCAATATGCATACCTAGATAGGTATGAAAGACATCTGGTCTTACGAATCGCCAGACCCATGCGGGGTACATGATCCAGCACCTCCACCGCACTCGTGAGAGGCAGATGATGCAGGCCGCTTCCTTAGGAGGTGCCAGCCGTTACCATACCCCTAAGGGAGGTTCCTCTGTGACTGTCACGGAATGTAGTGAGCCCCTCTTAAACAATAATTGGGACCCCTTTAGAATTGCATTTTTTGTACTGCATATTCTGTTTTGCTTAGTAACTACACTTTGTAGCTCTCTCCTCCAGCTGGGTAGGAATATGGATATCACATGAAGTAGGTATGTGAAAGTGTGCTGCTTGTGCTGGAAGCACATGAATTTAGCGGTAGCATAACATCAGCCAGGAGGTCACGTAGGCAGTCAAACTAAGGAAGTAGCCAATGTCTAGCATATGTTATTGTACACTCCCTAACCAGATATTTGTTTTTAGTCGTTTGTTTTGTTTTCTTATTTATATTTTTTCATATTTTTGAAACGCATGGAGAATAGGTCTACAGGCTATTAACTACTCTCCCTATTACCAGCAAGCCCTAACCAGTCCGTATGAGTAATCAATATCTATATATGCCATGGTTTAGGTGGTAGCCCTTCTAGTCTGGTTATTTAGGATCCTGAAACATTCCAGTGCTGGGCCCGGCCGAAATGTGTGCTACTAGTGTCTGCCTGTGAGAGCCCTAGGGAAGGGCGATTATTCTGGCAACTGTAGAGCACAGACGTCATGAATAGTGGTATAATCGTGCTGCAATTCACTTAACTATATACAAGAATAAACTCAACTGTGACCTCCTAGCCCTCGTAGTTATGATATCCCAATGCCTTGCCCCGTGTTGTGGGGATAACAGGTATGCCCACATATGCCCCATGAAAAGTAGTATGGGATACTATAGGGGTCATATGCCTGCGCTATCTTGCCTTTAACCATTCAGGAATGCATCGAGTTCCGGGGAAGTCCATATGTGTCAGCCCTCTGAAGGAAAAGTCTGCCACCATTCAGAGTACTGTTGGGATCGGCTAAGCGCTGCACCCGGCACCCGGACACAAATAAGCCCTTCCATGTTGTTGCTGTAATACTCATCCCCGTCCCTCACTCAATGCCCCTCCATCCTGCAGTAATACGTATCCGGTATGAACCATGGTTTGCTAGTGTGGCTGTAATTGCGGCCATGGACAAAACGGTGGGTAGGCCCATATCCCTCACCCGTCATCCCCCAACAGTCCAGTCACCAACCCCCCTAATACTGCAGCAAGTAGTAAAACCCCCCTCCCCCAAAAAGCTAGAGTTTTCCCCAGCTGGCAACATACGATACCCGTTGAGGTAGTCAGTGCCCTCACACTCCAACCTCCTGCCACTCGCTCGGCAGCTGGCGTCACTCTTGCGGGGTCGCAGAAATATTAGGCAGGTAGAGACAAGGCCCAGGAATAAGCGCTGTGTATCTCCGCTGGGTGTGAGAACCTGCACACAGGCATATCGGAGACCTCCCAAGCGCAAGGTTTCAGTGATGGCTTTCCATTCACAGCGGCGCTGGAGAGTGCTGAGCGCTACGTCCTGATACATGAATAGGTCTGTGCCTGCATGCTTGATGGGCCCTTCTCTGCTCTTTCGAAGCAGGACCTCCTTCATCTGGAAGTGGAGGAATCTGATAACCACATCTCTCGGGGCATTGGCATCGGCTCTCCGAGCATGTAGGGCCAAATGTGCCAGTGGCTGTCTGGTACGTCCGGCAACAGGGGCTTAAAAATGGTGAGCAGGAGATCTTGAAGGGGGCCTTTATTATCCTTCTCTGAGAGGCCTTGAAGGCGTACATTATTTCGCCTTGATCGGTTAGCCATATCCTCCATAGCCAGTTTCGTCTCTGCCATGAGGGAGGTGAGACGATTTACGTGGGTGATCACCTCATTATGTTCCTCAGTGGTGTTTTAAAGGCGTTCCTCCAGCCGCATGCGCGGTTCTTGTGCCGAGTGCGAGCATTTCGGACTGTAAGACAGCCGTTGACTTCTCAATTTCACCGGCAAGGTAAGTGTGGACTTCAGCCAGCTTAGCCAGAATCTGTGTGGTATAACTAGAGGAGGGTTCCACGTTAGGAGCTGCACGTGGTGAGGGTGGTGGGGAAGCTACGACGTCATCTTGATTTTCCGTCGGCCTGAGTTTCTGGGCAGCAAATAGGTTCAGCATCATGTTCCCGGATTCACGTCCTTCTTTTGCGTGTTTTTTTGGGTTCCTCATCTCCATTTTCTGTAAATTAGCAGGTTTGAGTAGCTTTTGTGTGCTTATGGCAGTGTGAGAAGAGCGGAGCTCTACACAGATGCGTCCAGCTCTCTCCTCTGTCACTGATCCACATGGGTTTTCACTTGACTTTATTCTACATAATTATTCTCTTACAAAATGTTGCATCATCGCATGATTTTTGGAAAACATAAGATATATTCTACATATATTCTACCCTTACCTCCATTTTGAAAGAACTTTAAGAGAAATTATTTAAGTATTTGTAATGTAAAGATCTGTTTGCCATATCTTCTTTCTGTTAATCAAACCCCCTGTAATGTGCAATCGCAAGGTTTATGAAACTAAACCTTAGATCGTGTTACTCCTGCTTTGGATTATTTAATTAAGTTTTTGCATGGCAGTTTGAAAACTCCACTAGAATTATATCAAGCAAAACAGAAAGATTCTGCTTGCTAATCTCCATGCTTGAATTCTAGGAGGTTTCAGGCAGATTCTGACCATCATGGTCCTTTTGTAGAAATATATTAAGACAGTACCTTACCTAGATCAGGGGATGCATTTATAGTATTGTAGTGTATGTTAACATGTCTTAAATCATGTGTGGACAACATCCATTCTACCAGTTTCTCCCTATCCTGCTGGTTTTCATTTAAATTTATATTGTATGTATAACAGAAAAACAATCACTTACCGAGTCACATTGTGTTTCTTCCTTGCAGACCGTGCATAATACCAACTCTCCTGTTTGGGAAGAGCCATTCCGTTTCTTTATTCGTGACCCCAACCTGCATGACTTGGACATACAGGTGAGACTGTATACACCGAGAACAATATGATTCTTTGTATTCTCCAGCTTGGGCTACTCTGTATTAGTCCAATTGCACATAAGCATCTATTGTTTTTTGTTGTTGTTTTTTTCCTAGGTGAAAGATGATGATCGGCAGTTTTCATTGGGCTCATTGTCTCTTCCACTTAGTCGGATCCTTTGTGCTGATCAACTCACATTAGACCAGTGGTTTCAGCTGGAGAACTCTGGATCCAGAAGCAGAATCTACATGAAACTCGTTATGCGGGTAACAATCATAAACAAAGAAAGGAACCTGTGACATTTTCATTGACATTCACTACTGGCACCATTAGCACTTCCTGCACCAAACTTCACCAAAAAGTATTTTCCTGTATTCCCTGTAATTATCTGTTTCGCCTCTTATTTACATGTTTAAAAAACAAAACATCCAAGTATATTTCTTAGTGTTGTGCTTTAGACAGTCTTGACAATCTCCTTGCCATGACACCACTTCTTGTCATGTAGAACGTTCTCTTAACTGTGGTGACCATTTTGCACAAAGTCATCTCATTTGTTATTTTGTAAATTATGACTTGATCTTCCTATCTTATGCTGTTATTAGTTTTCAAACACATGGCAAATTATGTAATCACATACTTTCTATGCACCCCTTATTAGGGATACCAAATTAACATTTTACGTTTGTGGAACAGATTCTTTATGTGGACCCAGCATATGTCCCTGTGGTGGAAACAGAGAGTGCTGGGATTGAGGCTTCAATTGGATCCAGTGTAGATTTGCCCCCAAGACCTGTAAAAACCAACCCTGCGGAGAAGTTTGCAACTGAGGTAATTTATTACCAGGTTATATTATGAGTTTGTATAGCTAAGATGTTTTGGAAATCCACCACTCATATTTAAAAAAAAAAATACTTTATAATGATCTGTTCAAGCACTCCGGAGAGTGACATGTATATAGTTGTCCAGTGTAATTGCGAAGATGCAGGTCCTTCACACTTCCCAAACACAGTTTGTGGCTTATAAAATTTTGAGAGAAAGTTGGTAGACTCTTATAATGAAAAATTAAGATAACATGGTGACTGCCTAGAAAGACACCGTAAGGATAATTTACTGTATCATTTACACAGCTACATTGTATGGACCTTAATTTGTAAATAAATGTGTTTTTATTAAATGCAACAAATCTGTTATCCCACCCCCTTTGGATTCATGGGGTTATCCTGGTCCCACTGGAATGATCTCTGGCTACTGCTTGAGAGACTTTCTGTTGAATTGTGTGTTTGTCCTGATTAAAGATGGCAGCTGCACCTCACTCAAATTAAAGCTGGAGCTCATTCCTTCAGGCCTTTGAAGACCTGTGCAGGCAATTCTTGGCAACGCTTGCGCTCTGGGTCTCCAGCAGAGCATCACAGTGGCTTACGGAGGTGAGGCCGAGGTTGTCTCTCCGACTCTGGTTATCCAATAGTTCAAGACTTTGCAGCCACCCACCCTTGCCAAGAACCCCTTCATACAGTTCTTACACTTGGAAAGTCCAGGGTCGGCATTGCTGGGAGTGTACACCAAGACGACCACGAGTTGAGCACTGTTTGCCATTTCAGTGTGGGCTTGGGGATGACTTGAAATATTGCCTGGGGAATGTGGAGTGTTTTGGCTTGGATTGCTTGGACCATGCCTTTTAGTGTTGGTGATGTGCTTCTAGCCGAAGCGTGTTATATTTGCTCCATTATGCGGGGCAATGTTTGATGGACTTCATCCCCCTTGTCATGTCATGTAAGACAGATGTGGGGGACTATCATCTCATGTTGGATCATTTATTATTTTCAAAATTTTATTATTTCTGCAATTTTATACTCTTCCTCTGGCACCCATATATTGCTGGTCTAGACAGTTAATGCTAATGCTGACTATTGTTATCCCCTTTCTTACCCAAAAAGAGTGGTTTTACAACTAGTGCAATTCTGCTACCAGAGTGCTATATGAGATATCTTTGCACTACTTGTGTTTCTACTTTATTACTTTGCAAAATGAGATGTCCTTATCTATGCTAGTTCTGCCTATGATTTTATTTGTGAATGTTTTTTCTTTTACTGTATGACGGTTACATGCTGATATTGCAATCTGTTTGTTGTCTCCTACCATCTCAATAAATACAAAAAAAGGAGGGTATGTACATTCATAAATTAAGGCATCCAGGAATAAGAAAATTGGGTTGTAAGAATTGTACACACTGTGTTTCATTGCATTGCTGTTCCAATTCTTTATTTTTATCTTGTACCTAATAAAACTGTGCTTGTTTTCAGAACGTGATTCGCGTGTTCGTCCTCGAAGCAGAAAATCTGATTGCCAAAGATAACTTCATGGGTGGGATGATAAAAGGGAAATCTGACCCTTACACTGTGATACGAGCGGGAGGCAAATCTGTGCGTACCAAAGTGGTGAAGGAGAATTTGAACCCGCGGTGGGACCAGGCCTTTGAGGTAACACACACACATATACAGAGTAATGACTATTATTATTATTATTATTATTATTATTATTGCCATTTATATAGCACCAACAGATTCCGTAGCGCTTTACAATATTATGAGGTGGGGGATTTAACTATAAATAGGATAATTACAAGAAAACTTACAGGAATGATATGTTGAAGAGGACCCTGCTCAAACAAGCCTATAAAAACAAGTCTATAGGAGCTGGGGTATAAAACACAATCTGACAGGAAATTATCACTGTATACTTGCTCATTGTCCTATAACAGTGGTTCTGACACTGCCCACATTAAGATTTAAATGTAGTTGCACTGATTTACTGCAGTAAAGTCAACACCAGGAAAGTATTTTTAAAAAAATACTTGTTAAATGATTATTTATTAATTAATGGGTGGGCCATTGCGTGAATGTTTCAGTTAAGGAATAGGTATAAAAGATAAAATAATAAATAAAACTCTGATGCAATGTACACAATTTGGGCCCCTGACCTAAAAAACATTAGAGAAAAACTCTGTTCCATATTTAGTAAATATACTTTTAAAGAACATAAACCATATATGTATAACTTGCAAAAAGTAATACCTCTAAAAATGTACAACTTACCCACACAAACATAACTTTCCACATGCTGTGGGTATTCAGTTCTTTGTAAAATGAGCGACTGGCAACAGATCATGGGAGTTGGAATAGACATTATTAGGCGATACTGTTGATGTGAAAAGGTGAAAATGTTCAAAAATCAGTAAATGTCTTAACCGTAAATACTTTTTTTTATCTGCAGATACTGGTTACAGATATCCCAGGGCAGGACATTGAATTTAATGTGTTTGATAAAGATGTTGATGCAGATGATTCCTTGGGAAGGTCAGTATATGTTTTGTGTATGGTATTATTACAATTTATGTGTAGTATATGATGTATTTGGGATTTATTTTGTTTTGGGCACAAACTGCTCCTGTGCCTCTTAATTAGACATGGTCAGATCACATATATATATAAAATATCACGGATTCACTGTGTCACAAGCTGGATTGGCTTCACCTCAGTTAGTATTTACAGGCAGCTTCTCAGGATTTGCATAAAAATAGAATAAAACCAAAACAATGCATTATATTATTATAGCAATATACATCCCACCATCCTTGGACTCAATACTTACTCTGTGCCTCGGTCTTTCTGGTGTTTATCAACATCTGGGCTCAGAGAATACATTCAGACTGAAGGTTTTCTGGTCAGGGCGCCAGCTAGAAGGTTGGCGTGGGTGAGCATTGTTACAGCCTCAGTGATTTTAAATAATTTACATTTAGAACTGTACTTTGCAGTGTGCCCTTTACTCTTTTGAGTGTAATTCTGTTTATTAAAGAAAATCCCCAAAATGCTCCTGTATAGAGGACACAGTGACCGTTTCCATTAATATTAATATGGGGTTTTATAGTGTGAGATACTAAAAGGTGCCAATGGCATGAGTCATCGGTTACAAGTTCCAAAGAGTTGCTATATCTGCCATGTGCTTTGAAGTAGCTTTCCTTAGTAAAAGAATGTAAAAAATTTCATTTTGTTACCCCCAGGTAATGGGTTAGCTTTGTTTGACTTTAGTCTATGAGTACTAGCTTAACAGTTGGCGGTTTTTCAAGACAATGGTTTAGAGCATATTTCATATTCATAAATATCCTTCAAACTATGAATTTTTTACACTAATCAGAAATTCTGGAGAACTGTAAACAGTATTTTAAAATACAGGACAAAAATAATCCCGCAACTTGGCTATTTTCCAGCTTAGCTATTTTGTCCCAAAACATTGAAAAAATCTATCTGTAGTTAGAATTATTAATATAGCTCCTACATATTTTACAGTGCTGTACAGTAAGTAAAAAAAGACAAACCATTCTAACAAAACACGTTTGACATACAGGAACAGTTTGTGTGTCAGGCCTCTCATATGCCTTAAAGCGGCACTGTCACTATATAGGGACTTTGCGGAACGGTACCATTGCCCCCGGAGGCCAGGGGGGCTGGTAATGGTGAGCCTTACTTACCTGAACCTGTCCCTTGTGGGACAGTCGCACCTACCTGCAAGTAATGTGCTCAGCCTTCCTGAACACTTCCTGTAAAGTGAGATCTAATGTTTACACTTACTTTATTGCAAATTCTGTTTAATTTTGAATTTCTTATTACCTGAACTGTTAATAGTTTGCTAGGCTTTGTAGTAGCCTCTTCTATGTAATTAAAGTTCAAGTTACAGAGCAGGAGATTAAAACTTCTAAAGTAAGTGAGTATCTGTTTGAAAATTAAACCTATTTTCTTTGATGCAGCATGTGAGAGTCACAGCCAGGGGAGGTGTGGCCAGGGCTTCATGGATAGAAACAAAAGTGATTTAATTCCTAAATAACAGAGAATTGAGTAGTGACACTTAAGAGGCATGACCTATACACAAAACTGCTTTATTAAGCTAAAGTTGTTTTAGTGATTATGGTGTCCCTTTAACAATGTGTCTTATATCCTTACATATTTTTATTTCTCTCTGGAATTTATTATTACAATATTCGTTATGGGTTTTAGAGCCCTCGGAGGCTTCCCAAGTATATGTTTATGCACCTTATTAAAATATTTATATTTAAAGAATACTAATACCAACCCTAATAACACAAAAAAACACAATAATTCCAAATAATATTAGTGTAAATTATTTACATCTCCACATTTTGTGTAACATTTCAGAAAGGGTGTATTTTAGCCAACCTAGAGTTAAAGGGACACCGTAGGCACTGTATCTGCTTCATCTCATTAAACTGGTTATAGTTTATGGAGTCCCCTGGTGCCATCATTTCTTTCAGCATTAAACAGTTTTTAATGTTGTAATGTTTTAATGCTAAACAAGAGACCACGGTAGTCCATCCCCTCTGTGCTGCTTTGGCTAATAAGGAAGTATTACCCTGAGCAGCAATGGGCAGCTGTGATTGGCTGAGAGTGTCAGCTGACTGCTTTTAACCTGTCAGAGTTCCAACTGACGGTATGAATGGGTATGACAACAAGGAAGTGTGTAATCTCTGCCTTAGCTACACATACAAAAGGGGCCGGACTGTGGGTGGCCAGGGACTCTTAATTTATGGCATACTGCACAAACATGGTGCAACACTGAATGGAGGGACAGTGCCAGGGCACTCCAGGCACTATAACCAATTCAAAGAGACAAAGTGGTTATAGTGACTACAGTGTCCCTTTAATAGTCAATAATAAATGTCCTGCAGCTGTGGTTCAAGCTCCCTACGCAGGCTCTCCTGAAAACAGCGATGTTCACGGTTTTCTATCATAAGCAGTTACAAACTTGATGTGACTATGGAGTAATGTAATGTGATCTATTCTGTTTGCTATTTATTTACTTACCCTTTTTTAAAGTTTAATAACCGCACTGTTAATCTTCACTTTGTCCCACCCCTCCTCCATCTTCTTTCTTCACTAGTTGTAAAGTGAGTGTGAAAGACGTCCTGAAAAAGAAAACCATTGATGAGGTATTTATATATACATTTGTGCAGTTTATTTTTTGAAAGGAGAAATACAGAAAAAAAACTTAAAAATCCATAGTACTTTATATATTATTAGATGCAAACTCACAGTAGACATGTTGATGATTTACTGCTATTTGTTTGTATTAGAACTCCATGTCATGGTAGCACCTTGTTTATTCATTATACCCATCTGTCCTGCCTTAAAATGTAAACAGTTTTCGTGTTTATTTTGTGAGTTACTTGGCATGTTGCAGCCTGATACAGTTCTCTGTTTATTACTTGGCATCATATCTGCTTTGTTTCTTCAACTAGAAAATGTTTCTGTGCCATTGCTGAAAATAGTCTTTCTTACACTGGAGTCCCGTTTATAGCTTAGTTATGGTTGACCCTCACACTCCAGATGTTTCTAAACTACATTCCACGTGATACTCGACCGGTCCTAAGGCTTTCTAAGCATCTTGGGAAATGTAGTTTAGATGATCCTGGTATAACTTGTATATGAGGTGAACTATATACAGTGCTAATGTCCGTGAACCTATTCATCAAGCTCTGCTACAGCAATCAACAACCAGTGCTTGTTAGGGTTTTGTTGCCTTTGTTATCACCACATTGACAGACATGGGTCTTAGTGCAATATAATTGTGCGTATTTTCTCCATATTAAACACAGTGTAACTCGTTTCTCTTGTGTGTTTCCAGTGGCTGCCATTACAGGAAGTTAAATCTGGGAAACTGCACGTCAAACTGGAGTGTCTATCTCTAATTACTGATGCTTCTCAACTGGATCAGGTATTAAATTTTCATTGCTTTACAGTATAGGAAGGAGAAAAGTTTGTTCTTTTTTTCTGGTGTTGCTGAGAATATGTCTTTTTCAGGTGCTGATGATAAACAGTCTGTCTCAGCCTGCCAACAGTGAGGATTTCTCTGCCGGCCTTCTGTTTGTCTATATAGAGCGAGCAAGCAACCTTCCTGTGAGTTCTCATTAACTGTCTGCTGCCAAATACATTCTCTCCAGTCTGTTTTTTTTTGAATGCATCATCTAACCTCTTTTGACTCCCATTTTGTTATCATCTTTTTAATATAGTGCCTGCATTCCCTTTATTATCTGACCTATTTATTATAACATCTCCTTGTACACAGATACTGAAGGGGAAAAACCCACCAGCAGCAAATGCAGAGCTTACTGTGAAGAAAGTTACTTACAAGACCAAGGTACGATTTATTGATACTTGTCACCTTCATGACAGCTTAGAGTTTCAAACACGTTACAATATATAAATTAATATGGGTCTATTTGAATACTGTATACATCTGTTGTTTCATACAGTTTTTTTTAATTTTTTTTTATCTTCAATGCTACCTCTTTACATTTGTAGCTTTATTGTTCATTCATAACATATAATGTCTCATGCAGAGTAGACAGCAGTGTTTGCATAACACTGAAGAATTCTCTACAAATGACTCAGTCTAAGCAAATAATTACTCTGATATCTAAGCAATTATTTTTCTTCTCTCTATAAATGGTCTAATCTTTTACAGGACAGTGTACATTAATAATTGTCTTGATAATTGTGTTTTCTTGCATAAACAAGACCCAACACCCTGTATCCAGTTATTCCTACCTAAACATGCATGAGAAATACACATATATGTATACTCAATTCTTTGTATAATTTATTACATTTATAGGTCCGTGAAATTCTAAACCTTGCTTAACAGTTGCAATCTAAACAAAATATTGTTTATCCACAAGTAAATATAAACCTTTTTAAACTGGAAATTTAAAGATATGGAACCACCAACTTGTATTGAGTCCTATTCATTAAAGGGGCACTCAAAGTTGGAACTCACCTATTTTTAAATATATTCTATAGATAATTCACTTGGACAAATATGCTAAACAATCAGTGCGAAATTGTGAAATACATTTCCAGGATTCACAATTCAAGTAGGTAGCACTTCGTAGACATGGAAATGATCAGCCAATTAGCTGGACTTTGTGGGCAGATCAGGGGTTTCTTGTATTTGTAGTTCTGTTATCCAATTATTACGCCCAGAAATGCTTCCTGCTGACAAGAATAGTGTGTTATTGGAGAAACACTGCAGTTTAGGAGGAAGCGACAGAAAGGAAGCTGTGACTGAGTTTCAAAATGGGGTAGCAAAGAAGGGGTTCTTGACACGCTAATTCTTTTCAGTGACCAGAACTGCAATTTATTGGGTAACACAGCAACACAATAAGGGTGAGTGCTGGTCACTGAAAAGAATTAAGGTGTGCTTAACCACTTCTTTGCTCTTGGAAACTTTGGTGGTTGGTGACACAAGGGTTAACCCTACACCCTGTGTTGGGAAAAAATAGATTTTTTTTTTTTTACTGTGGCCTGGAAATTATATGGTTGCTTTCATGATATGTCTATTGTTGAGATTGACTTGGTTTAAACTGTTCTAAATAGAGAACTCTAAATAAAAAGGATGGTGGGACAGAGGAAACAGGGCTAATATACAGAATACAGCAAATACATTATTTTACCATTTCTGGGTAAATAACCTGCAGTTCTGGCATTGGCTATCTAGCTTATTCACATGTTGCTTTGAAAACTCAAGCATTAAAGTGTAGTTTTCACTGTATCGCTAATACTGAAACATCTGTGCAGGAGTTACATGTAGCTGGCTTAGCCGGGGATCTCCTGTACACACAGTAGTGAATGCAGCCATCATAAGTGACCTAGCAATACTTTTGCTCCATCTGAGAGTTTAGCAAGCCTACCACTATTATTTCAGCGCTGGTCAGACAGAGAGTGAAATTCTTTCTCATCAGCTTTTTTTTCCCGGCATATAACCCATATATATGCCCAGCAGTACAATTCCTACCAATCTTGGATAGACCAACCAGAACATTGTATGTCCTCATGCTGCTTTTAAATTTAAAAAAAAAAACTATAGCCCTAAATCTAATATAAAACAAAACCTATACTATAAACGATACATAATACCAATGACTACGAATACCAATAATTCCCAATTAATCCTCTGGAGACCTTAATATACCACTTTACCTTAGATCTTGTGGTGTATCTTTTTTTTTTTTTTCAATGTATTTTATTTTTCAATTTTCATTGGTCATGCATAATATAGATAGGAAATAACTCAGGAGGGGGTACACGGAGAGAAGAGGGGGGGTGGGGGAGGGCGACAATGCATATACAATGTATCATATTCATACAAAAGTATTTTTAACAACTGTACATAGAATTAGATATTAGTCACAAATCACTAGCTTCCGAATATAGTACATACATTGGTAGTTATATACATGTTTGCATGAAACGTTCTAAGGCACTAACTTGGTTCCTTACGCCCTAACTGTTGAGGTCGCTGGGGTGGGGGGAAAAAAGGTCTTGTGGTGTATCTTAACTTCATTTGTCACTGTTCTGTATTGTCTCTTTCTTTTTTATACACATAGACAGATGTATAATTTGAGGATAAATAATACTATGCTCAGTCTGGTGTGACAATAGCAAACACCTAAAAATACATACGGAAAAGCTAAAATGAAATCACAGGAGGATTGTTTCAGCATTGTTTGTCTTTGTTTTGTTCCTTCTCAGTCTGCCTCAAAGAGCACCTCTCCTGTGTGGGATGAAAGCTTTGTTTTTCTCATCAGGAATCCAGCTAATGAGACCTTCCAGCTACAGGTCAGTATGAAGCATGATTACCTGCATTAATTTGCTGATAACATTCTTGTGTATTTTTATTTACATTCAACATTTTCTTGCAGGTTCGCGATGACTCTCATAATTCCTTGGGATCCTTCAACATGCCCATTTCTGATCTCTTGGATGCTGATTGTCTGACATTTGACAGATGGTTTAATCTGACTTCACCTGGACAGCACAGTCAGGTTCTGATGAGACTGCAGTTGAGAGTGAGTGCATGATGTTATTTTGTTGTATAGATCAATGATGGCTGAGCTTGTTATCCCAGATTTTTGAGACCTGTCTTTCCCATGATGCTCAGTCAGCCTAGTCTTAGCCTGGCCATCTCTGTTTTTATAAAGGCAAATGTAAAATTAATAGATGTTACTATGTCTATCACAAATAATTTTCAATGTTACAAATTGTAACAGGTTTTAAAGTTATATATTGTAACCTGATACTTGCATATCTCTGCCCCCTAGATTTTGTCCTCTCCAAATGTCAGTCCTGAGCTCCAGGCACTTAAGATTGCTTCATCTGATCCTCAAAGACCCCCCAGTCCAAAGAAATTGTCTGACACTGACAACATAATGCCTGCTTTTGATAGCAGTGACCTTGCATTTGCATCCTCCCCGGGGGATCTCCGTCAAAGACTGCCTCACTCTAACAGGTAAGGCTCACATTGGGTCATTATTACAACTGCATGGATTTCTTTAATGTAGTCATTTTTCTGTATTTCTTATTTTGAATCCACAAGTTGCCCTAAATTCACTTTCATTTTAGCAATTACCCCTATAAAAAGACTAACAGGTGTTTTTTTTTTTTTCCTCTTCTGATACCATTAAATTGTGCTTTGGTAATATTCTGTGTGGTTAAACACCCCATTCAATCTGTAGGGTGAAAAACATTGTCCAGGAATTGTTGATAAAGACTATAAAGATGCCATTCTTTTGCCTTTTCACTCTACTTGGGCCACTTCACTGCGCCCCCCCCTTCTCCCTCAAATAATCAAAATTACTGTTTACTAGATATACGCCAATAAAAACATTTATGCATATTTAATTATATGTTTGTTTTTTTCCAATGGGAGTATATCTAAAAACCATTTGCAAAAGCTGCAATTCTCTTGTCTGAAGCCTTTGCAAGACTCCCCCTGCTGACCCAGCCCAGACTCCCAAATACAGATGGAATCTAAGGGGATCTCAGTGTTGGAGTCTGCAGAGTCAAGAGATTCTGCTTTTATCTTAGGATGGTAATAGATTGTTAGCACTGCTTAAAAAAGATTATCTTTGAATATTTATATAATGTTATGGTAACAATTCAGGGAGTAGTGATTGGAGACCTCCTTGTGAAGGGGGTTAAAGGAGAATAAATGTAACAACCAACTTTAGATTACCCTAATAGAGAGTGGGCAAAGCGAGGTAACTATGTACAACTGGCAAAAGTTAACATGACCATAAAGGATAGGTAGAGGTATAAGAGGAAATATGGCTAACGGACGTATATGTACCTGTGCTCTGTTCTGGAAGGAAACATACGGAGTATAGATTTGTTTTAATGAATACTTCAAGTTGCACAAATTAAAATTGATTTTATATAGAAATATTTGTATCCTTTCTTCCACAGCGATCCATCTTCCACAGACTCTCTCCTGGGACAGCTGAGGATGACCCTGTATTACCCTGCTAAGGAAGGGAGACTTGTAGCAGTGGTACACAACTGCAGGTAATGCAAGTTAGTACATGTTTACTAACAAACATATGCTTCTTGTCACATGTTACACAACACATTGTAATCTATTCATGCAATCTGGTCTGCAAAACTGGCCATATGGGACCAGAGATTAGGATGGCATTATAGTCTGCCAACTGAAATGTTTAGATACATTTGCCAGCAGTTTGGCTAATTCTGTTGTAGTTAAATATCCTCTTCAAAGTGAAACCATGTCATTAATAGTGGATATTCACTACTATCTATCCATATGCTAAATAAAAATGCATTATTCAGTAACTTGCCCCATACATAATACATCAATATGAATCCTGGTGAAAAATATTTTCAAGAAGGACCAACTTTTGAAGCAGTAGGGTATACATTTCTCACTTGGAATCTCAGGACAGAGAATAGGCAAAACATATATTGTAAAGTGTTGTACATTATTATAGTTATTATCATTAGCATTATGATTGTCATTGATAGAACACCAGTATATTTCAGTGCTTCACAATTATACAATGGGCATATATAGCAAGCAATGTAAATGTTAATAGATACAAGAGTTGAAGAAGGCCCTACGCAAAGGAACTTCTAATCTAAGATAGTACAATGCTCTGTATTCTAGTTCTAGAGTGTCGAGTGTGAGTCTTTCTCCACTACTGACTCCTAAAATAATGATGAGAAAATTATCTTGGTATAAGCATGTAGAGCCAGTTTTGGTTGGAAAGTAGTAGTGGGACACTTTTTTTTTTTTTTTTTTTCCTCTCGTCTCCTTCGCTGAACATATACAAAGATCCAAACCCAAATGTCACTGAAAATTTTATTTAAAAATGAATCCATTTTTGTAACATTATCACCACTTTTGAACACAGAGCTTCTGACAAAAAAAAAAAAAATGTAACACGTGTGCACTCTTGACTAGTGTTTTGTATTTAATCTAATCAATTAATTTTTATCAGAAATCTAGGCCTCTCTTCCAAGGAACCTCCCGATCCTTACCTGTCAATGGTATTGCTACCAGACAAAAAGCGGAAAACCAGTGTGAAGAAAAGGACCAATAACCCAGAATTTAATGAAAAGTATGTTCATTTTGGAATTCATAAAATTGTATGGTTTATATATGTTTAACATGCTACATTAGTCACCATGTGTGGACTGTCACTTAAAATATGTCTGCTGGACATTTACATCACAAAGTAGCCCACTTTAAGAACCTGACCGTAGTGTGGTAGTGTTTGTGTAAGTGGGGCTGTATTACAGAAGTGTGTGTGAAAATTGGGATGTATTAGTGCCTGTGATTGCGTGGGTGTATTGGTGTAGTGTGGGACTGTAGGTGAATGTTGGTTTTCATGGTGTAGAATTGAAGTGTGTGAATGATTGGTGTATGTGTGCATGAAAGTGTTGTGTAAGAGAGTGTAGTTATTGTATGTGTTGTTAATGTAGATACAAAAAGAGAAAAGGAGATACAAAGGAGCCCACCGGGAACGATATACCAGTCCCGTGGGTCTCGAATGTATCTTGAGCAACCCTAAGTGTAATAAAATCTAACTTTTATTGAGTCTAATTTAAAAAATAATAGTAAAAAATAGTAGTGCACAAACGTCAAATACACCAGCCTAGTGGCTGTGTGTGAAATGCAATTCTTAGTGCTGAACAAATTGACTCCAGCACCAAAATTAAAATCAGAAAACCAAAAATGGTTAAATAACCAAAACATGCAGAGGAGTACGAAGTCTCTGCCAGTTCAACACATCAGATAGGAACATGACAATAATGGTAATACAAGGATAAAGTGAAAGGACCCAAAAAAAAACACAACAAGGTCCTTCCCTCTTCCATGTCAAAACAAATACAGATTCACTGTGAAGTGAAGTTTATTAAGGGTGCATCATAAGAAAAATGGGGCATAGTAAGATTAATACTCTATACAAATAGCTGGACACTTTATGGGTACTGGGTGTAAGTTCATCAGCAGCACCCGGAGGTTTGAAGGACAAACTCACGTAAAAGGACATTCTAAATGACAACCAAATCAATCTTCAGCTTACTCATGTTATACACGAGAACGACTTAGTGTTTCTTGACCTAACCATTAGCATCTCAGACGATGGGCAAATTTTTACCACACTATTTAGAAAACCTACGGCAACAAACAGCTTGCTTCATTGGCAAAGTTTTCACCCACACCATGAGAAGGAAGCAAAAGATTTAAGACAGCGTTTTAAAAGCCTCGGCTATCCAAATAGAATTCTAAAAAAAAGCTTATCAAAGAACCCAGACTGTAGATAGATCAGAGAGCTTGCACAGACCATCTAAGGATTCCCGAACCACCCCGGGATCTACACGACTTATAGGGACATATGACAAACACTGGAACCAGACCCTACAGGTACTAAATCGGAATTGGCCGCTATTACAATATGATACATGTCTTCATAAGACTATTACCAATAAACCATTATTGACATATCGCAGAGCAAAGAACTTAGCGGACTTGCTAACCCAAAGTCATCTTAAACCCATACAAACCACATCCACTTGGCTTCAGACTAAGGGTCTTTACAAATGTGGGCACTGCAAGGCATGTAATTATATTTTACCCTCCAAAACAGAATGGAACAAAACAACATCCAAAAACATGATGATCAATTCCTTTATTAATTGTGGATCAACTAATGTGATTTATCTTGTAACGTGTGAATGTGGATTACAGTATATAGGCAAAAACTACACCGACGTGTCTTACAACATATTAACTCTATATTGAATCCACATATTGATACACCAATAGCTAGACACGTACGTGCTAATAATGCCTCTAGACCTAATGCACTCAAGTTTCAGGTAATCCAAAAGATTTTTCAAAACCACAGAAAAGGGGACATTAATATTTCCTTGTTAAAAGCGGAATCCTGCTGGATCTACTCGTTCCAAACCATATACCCGAAAGGACTTAATGAAGAGTTTAATTTTACTCCATTCATTCATTCCTAGTTGGTAGCAGTCTCCATGGTAACATCTTCAACCTTGGGAATAAAACGCCATCCAGTCCAGCTCCCCCTCCGTACTATACTGGCATATCTTTATCTGGAGCTTCCAGCACACTTTATGTATATTTGTTTCAATATTCTAAAGATAGCAATTTTCTTTGAGACTTGTTGCTATCATTACAGCAACTGGTAATTGTTACAACCTTCTCTTTCTTTTGACACTTAGAATTTATCGGGAGTTTTTCCTTTTACGTGAGTTTGTCCTTCAGAAAACTGGGACCTCCGGGTGCTGCTGATGAACTTACACCCAGTACCCATAAAGTGTCCAGCTATTTGTATAGAGTATTAATCTTACTATGCCCCATTTTTCTTATGATGCACCCTTAATAAACTTCACTTCACAGTGAATCTGTATTTGTTTTGACATGGAAGAGGGAAGGACCTCGTTGTGTTTTTTTTTGGGGGGGGGGGTCCTTTCACTTTATCCTTGTATTACCATTATTGTCATGTTCCTATCTGATGTGTTGAACTGGCAGAGACTTCGTACTCCTCTGCATGTTTTGGTTATTTAACCATTTTTGGTTTTCTGATTTTAATTTTGGTGCTGGAGTCAATTTGTTCAGCACTAAGAATTGCATTTCACACACAGCCACTAGGCTGGTGTATTTGACGTTTGTGCACTACTATTTTTTACTATTTTTTAAATTAGACTCAATAAAAGTTAGATTTTATTACACTTAGGGTTGCTCAAGATACATTCGAGATTACCTATTGCTTTTGAATAAGATTATACATTTTATTATGTTCCATCTTTGTAGGGATGGAACTGTAGCTTTAAGGCCACTGATAATAACATGATTCTGTAGCTCTAACTATTTGTTTTTATCTGCTACCAAATATTCTTCGCTTTTATAAGTTATCGGAAGATTTACCCCAGAAGGCACTCTACTTAATCTGGGATGTACACTGCTTAATCTTTTATTCTCTGTCTTTTGCATTTATTTTGCAACTATTTGTACTATTGAGGTCGAATACAGTTTACCAGCAACATTATGTTATTATTGTTATTATTTTTCCTAGTTGCCGAGCCCCTTTGGGCTGAACGGCAACGACACTAGGCTCCGCCCCAGTCTCTGATTGGCGAGACTCTTACCCAATCATTGAAGAGGGCGGTATATTTAACCCCTTAAGGACAGATGACGGAAATATTCCGTCATGATTCCCTTTTATTCCAGAAGTTGTGTCCTTAAGGGGTTAAATGACCGCCAACTTCACGATCGGTTCCCCTGGAAGAGCCTGTAAGGCGAAACGCGCGTTGGGACTAATCGATACACGGGGGTGGTGGGGCTTGATATGGATGATGCAGTAGTCTTCAGTGACGATTTAGCACCCCATTAGCCACCCTTGATTTTTGATTTTTTTGGATTTTTTTTCTTTTTCCAGTGAATAGACTATATTACTTATTAGTCTTTTAGAGGATTATTTCGGCTGGTGTGGGTGGGTGGGGGGGCGGGGGGGAGTGGACTATGGAGGAATGAGGGGAGTCTAGCTTTTAGTTAACACTGGAGTATATCAGCGGATAGGTTACTCTGGACCTGTTTAGGTTGATTTATTCAGGTTATTTTATTCTATCCATATAGATACATCACTTGAAGCTGTGTGTAGACTTTATTTGCCCTCTTCCTATTAGTTCTACTATAACTCATAACCCCCCCTTTCCCCCCACCCGCTTTCACACACAGCCACTAGGCTGGTGTATTTGACGTTTGTGCACTACTATTTTTTACTATTATTTTTTAAATTAGACTCAATAAAAGTTAGATTTTATTACACTTAGGGTTGCTCAAGATACATTCAAGACCCACGGGACTGGTATATCGTTCCCGGTGGGGTCCTTTGTATCTCCTTTTCTCTTTTTGTATCTATTATGTATTATGGGTTACCCCCCATGTTCTAATAGCAACCTGACACTCTCTCCCTATCTCTCCTTCCTTTTCTATTGTGTTGTTAATGTATGTTTCTCCACCTGCTTATTCTCTCTGTACCCATTCTCCCTTACCTCCGCACCCCCTACACTCTACTGCACTCTGTTTACACTACGCTCTTGCTCTCATTCACCCTACACCCCTCCTCCCTATAACTCTGCACCCTTCCTCCCTTCAGTTTGCTCTGCCTCTCCCACTCATTCTGCAGCGTCTCTCCCATTCACCCTGCACAGCCTCTGCCATTCACCCTGCACAGCCTCTCCCATTCACCCTGCACCGCCTCTCTCCCATTCACCCTGCACCGCCTCTCTCCCATTCACTCTGCACCGCCTCTCTCCCATTCACTCTGCACCGCCTCTCTCCCATTCACTCTGCACCGCCTCTCTCCCATTCACCCTGCACCGCCTCTCTCCCATTCACTCTGCACCGCCTCTCTCACATTCACTTTTTGCCATCTCTCGCAGTCACCCTGCGCCGTCTCACCCTGCGCCGCGCAGTCACCCTGCGCCGTCTCTCGCAGTCACCCTGCGCCGTCTCTCGCAGTCACCCTGCGCCGTCTCTCGCAGTCACCCTGCGCCGTCTCTCGCAGTCACCCTGCGCCGTCTCTCCCGCAGTCACCCTGCGCCGTCTCTCCCGCAGTCACCCTGCGCCGTCTCTCCCGCAGTCACCCTGCGCCGTCTCTCCCGCAGTCACCCTGCGCCGTCTCTCCCGCAGTCACCCTGCGCCGTGTCTCCCGCAGTCACCCTGCGCCGTGTCTCCCGCAGTCACCCTGCGCCGTGTCTCCCGCAGTCACCCTGCGCCGTGTCTCCCGCAGTCACCCTGCGCCGTGTCTCCCGCAGTCACCCTGCGCCGTGTCTCTCGCAGTCACCCTGCGCCGTGTCTCTCGCAGTCACCCTGCGTCTCTCGCAGTCACCCTGCGCCGTCTCTCTCGCAGTCACCCTGCGCCGTCTCTCTCGCAGTCACCCTGCGCCGTCTCTCTCGCAGTCACCCTGCGCCGTCTCTCTCGCAGTCACCCTGCGCCGTCTCTCTCGCAGTCACCCTGCGCCGTCTCTCTCGCAGTCACCCTGCGCCGTCTCTCTCCCATTCATTCATTCATGCAGTAGAAGATACTAAGGATAGTAAGGAGATCAGCATTTGCATTCGACCATGCTATTTTGAACATTGTGTCATTGAATAGTTATCTCTGGTGCTGGCCTCTACAAAGTAAATGATAATGACCTTGACAACTCTTCATGGCAGCCCACCAAGCATATGCCCAATGCCATTCTAGGCCTTCTACTCTTGAAAATCCGTTTAGAAACTCCAATATTATTGAATAGAGGCTTCTTTTCAAACTGAAGAATAGGTTCCATTGAATAAATGGGCTGTTAATCGACTTATTCTAACCGTAAATGGCAAAAGGATACTGTCACATGTCAGGTTTTGACACAACCTGAAAGCTAACTAAAAGTTAGCTATGGTTGGCTACTAGTTTAAAAAAAAAAATCAGAATGGATTTTAACTTATACTTTAAATGTATGCCTGGCTGTCTTGATACAGTCAGATCGTACTATGTAAGTTAAATTAACCGTTTGGTGCTGTTTGTGCAAGTGAGGGCAAATGTGTAAGCACAGTACTTGGGGTAAATCAGAAGAGTATGCATGCACTCATAATGTGTTTTGTAGCTGATGCCTAAATATACATTAGAATACTTAGAGCATCATAGGACGACGTCGTCATTATAGATATGGAGATGCTTTGAGGTCATTGATTTATACTTTATTCATTGCACTACTCACCCCAGTAGGTGCTTCAGTAGTGATGACTGGCATGAAAGAAAAAGGAACCTGCTCTACAAGTGAAACGAGTGTTTCATTTTAAATGCCTTTCTACTCCATATGAAACCCAGATTTCTGTAATAAACCTGTTATGTCTGTCAAGGCTAACTATTTTGACGTGTCTTCTTATATTCAGATTTAGATTGATAAATATTTTGCTAAAACTACTGTTAACTGAAGGCTGTGAAGATATATATTGTCATTCCCAGGATGTGTGTGTGTGTATATATATATATATATATATATATATATATATTTATATATTTTTTTTTAATCATTGTATTCTAAACAATCAAAAATTGTGCTTCAAAATGTCATTATATACGGTTTCATTTATAAACATAATTGCGATATTTTTTTGTCCATAATGTACCTTAACGTGAATAATTTTTTGACATGTCAATTCATAACCCGTAACACGTTGATATCTGTGGAAAATAATTAGGAATCATTCTGTTGAGATTTTAATAAATGCAAACCACTTTCACTCTCTCCAACTTATTTTACCAATTTTACAAATACCTTACAGAGTTGAGTGGGAGGTGTCACTTGAGGAGGCGTCAAGGAAGAAACTGGAAATCTCTGTAAAAAACAGCAGGTCCTTCATGTCGAGTAAAAAGGAGGTGATTGGAAAGGTCAGTTTCCATGTTTCTGTGCCAAACACATTTCATTTGTGACAGATGTAAGGTTTCAGGTCAAGGATGAACAATATTGTTGTTTTTAATGTTTTTATTGGGTTTTTCAAATATATATTCATACAATATAATAATAATAAACATATTGATAATACATAAGACTAAGATCTCAAAACATTGGCCATGGCTGATGGGAATCATGGGATGAGAGATGTTTGTGAGGAAAGTGTACTGCCTGTTATTGATTGCAAACTGCTGCTCTGGCAACGCACAGGCCCAATTTTAAAACCTATATTATGGTACACATTATCTCTTACCGGTTAATCCCCTTAACAGACCTATGTAAGAGTAACTCTCTCATAATAAATTTGTTTTCCTTTCTCTCAACAGGTTCAGATTGACCTCTCCCAAATGGATCTCTCACAAGGCCTGAGTCAATGGTAAGTACTTTCGAGACCTTTTCCTAATAAACCAAGCCTGTCAAACACAGGGAGCTTTAGCTTGTGAAGCAAACGTGTCCAGCTGCAAGTTTCCAAAGTGGTAGGAATGTGAAAATTCCCCCGCTTCCCACTACGGATGAGGACAACTATTCCGGTGCCTGCATTATATGCCGGCACTATGCAAGAGGCAAGAGATAGCGAGAGCTGAGAAAGAAATATTCAGTTCTCTGCTTCTTTTTCTACTAGATTTTACCCTCCATAAGAAATGAGTTAGGCTCCTCTAAACTCGACAATGAGATGACCGAAAAGAAATGTTGATGTTTGAAGAGAAGCTTTGGGCCCAGATAGTTTTTTTTTTTTTTGCGTATCCACAGTTTCTTCCCTGTAATGGTGAACATTAAACTAGCCCTTACTGCTCACATGAGACGTTTCACATACTGAAGGAGAGGAATACATTTTGTTTTTAAGTTATGCTCTATCCCACCAGATGGGGAGAGCCTGATAAGTAGTAATAGTAAGGCATTTTCCATGTGACTCTATAACAAAAGGTCAATAACCAGTACTTAACAATCATCTCATTATATAATGTACCCAATATGTATCCCAACAATATACCACCAGCAAAAGGAAACCATGCCTAATTAATTCTCGAAAGAGAACAAGTGAGTATTGATGGATTCAAAAAACACTTAAAATGCTAAGAGCCGCTTGTTCTCTTTTGGTATTTAATTAAGTAACTCGTTGCCTTCTCCATATGATGCTTCATTTCACAAAGAAATGTAATTCTCTGTAATTGTTTTGTCACCACTCTAAGCTTAGCAAATACCCTTCATGCTTCACTATACACACAGAGATTGTTCACTCACCTGTGGCATAGCCATTTATTCATAATGTAACTCTGTTTTTAACCATACAGTAACAGTCTATATCACCAGACATATAGAAGCCACACAATCACAATATTATATATGGTATCACTGCTCTTAAACACCAATTTTTAAAACAGGTACAACCTGAAGGAGGAATAAATGTGTATCCAAGCATTTTGGAAAAATGCAACATTCTGTGCCCAAAGGAATCTGTGCTAGAAACTCTTCCTGCAGGACTTCGCACCGTCTTTCTGTCCTATCCAATCTCCTGAACCGAGCTTTTCCAAGGACACTGTGATGCATCATTCTGCAGGCTTTGCTAATGGAAATTGTGTATAAAAGCAGAGTAAGGACATTCCTAGCACCACCAGAATTTCATTGGCCTTATTATGGAAAAGTATTATACATTCACCAGGGTTAAAGAACATTCATTTAAAGCCAAGCCATGCCTCCCCTGTTACCGTCTCCTTCCATATTAATACACAGGAATCAGTTTCCTTTTTACGTGTGTGTGTGTATATCTACGTTCATTCACTCTTGTGTGTACAAAACAATCACTGATAAGATAATGTTGAAGCAGAGCAGAATAACTAACATGAAGGATTGTATATGTAATCCTCTGCATGCCAGGGGTGTTCTCACCCTTCAGGGTCCATGTGGCTTAATATACAGCCATGGTACACACCTAGTGCTCTGTCTAGTGCCATGTAACATGATAATGATGTATTTTGTTTACCTGGTTCTTGTTTTACCAGAATACCTTCATTAATATTCCATCTATTGGTTATACACCTTTCTTCTGTTGCGGCTCAAAGTCCTTTTTGTGTGAGTATTTCAGTAGTAGAGAATAGTCAAAAACTGAATCTTTATAGCCGCTACACAGAGTAATTTGCATTATGCATTCCTATGCAAAATACGGGGTTTATTTATAATAATGTTCTTGACTGTTTCAGCACTGGACTGCTAACAGTTCTAAGGATAATCAAAAGTGTGTCATATATAGAGGGTGCCTTGATTTCTTACTGTATATTATTCAGATCTGAACAAACAATGCAGTGATCATTTACAATTTTTTTTTAAGCATATGTTTTCAAATTTTATTACATGCCAAATGGTGTCCAATTACGTCCAATGTTTCTGAATAGGGAGTTAAAAAAAAATTCATATATTATTTCAGTATTGCCAGTGTTAACGTGCTGCTAAGAGACTTTTTACTGTTCTGCTTTCGCAGCCATATTTGAACATTTCAGAAGCGCAAGGAGTGCAGTTTGCCCTCCTATGTATGCCAATTTGTGCTCCGATTATGTGCTCATGGTAACCTCCCTTCCTAGGCTGTGCAGAGTAAATTAATGTGGCCTTTTTAACCAGTTTAGTGCCAGGAGCACAAGAATTGTGTCCCGTGAACTAATGTGATATTGCGTACTGCATGACTGTTCTAGTTGTAGCCATATGAATGTGAGAAAAGTCTTTATGCATAGGTAGGCCACAACACCCTGGCATTCAGACAGTTAATGACTACTGCCCTGATGAAAAGTTAACTTTTTATCAGTGCTTACCAATCTTTGGCTTTTTTTCATGCCTGTTATCATGCAGCAAATCGCTTAATTCTTCTCGCAATATGTAATATAGGAGTGTATTCAATAAGATTCCATTAACAGGAATTGGCAATCACGGTAGCTAAAATAGGTCAAATATTTCACCAGTGACTGTTTTTCTGATTTAAATATACAATATATATGTATTAGATGTAAGTGTTCATTGTTCTCATCACAGTGCATCACAAAAAAGTTAAATCAAATGGGGGAGCAATTGCCAATACTTTGGAACTGTGAACACCTCTACTACAAAGTCTGTCTCTTTCTATCCAAAAATTTTCAGAGCTTTAACAGACCAAAATAAGCCCATTTTTAAACCAGTTTTTTTTTTTTTTTTTTAAGTTTTGTATTTTTATATTGTATTTCTGTTTGCTTTTAGAATTTTTTTTTTAACGCAATTGAAATCATCATGTTGAAATGTATACCTGTGTTACACAGGGAGTACTGCAACATAGCATTTCCTCTGCTCACAAAACCTGAAATATCGCTGGCAAAGGGCAGCTAATGCTTAATAAATGTACCACTACTTCATGGTATCCATTAAATGTCTGTCTCGCTGATTCTTATTGTAAGTGTCTCTCTGTGTAGTCTGATTTATTTATTCTGGCTGGGGGAGACCTAGTCAATAATGCTCAATAGGGTGTTTTAAATTGAATAGCAAATTTAGATGAAAAGAAGGTTGGAGTATCCCTTAAAAAAACCAAAACAAACAAAAAAATGAATAAATGCCTGTGTCTTTATTCCACAATGAAATTCAGCATGCTTTTGCACACGTATGAACCAAATCAATAGCTGCTTAAATGTGTAACTCATTTTATCTATATCTTAAAGGAACACTCCTAGTAAACTCAGAATCATATGGTTTCCCTTTAAATGAACGCAAACAACATAACACTCGAGTCTGCTGTAGTGGTTATGGTGCCATTAGTGCTCAGGGCTGTCCCACTGTAATGCGACAAATTGTATTAGTACAATTGTATTGCTGGGCACCTGAAGCTGCATCGATTGTTTCTAAAAATTTCCCGTCAAAAGAATCTGGTTAGCGCAAGTGCCTGAATAGGGCCATGCCTGCCTCATCCAATGAAAATACCCAGGTTACTTGTCAGAACATTCTAAACCAGCTTGCTAAATTACACCTTAACAAGCCAGGGCACCCCTGGCACCATGAACACTGCTGTAGGCTGTAGTGGTTATGATGCTTGGAGTGTTCCCCAAAAAATAGAAATAATCACATCCTGATTTTTAATAGTTTTTAAATACAAAGGATAAGTAAATAAAATGTTTTTGTGAAGTCTGAAAAAAATATAATTAAAAAGTTGCCGTAAGCATGAAACCACTGAAGACCTGCTTGTCTTGAGATGGTGTTTTTGCCCATGTGTAGTATTGACTTTCGGAGACTGTCTATCAGCCAGCACAGAATGAGAGTTCTGAACTGTGTATGCCAATGTTATCCACATTAACACAACACAATACAACACACTCTTGCTTTGCTCTGCCAAAACCTTAGCTGAGTTGGGTTCACTATATAGTGATGAGTGAAACAGGTGTTAGGGGTAAAATACTTATTCTATTAACTTCTGCTGTGTGGAGGGTTGTGGAGTAAGAGTTTATACCTGGTGCAGGCCATCTGAAACATTGGAGGCATTATCTATGCTAAAAAGAGGTGATATTTTTTATTTGTATTATGTTTCCTACTAATAGTTTCCCCCTTAAATATAAACATCCACACTGCTCTGTTTAACTTTATCCTGGAACTAAGCACCTCAATCTTGGCTCTGTGTCATTCAAGTTCTGCCCTTTTTTTTAACGCATAGTATGTGGAAGTGAGGAAACAGAATATTTTTTGCCTGTTTATGCGCTTCAAAATGCATAGTGTGTCCTGTCCATGCTTTCACTAAACTGGATTGTGATGTAGGTTGCTGAATCCTTTATATACATTGGGAAGTAAATGGAGCGTCACATTAAGAAAGGTTTTTTTTTTTTAACCCCTTAAGGACCAAACTTCTGGTATAAAAGGGAATCATGACATGTCACACATGTCATGTGTCCTTAAGGGGTTAAAGGTTAGGTGATTTTTAACATTTTATTCAATGGTATACTTTACAGAAAGGGGATGTTTTCACTTTAAAATGATAGTTGTTGAAAGTGCTTGGAATAAAATCAGCAACCCTTAGGCTAAAACATTTCTACAATTGGTAGATCACAAGGGCTTATTTTCTACTGTAATTATTGTATCACACAGACATTGCTTGTAAACAACTGTGCGTAGGGACAACTGAAAAATTCAGGGTGGAGCAGATGTTTTCTGTAAAGAACTCAGTAGGAGATGATCAAGTTTTAATATAAAATTGTTAAATCTCACTCCCCCACCCCCAACTTTGATTACCATATGTCTATAGTTATGTGTTCTGAACAACTGCTACACTGTGATTGTCCCCTGCTCTTCTCCCAAACTCCCCAGCGGTCCTAGGAGAAGAGCAGTGGAAGTCATGCCCCCTCCTTCTGACATCAAGAGAGGTTGGCCGCCTTTCCCTGGCTGCAGGGAGACAGGTAATTAAAAAAATTAGAGTCCCAGAGGCAGGGGACTACGATTTTTGTGCCCCCCTGCTCTGGCGCCCTAAATGGCCGCTTGTGCTGCCTTAAGGACGCGCCGGCCCTGCCAAAACTGCACACAAACACAGTCCTGCACTGAAATGGCATTACTACCAACACATCCATGCATTCATATGGCAAGAATACATATAAACACACATCTGCATTCAAACGCCAACACTATACACAAATACACCTTTTGCTATTGTAAGAATGTAATGACTTTCTAGCATTATATGAAATTTTTCTTTTGTGCCTGCTTTTTTATTTGCGGGCCTGTGTATTTATAAATGTTATGCATTCCTCCCTCCATACCTATGTCAGTGGACAATTTGACTGTCTAGAACAAATGAGTTTGACATCCCTGATCTAGAGCTCTGAAAATAAACAATTTGAATTCAAAGCATTGCTGCTGTTAAATCAGTTTGAGGTTTTTTTTAATATATATATATATATATATATATATATATATATATACATTTTGAAAAAGTCTTAAAACTTTATATATTTTTTTTGTCCCATAAAAGATAAAACAAAAAGGTCTTGGAGGTTCTCCAAGACTGTGTCTATGAAAGCTTTAAATGTTTTTCTGTTATTTTTTTTTCAGACTAATGCACAGCTTGGCCCTTTTGCCAAAGAGATTATCATATCATACATATCTGCATTCCTCATCCTCTTGGATGACGTGTGTTAGAATAAATCTTGAAATCAAACCTGCCTCCCCTCTGTTATCATTTCCACCCCTCCTGTCACCTAAGGGGAATTATCTTCAGTTGCTCCCATGTGGCCTCAACCAACTTACGTGCCAGCAGAGTAACCCCACTCCTCAAACCCTCCTATATGAAATGGAAAAAAAAAGTAGTGTGAGATTTTCAGACCAGCTACTTAATTTAACTCTTGAAGCCCTCCCTCTCCCAGTCTAAGGGTTGATCCGTATGAGGTCATTGATAAACCAAGCTATTTAAGCTAAGAACTGAAGACCTTCATCCTATGCTCTTCTCCTTTCGTAATCTGTGTCTACTTTTCTTGCTGTGAATCACCATGCCTCCAAAGAAGGACCTGCCTGTAAGAAAGCCTCTAGCAAAACCTGTAGTCAAGTCCAAGGCACCTGAGGCATCTCCTGCACTAGCTCCTGTTCCCAAATCTAAGGAACCAGAACCAAAACCAGTACCAGTACCAGAGAAGCCCAAAGAGGCTCCCATTGACCTTTCCAAAGTGGAGGTGAGTAGGAGGAATCTTGTTTCTGAGGTGATAAACTGCTTTGGGGAGGAAAGGGGAAAGTGCACTGAGACACTAGCACTAGGGATTCCACAATCACCATTTTAAAATAATTTGGCAAGTTATAAGCAAAAGTAATTAATCCCCACAATAATCCTATAGATTTTTTAGATCACTCACTTTGAAAAATCTGATTGTTATGGGTCACTGAAAACCATTGTAAGATCAAATCAGGTTCTAAGCAATAAACAGGTTTACTTTTCAATTTTTTTCTGACCTCGAATTAATAAGCTTTCCAAATGATTCAGTACTGGTCACTATTAAAGCCTTTGGGAATTTCTGTAAGTAAATAATTTGAAAGGTCTTCCAAACAGAATTGAATAATTTTTATATCTTGATTTGTTTTGGGGTTTTTTCAAGGTCAAAGTGTTATATTTATAATTTGTCTTCCTTGACCAAACACTGCCCAACTAGGAGTTTAGTAACAATCTCTGACTTAGTGTAATGTGCCTGGTAATTTTTAACCCTCTGCATGCTCACTAGTCAGGAATGGATACTGTTAATAACAGTTCAATATATCGGTCTATTTTGTCCTGATTGCTTTTCAGGTTTTTGAAATGGAAATTCAACAAAAAATATAAGGGTTTAACTTAATTGAAGTAGAGTAAAAAATGAATAGCAAAATAACCAAACGATGAGTCTTGTTAACTAATTATAATTTTTTCGAAATAAATATTTTGGCCTAAATTTAGCAATTTGGATTTAACTCTGAACACTACAAATGAACCACCAGAAATAGAAAATGTCACATGAGATTAGAAAGCAGTTAGATTTAGTGTAAAAAAAAAAAAAGTTATCCATTAGTATCGCAACTTTGGTTTTTAAATAAACGTTTTCTTGTTTTAGCTCAACGCAAATGCCTTCCTCTGAGGCACTGAACGGCATTTGATGCGTATTAACACGAATCCCATAAATCTTTGGGCATGTGCAGAATGCTCAGAGTGGTGCACAGATAATTGCTGAAGATTGGTTTTATGAGCTAGGTTTTCAAAGAACCCAACCCATTTCAGTAACACAACACAAACCAGTTTGGAGTTTTTTGCCACACTTTTGAGCAGTCTTGTGAGGTTACATCGACGCATAGTTCTCAAGACGAATGAAATTATGTGGTTTATTTACTACACCGTGAATTATAACGTGGGATTGTGAATCCCCGCCACCCCTAAATAGAAAAAGAATAAAGCAAAAACGTACCTTTAATCCTGCACCAAGGCTAAGTTCTCCGGGAGCCTGGTCTTCCTCCGATGACCGCAATCCCTCTTGATGTAGGTGGAGGGATGTCAGCGAGGCAGAATAAGGAGGTGGCATGCTGCCATTGGTCATCTCTTGCCGGCATGCTGTACTTGTTGATGACCGACATCCAATATGCACGGAACTGACATTACCCAGCTTGGAATTCCTGTTCAGGGCTGGCTAATGGTGCTTTAATACTGCTGCTGGAGGCAGTAAAGGGCTACAGCTTTGTATGTGCAGCATTTAATTTTGAAACGCATGCAGACTCCAAGCACAATCACCACTTCAAATCTCTGAAGTAGTCAAGGTGCTTGAAGTAACCCTTTATTGAACAAACTCCCAACTGACATGATGAGGTGTCTGTAAGCTGAGACAAAATATCTTTGGAGATATGTGAAATGTTGTATTATGAAGGCATATTAAGAAAATAAATTAAAATCTTTATTTCTGGACAGCCAAGTGACATTACAAGCAGCATAATAACATAGACAGTGATAAAGGAGTGATCATCATTAATGCTCCACGAGATTGACATTTTATAAAGAATAGAAATGAATGTAATAACATTTCAAGACCCGATTCAGTGCAGCTGAAAGAACAGTAATAATATGGATGATGATGATGCAACAAGGTTTACATTTTATTTGTGTGCATTTTCTATGCAGTGAGCACATAAAAGAACGTAGATATGTATGTGTTTGGTCTAATAGAGAGATTTCCAGCTGATGCTAATGATTCAGTCATTGTGGTGTATAAATAATAAATAATGCAGTAATAGACATAAACTGTAAAGCTACATCTATTCTTAGAGCACTGTTCTTCCTTTATAAGGGTATAGTGAGGATGTGCAGATATACAATATAAGTACACACTGCAGAAAGAGACTTAACTGCTGGAGAACATTATCAGTGTAGTCACTAGGCCCTATTAACCATTTATTTACATTGAGGCTTTGAGTACAGATGTGTGAAACTATGAACATGTAATTTCTGCCTTACCAACATTTAAAGGTTCCCTTGCTAACCTCTAAGAATAGCTGTGTGAGATTTGTGTGTTTAATCTTTTTCGCTGCTCTTATTCTGATTGTTCCTCCATATTTGGTCAGAAACCCTCTAAGAATAGTTTTGCAGATAATCTTCCAGCTGCCTGCTGCTAATCCTGTGCTATGCCTGATTACTATGGATTGACATGACCCTTAAGGCTTTGCTAGCTTGGAAAGAGTATTCAACTGGATCTATCTCCCACACACCATCCAGTGATCAAAGGTTCACTTCCTGACCAAAAATCCATATCCACATGCTCAACTAATCTACATATAAGATATAAGGATTGCTACTGAAAAGACATTGGGAGATTTAGTGGGAAAAGTCGCCGTCTTGTTTCCAGCCATTGAAACAGTGCCAGTTGGTAATTTAAAGATGGCTGTCCCCTGAGTTTTTGTTCTGTACAACACCATACACCTATAAAAGCATGTATTTTGGAAACAACAACCACCTTATAGATATCTGACTCCACCTCCTGATGCTACTACTCATTGACAGCCAATATTCAGACCTGTCTTTTAGGCTGCCCAAGATTTGATGGCCACAGGCAAAGTCGAAAAGGGTAACATCAGACATCTTATTAAAGTGGTTAACGCATGTCTAAGGGGTTTATACCCAGAAAATGTAACGTTTGTCATAAAATGTCCCAAATGTTTGCTAAAAATCATTACCCTCCTCTCCGATCATCAAAAAATGGTGGGGGAGGAAACTGCAGATATAATCATGGCAGACACAGCATGTTTTTTATAGCACACATCATTAGTCTTTACCACAGTAGATCTGTTGTTGTTTTTTTTTGTGGTTTTTTTTAAGCAACAAAAACTTTGGGGCATTGCCCCACCTCCTCCTATGATCCACCTCTGCTGGTCACAGTAAGGGTTCTCTAAATTCCTAACACTAAGCCCCCTTTAACTTTGTGTCCAGGGTCCCAATGCTCCTGTAGACTTAACTGATAAAAAAAATAACTCCCCGCACACCAGTTGTGTAAAATAATATTAATAACTTGGCCTTGCTTATTATTGTGAAGACAGCTACTCTAGTAGTAAAGGGACACTGTAAGAACCAGAATCACTGCAGCTTTATATAGTGGTTGTGTTGTGAAGAGACTCTCCGTGCAGTTTAACAATAGTATATACTGCCTTTTCAGAGAGTGGCTCCACCACTCCTCATTCCTGAGGAAGGTCTACTGCACTATCCACCAGTTCCACCTCTACTTAGAATGCATACATTGTCTGAGCATGTCATCTGATTCTTATGCTTCGAGTGTCACTTTAAATATACTGTGACTGCAAAAGCAATGTAATCCATTGATGCTAGCTCAAGGTTAACAACACAATAATAAAGTGAGAAAATGAATTAAAGAATAAGGAGGTAGGAGAGGCAGAAAAAAAGTGTGCAATGGGATGAAAGCGGATACATGAGAAATATATCTGAATGAGTAAGAAGAACAGACTTAAACAAGAGAGAGCAGGTAGGAAAGAACGGCATATGTGCCAGGGTAAGAACAGGTTATCGAGGATAAAGAGAGAGGGCTTAGGCAGGAACAGTAATCAGGTACGTGAAAACAAACAAGGGCAAATCCAGGGAGAGGCAGTGTTATATGCCTTTGATAATGATCCTTCTGCCTCAGGTGGTCTTAGATTGATAGGTTAGGGTAAGGGTTGGGTACTCCTTAACTAACCCTAACTCTACTGCTAACTCTAACCCTACTTCTAGCCTAACCCTACCCCAACCCCAATCCTACCCCTATCCGTTTTGCCACTTTTCAGAAGTCCAGGGCACTTCTGAAATTCAGCACTTCGGCCATTCGGAAGCATCCAAATGTCTGAAATTAGTCTGAATTTCCATTCGAACCGAACTGAATTGCACATGTCTATTAAAGGAACACTATAACAAACCTGAGTTTCTAACGCTATAGAGTACCTGTCCCTATCTAGAGTAGACCCCCCACCAGTTTGCTACATTTACAACCAATGCTTTTCTACGAGCTGCTGCATCAGTGACTGTGTTTTACTCAGTATGACAGCCACTACTGGCGTTTTAAACTCTTCAATGTAAATATTGCCTTTTCTGCAAAAGGGCAATGTTCTGCCAGTCAGACCACATTCAGACCACAGTGAGATGAATTGGTCTGGGTGACTTTCGTGGTCCTTTAACTGTGTACTGTAGTATTGGATAACTTTGGTATTCCAGATTGTGTATATTCTATTACACAATGAGGTATGGTATTCATTTGTCTCTTTATGTCACAATACCCTTTTCTTACTGCATTCAGCACTGGAGAATATGTTGGTTCTTCATCAATAAATAATAACCTGTAAAACTCATTATTACACCACACAATTGATTCTCACTGTAGAACATCAATAGAACAGTATGTCCTCCCACACAGTACATAGACAATGACTGGAACATGAGATGATAAAATGTCTTGTGACATCGTCCAGACTTAACTGGTACAAAGCCAAATTTCCAAGAATTGCAGTTCCACATCACATGTGTTAAGAAGAAGCTCAGATTTCAAGGATTTAGATTGTCTTCACTAGGAAGGAAGACAAAGTATACATGTGTTCTGTGCTGGGCAGGGTACTCTACAAGGACACTGCATACCACAATGACATGTTGGCAAACTATAGAGGAAACCTTTTACTCAGTGTACCCATTGCCCTGCTTGTTTTAACCCTCTGATTCCATGTTTGGTGTAAATCTTACAGTCAGGGTTTTGAAGAGATATCTGGCACAAGTTTGTGCATTTAGTAGGTAGCTTCCCAGGCTTGGGCAGAATGACTATGTGCTCTACGAGGCCGCCATCAGGCAGCCTACCCTCCATACACACATACCATACATTTGTTGAAAAAGTTTAAGATACCGTTCTCTCTTGGTGTTCTTCCTACCTCTCCCAGTGCTCACTCAGTGTTTCTTTCTCTGGCTTTGCCTCTTCTCCCCAATCCCTCTCTGTTGGTGTTCCCCAAGGGTCTGTCCATGGTCCCCTATTGTTCTCAATCTACACTGCCTCCCTTGGTAAACTCATCAGTTCCTTCAGCTTCCGGTATCATTATTATGCAGATGACACGCAAATGTATTCGTCCTCCCCTGATTTCTCACCACCCCTCTTGACTCGTGTCTCTGACTGCCTCTGCTATTTCCAACTGGATGGCTGCTCATTTCCTTAAACTGAACCTGTCCAAAACAGAACTTCTGGTCTTACCTCCCTCAAGTGTTGCCACTCTCTTGTCTGTGTCCCTCCAAGTCAATGGCGCTACAATCCGCTCGCTGCCTAGATGTTCTCTTTGACTCCCACCTCTCCTTCACCCCTCATGTCCAATCAATCGCCAAATCCTGCCGCTTCCATCTCAAAAACATTGCGCGCATCCAACCCTATTTAATGCCTGATATGGCAACAGTGCTTTTCCATGCTGCTATCCTCTCTTGCCTTGACTACTGTAATCCACTTCTCCGTGGTCTCACGTGTTCCCAACTTTCCCCATTACAGTCTATAATGAATGCAACAGCGAGGCTCATCTCCCTGTCCGCCTGCACCTCCCACTCCTCCCCCTTTGTCAGTCCCTCCACTGGCTTCCTGTAAGATATAGGGCTCAATTTAAGATCCTGACACTTGCTTCTAAATCTCTACACAATGCTGCTCCCACCTACCTATCCTCCCTAATACACAAATATGTCCCATCCAGACCCCTATGCTCTAATGAAGTCCTACGCCTAACCTCTGTTCATACTCCTACCTCTGATGCTCACCTTCTCTAGGGCTGCACCGTTCCTAAAGAACGCCCTTCCTTTCTCTGTTAGACTCTCACCCAATCTCCACTCCTTCAAAAAATCTTTGAAAACTTACTTCTTTAGGAAAGCATAAACTGTGAATAGTTTTCCCTCCCTGCACCCTGAAACTGTCATCAAAACAAAACACTAAGCCCTCAATGAATACTATCCTAGCAACCTACTTTTCTACCCTATCCTTAAATATTGACCTTTCATTCAGCCTAAAGATAATATTAGTAGATTGTTGACTGTATTTGGGTAAACATGTTAATTCCCCAACTTGGGCAGAAACAGTGAATGCAGCCCAATAATATATACACAATCAAAGCTTCTTACATATAAATCAAATTCATCTGACACAATTGTAACAAACATTGTATGGAGAGCAGGAGAGATGTCATATCACCATAGAATTTGCAAAAGGAGCTCTTTTACCAATAAATGGTGAGATATACATTAATGCTTCTTAAAAACTAAAAATGAATCTTGATATGATGTCCAATTCAGCAAACACCAATTCAAAACATTCTATGGAGAAATGTCACCAATAAATTTTTCAAAAGGCGCTCTAATAAATGGTTGCAAATACTTAAACATACAGAAGTACACTCTCAATAACAGACACACAATCTCACTGATTTAAAACACACATACTGACAGACACTGACACAGACTCTCAATGACAAGCACACAATTTCACTGATTGGAAATACACACACTGACAGACACACACTGAAGACACACTCGCTGACAGAAACATTCACTGACAAACACATTGACACACACTCTCAATGACAGACACACAGTCTCACTGATTTGAAACACTCACTGGCAGACACACACACAGACACACTCATTGACAGTCATACACACCGACATACACAGTAACACATTCTTGCACACACACTCACAAATTAATTTTATTTTTTATTTAATTTTTTTAGGCCCATACATCGTCCCTACCTTTTAGAAGCGCTGGTGGGTGTCCTCTTCCTGCAGTCCAGTGGGGATCTTCTCCCTGGGGTCCAGTGGGGAATGGGTTTTCTTCCTGGAGTCCAATGGGGATGGATTTCCTCCCTGGAGTCCAGTGGGGAATGGATTTGCTCCCTGGGGTGCAGTGGAGAATTTATTTTCATTTCCTCTCTGCTCCCTCTTGCACCCTCTGTAGTAATGCAGGGGCCAGAATGACATCATATTCCAGTTCCTGGCATCATTACAAGTGGTTCGCAAGAGAGGAAATGGTGCCTACTCTGCCTTGCTGAATGAGTGTCTGCTTGGGGGGTGCCCTAAGGTGGCCACTTCCGGGTCCCCTAGTGACATCATTGGCATGCTCTTCGTGGCGCCAACCACCTTCAAGCGTCAGGAGGAGCTGTGCACAAAACCAGACCTTGTGCGCTCCCTCGAAAAATGTTGTGCACAAGCACACACCTTAAAGCGAACAGTGTTTGTAAGATTTTAAACTGTAATATTTGTGTGTGCGCTGTACCTTAATCAGTACTTTGCATATATTTTAGTCTTTATAGCAGTACCAATAATAACAAATGCATGTTCTGAGTGTACCCCCTCTCAACCTCCCTCCCCCCCACAGTTCCCTTATTTTCTGTGTAGCACGCAATGATAGACAAACACAGCACATTGACATGACATGTAATTATAGACACATCATCATCATGTAAATACATACACAATTTAACACACATCCTTAAAAACGCATATAGTAAGACAGACAAACACCTTTTTGCAGATGGGACTACCCCTGTTTCTAGCAGTTACACTCGTAGAAACAGTTTAATTTCATAAATTAAAGTTACATTGAAGGAATTTGTTTCTAAGGATACTTGTTGAGAAATGGAATGTAGTTGAAGTACTTTCACCTTTACCCTCTATTCCAGCACTTGGAAAACTCTACAATCCAATAGTTGCTATGTTTAGTGTGCCTAAAAATGAAATCTGGGAAAATGTAAAATTGTGCAAAGAGATAAAAATGCTTAAATGTCACCCTTCACCTCCCGCACAAATTCATTTCCCATTCCCTCAGTATCAGAAGAGAATTTGCTCTTTAAAGTTTTAATGGAATCCTCAGGCTCCCCAAACACAGTCACACGTTATAACAGTTTACCCAGATCTTCAGAGTAATGCATTTATAAAGTGACACCATTTTATAATTTGTAGCAAGTTTTATACTTTACAACATGATGATATAAGATCCATGTTTCAACAGAAGAAGCAGTGTTCACTAAACATGGAAGTCTCCAGGGATATTTAAACGTTCGGCTAAAATAGACAAAAATTCTCCAATGTAGTTAGTCTTGGCCTAAAATTTACATTTCACTGGCAAATTTCCACCAATTCCTGCTATAGTGAATCATAAATGTCAGTATGAGTCTGTGTATGAGTGTCAGTGAGTTTCCCTGTATGATATTGAAATGTGTATATCACAGCATGTTAGTTTGTGTATCGGTGTGTATGCTAATGTGTAATTTTGATTGTTAGTGTATGTCTACGTGTGCATGTTAATGGTGGAGGTGGGTGTGGGGTCTGCACATGAAGATGGTCTTGGTTAATCCCAAACTATCTTAAATATATAATAAAAAATAAAAGGTGCGCTATACATATCATTTTTGGGCTATCTCACTTTTAAAGGTGCAGCTTCCCTTTAATATATATATTATTGTTGCACATTTAAATAATAGCACAGATTGTGCTGAGTTGCTGGAAAGCCGGAGTGATAGCAGGAAAAGAAAGGTGATTTGGCTGTGTTCCTGTGACAGCTGAAACTAGAGAGAGGATTAGCACCTTGTCTTAAAATAAGATTTATTAGAGTGTTGGGTCATTGTCCCTTTCTCTCAGGATTCTGTGGCGATCACATTGCAGGAGATTAAACAGTTGGCTGCCCTTGCTTGCAGTCATCCAGCAAGAACTAAGGGTACTTAGTGACATAAAATAATTTCTAAGATTGTTCAGTAGCTTCTGACCAAACAACATCTGATTTTCTGGTTTGCACTTGTTTTTATTTATATATGTGTGTGTGCAGAGCAGTAGTGTTTACAGGATTCATATTTAGGGGGGGCACATGAGGGGCCAGGGGCAAGAGTAGGGGGGGCAGTTATAAAACATGTAAATATATATATGTGTGTGTGTGTGTAAACACACACACACACACATATATATATATAATACCAGTAGAGAGCACTCAGGAGTCTTTCAAGGTAAATTTCATCTGCTGCTTTATTGAGCAATTACAAATTCACACAACGTTCCAGTCGACGTTTCAGTCTGTAAAATACTTTTTTCAAGACCAAGGTCTGGGATTTGTCAGCAAACATTGAAGCCGCTGGGAGCTTTGAAGCTGGCTGCAGCGGGGAGCATGGAGGCGGTGCGTGAAAGAGCAGTAACCTTCCTGCAGTTCCTCTCTGCTCCCTCGCGCACTGTTTAGGGACATGATGTCACTCTGGCCCCGGCATCACTACAGAGAGAGCGCAGGGGACCAGAGAGATACTGCAGGAAGATTAGAGAGGAGCCCCACTGGACGCCATGTCCCCCTCTCCTCGTCCCTACTTCAGACACAGAGAGAGAGAGAGCTTGCTAAGTATTTTTTTTTTTATGGGAAATGTAATGCTATACACTGTTCAACATTTATATATATATATATATATATATATATATACACATTTATATATAATTAAATCAAAAAAGTGAGTCAGAAAAAAAATCAAAAAAATCAGAAAGTGGAGCCTATATATAGTGAAGAGGCACACCAGTGGTAGTAGCAAAAAAGGGCGATAACCCCTAAATTGTTAACATTGAAATAAGAAAAAATAAAACAAAACAAAATCTACTGTAGTGGAGTAGTAGGGGTTAATCCACAGTATCTCCGATGGTAGTCAGGATAAGCAGGTAAAACACAGGTAGCGTAGTAACAATCCCTTTCTCCCAAGAACTAGACGACACATAGCTTGGAGGTCAACTGAGGTTTTAATCACTGGTCACAGCATTTATACAATTCCCCATACACAGGGGTTTCAAAAGTGCCCTTGCAAGGGTTTTACAAACGTGGAATACATGGGAAACTTAAATTACAAGACAATTTCCCAGCATGCATTGTTACACCGGAGAGATGAGTGATAAGAATATACTGATAATCACTCGATCTCTCCATACAGCCCAAGTTACAATTTCACATTAAATTCTATAACTTAAAAAGAGAAAATTAACCGAATGACCGTTCATTGAATAGCTGGGATTTGAGTGCACCATCTGGGGAAATACCACTCAGATCCCTGCACATTCAGACGAATGCCAATCGAATGACCTGATTTCACGAACCACCATTGCAATTGTTAAATACAGTTAGAGTATTAATATGCTGAAAGAATTATTGTCCCGAATGGTCTGGAAGTCCAGCGGTGTTCGGTAAGTCGAGTAGCCGATTTTAGTTCCAGGCACTCGACGACCAAACACCGCTGTGCTTTCGTGAACAAAAGATGGCTGCCGCCACGTGTTCAGAATACGAACAGCAGCCACACACGAAACCCATTAATCAACTGGCGATACATTGTTTCAGTAGTTAATGGGAGACACACGACCTCCGTTGTGTGGTTTCCCATTCGGTAGTTTGTTCGTTTTATGAACAGTGTTTGAAAATCACTGTTTGTGGAACTCCAAACGGAACGCGGCGGTGTTCGTATGCTGCAAGCACCGAATGCTCTATACCCATACATATCAAAAAAAGGGGAAAGAAACGAAAAATGCAACATTATGCCTACATACAGTTCTTAAGTGGCTAGTTTTGTCACATCTACCAATAAGCGTGTCTCTTAATGTTAAATAAAATGTAACTTTTATTGTATGATTCCATATAAAATAAACAATATATAATAAGGAAAACGGATAAAATCAAGTATAGAATGTTCAGTCCTCCCTGTATATGCAGTGCTGAGTCATATATAAAGAAAGTAACAGTGTGTGTTAACAAATTAATGTTGAAACCAAATATAATAATGATACACTGTTTGACTAGTGTTAAAGTTAAAAAGGCTTCCTACATATATAAAAAGGGGGAAAGGTACTACTATTACTAAACTATTACAGTGAGAGAGTCTAATGTGCCTTAGACTAACTTGACTAACACTAGTCAAACGGTGTATCATTATTATTTTTGATTTCAACATTAATTCCTTAACACACACTGTTACTTTCTTGCTATATTACTCAGCACTGCATATACAGGGAGGACTGAGCGTTCTATACTTGATTTTATCCGTTTTCCTTATTACACCCTGTTCCAAATTATTATGCAAATTCTATTTAAGTGTCACAAAGATTAAATATTTAGTTTTTCAGTTTAACTCATGGATGGCATTGTGTCTCAGGGTTCTTTTGATCACTGAAAACAATCTCGGACACCTGTGATAATTAGATTGCCAGGTGAGCCCATTTTAAGGAAAAACTACTAAAGGAGGGTGTTCCATATTATTAAGCAGAGCACCATTTTCATGCAATATGGGGAAGAAAAAGGATCTCTCTGCTGCCGAAAAGAGTGAAATAGTTCAATGCCTTGGACGAGGTGTGAAAACAGATATTTCACAAAAACCTAAGCATGATCATCGGACTATTAAGAGATTTTCGGCTGATTCAGAGCACAGACAGGTTTGTGCAGATAAAGGAACATTGACGAAGATTTCTGCCAGATCCATGCATCGGATCAAGAGAGCAGCTGCTAAAATACCATTACATAGCAGCATACAGATATTTGAAGCTGCTGGTGCTTCTGGAGTCCCACGGACATCAAGGTGTAGAGTCCTCCAGAGTCTTGCAACTGTGCATAAACCTTCTATTCGGCCACCACTAACCAATGCTCACAAGCAGAAACGGCTGCATTGGACAGAAAAATACATGAAGACTAATTTTCAAACAGTCCTGTTCACTTATGAGTGCCGTGCAACCCTGGATGGTCCAGACGGATGGAGTAGTGGATGGTTGGGGGACGGCCACCCTGTTCCAACAAGGCTGCAACGTCAGCAAGGCGGTGGTGGACTCATGTTTTGGGCGGGAATCATGGGAAGAGAGCTGGTCGGCCCCCAAAGGCGTAAAGATGACCTCTGCAAAGTATGTGGAGTTTCTGACTGACCACTTTCTTCCCTGGTATAGAAGGAAGAACTTTGCTTTCCGTAATAAAATCATCTTCATGCATGACAATGCACCATCTCATGCTGCAAAGAATACCTCTGCATCAATGGCTGCTATGGGGATAAAAGGAGAGAAAGTCATGGTGTGGACTCCATCCTCCCCTGACCTAAATCCTATTGAGAACCTTTGGAGCATCATCAAGCAAAAGATCCATGAGAGTGGGAGGCAGTTTACATCTAAACAGCAGCTCTGGAAGGCTATTCTGACATCTTGCAAACAAATTCAAGCAGAAACTGTCCAAAGACTCACAAGTTCAACGGATGCAAGACTTGTGAAGCTGCTATCAAATAAGGGGTCCTATGTTAAAATGTAACGTGACCTGTTAAAATGTTTAAAAAGTTAAAATGTTGTTATAAGTTTGATTGAAATAGCTTTTGATTTCAGTAAATATGCTGCAAACACAACAAATGACAATTTTCAGTTCTTTACAACCTATAAAGTGTTTTGAAACTTACTTTGCCTAATAATTTGGAACAGTGCATTGTAAGTTTTTTATATTTAAAAAAAATACTGTTATTAGGAGGTTTGTTCAATAAAATTTGAATTGTACTCTTAATAGTTGATAACATGAGAATTATGCTGACTGTTATTTACATAAATTATTTAGGTAAATGAGAAAAATATCATTTGCATAATAATTTGGAACAGGGTGTGTATATATATATATATTTTATTTTATATGGAATCATACAATAAAAATTAGGTTTTATTTAACATTCTCTTGCTATTAACAGCCTAATGTAGTTGTTCTGGTGCGTATAATAGCTCCCTTCAGGCATTTTCATGCAAACACTGCCTTTTCAGAGAAAAGTCAGTGTTTACATTGCCCCTAGGGACACCTCTAAATGGTCACTCCTTAAATGGCCACTGGAGGTGCTTCCTGGCTCAGTGCTGCACGGTAGGCACTGTCCTGTCGTTCAGCGTCTCCACGCTCTGCATGGGGAGGCTGAATTTTCCTCATAGAGATGCATTGATTCAATGCACCTCTATGAGGAGGTCCTGATTGGCCAAAATGGTGTTTGACCCCGCCCCCTTGACGATTTTAGCCAATCCAATGCTTTCTCCATGGGAAAGCATTGGATTGGCTAAAAACGTCAATTTTGATAATGTCACCAAGGGGTCGGGGCCAGCGCCGGCAGACCTGCACGACGCTGGAAATAAGGTAAGTTTATCATTTTTTTAAGGGGAAAGCCACCTAAATGGTAGGTTTAGCACTATAGGGTCAGGAATACATGGCAGTGTTCCTTTAAGAGACAGACACACTTATTGGTAGATTTTGTTTTCTTTTCTTTTTTCTTATTTCACACACACACACACATATATATATATCACATGTTTTTTTAACTTATGGTTGAGGGATAGTGTGATTTTTAACCTTAAAAGGGATTGGTATTCACAGTTAGAATCACACTTATTACCGAGCCACTCTCTCACCATATTGGACTATTTCACTGGCTCAGAGCACAACCGCATGTTCTGAGTCAATAAAGGGGAGGGAGGGTGGAAGGGAAATTTTAAATGAAAAAAATAAATAAAAAAATAGAAGGCTCATTTTGATTTTGCTTCACTTACTGCAGTAATCTATTTGTAGATGTGTATAGTAGTTGCATCATTTGGAAGTGTACCTCATTTTGACCTCTAAGTCAGATGACAACGTTTTTATGACTCATAATTATGGCTTTTAATAACACTTTAGAAATGTCTGCCTTCTGATCTGTACTTTTAATTGACTACTTTTTTAAGATGTTACTGAAATTAGCTCTAAATCCTAGAACTCTCATAGTGACTATCACATTCACATTGAATTATTTATAGCTGTGCAAGTGTTATGTCTTGAGCAGTCTACTCCAGTCCTAAATGAAAGCCATGTACTCCCAGTCAATTCATCATGATAGAATGTCCACATCTAATTGTGATATTCTTTTCAAATAATTTTTATTAAAGTTTTTTTTTGTATAACAAATGATAATAATACAAACATTGTATTAAGGGTAGGAAAGGAGGGGTAACATGGAAATGGGAAGGGGTATCCATCCATCAATGAAATAAACATATTAAAGTATATGGCAAAAAGAAAAATGTTTTACAACAATGCACTTTAACAATAAATATATCAAAGACCATAAATTGTTTTGATTTTTTCCTCCCATTTATCCCAGTTGTATTTTAGTATTGGGAAACCATGCATATTGGCTCTGTGTGATAGTTCATGTGCCTTATTTTCTAAAATCAAATTAAAAACTTCTCTGAGAGATGGCACATTTTGAGACTTCCAATGTCTAGGTAAACAGGATGTAGCAGCGATCAGAATGTGACCTATGATTATTTTATCTGATCTATTAACAGACTCCGGGAGTTTTTTAAATAAGGCTAGTTCCGAGGTTAAGATACTAATGGTTCCGTTCACTTTAATAATCAGATTGTGGATCATTTTCCAATAATTAATTAACTTGGGGCAGAACCACCAGATATGGGCCATATTGCCCAATCCCCCACAGTCTCTCCAACATCGGTCCGAATACATATTGTTCATGTTATGTAATCTAGACGGGGCCAGGTACCAGCGATATAAGATTTTATAATGATTTTCAAAATGGTCGGTGCAATATGAAATACCTTTTAAACCTGTAAAGAAACCGAACCATTCTTCTAAATCGTACTGGGCACCCAACTCCGTCTCCCATGACAGCATATGTTTTAATTTAATTAAGGGCTTGGCATTATGAGATAAGTAACATAAGGATATCATACCTTTACTAGCGGGGCTGTATAAAATAACTTTCTCTAAAGGAGATATCTCAAGTGATTTATAATTTTTATCGGTTTCAGGTACCTGGTATAGTTCTTTCAATTTATCAATGATTATCAAACATTCCAGTTCACATGCATTCGACAATCCATACTTAAGCTTCAATTTTTCCAAAGAAAGAATAGCATTGCCATAAAAAAAATTGTCCAGATTAGTTATAGAGCAATCCTTCAATAATTCTATTTTTAAGGATGGTATATGATCTTTCAATAATTCAATAGGCATTGCTCTATATAAACTGGGAGACTGGTCATTTTTAAAAACAATGTCCCAGGCCTTAAGCGTAGTCCTGGTGGATAAAAATAATTTTGTAATTCCAGGTCTTTTCTTAGGATTTAACCAAGGTAATTCTGATAGTCTAACCGGTGAAATTTTTGATTCCTCTATCTCCATCCATCTGGGTTTATCATCCTGGTTGTTAAAGCTCACAACCACTGCAGCATTAGTGGCGAAATAATATTTGCGGATATCGGGGACACCGATACCGCCGTTCAATTTATGGTGCTGCAGGGAAGTGAGCCTCACTCGGGCAGGCTTGTTCCCCCATATAAATTTCAACATTGTCGAATGAACTTTATTAAAAAATGATAATGGAATGGACAGAGGAATGGTCCTAAAAAAATATAAAATTTTGGGGAGTATCGTCATTTTAATAGATGCGACCCTCCCCAGCCATGAGAGCTCCATCCCACCCCATCTCTCCATCTCTTTTTGTAGGTCTGACCATGCTTTCCTCAGGTTATGATTGTGCATATTGACCAAATTTTTGCATAAATTAATGCCAAGATATTCCATATATTCAGTTCTCCAATCAAATAAATATGATTTCTTAAGGGCAATGGTTTCCAAATTGTTTAAATGAAACGGAAGGGCTTGAGTTTTGGACTCATTTAATTTGTAATACGATATCTCACCGAATTGAGTTAAAATATCCTTGAGGTGTCTCAAAGATTCTTTTGGGTTTTTGATAGATAGGATTATATCATCTGCAAACAAACCAATTTTGTGAACGGATTCTTTAACTGCAATTCCTACAATTTGTGGGGTTGTCCTAATCAGTTCTGCCAGGGGTTCTATCGCTAAAACAAACAAAATTGGAGATAAAGGGCACCCCTGTCTCGTCCCGTTAGTTAGGGAAAAAGTTTTGGATGTGAAGCCAGAAGCTGAGACATGGGCGGAGGGTGCACAATATAACGCCTTAATTGCTGTGATAAATGATGATGGTATGTTGAACCTATCTAATGTTCTCCATAAATATCCCCAATGTATCCTGTCAAACGCTTTTTCAGCATCAAGAGATAGAAGCAAAGAAGGCGTTTTGGTCATATTGATGTGCTGAATCAAGTTTATGAATCTTCTAGTTCCATCTGGCGCCTGTCTATTCTGCACAAAACCTACTTGATCTTTATTAATTAACAATGGGATTAGTTTGGTTAATCTATTAGCGAGAACTTTAGAATAAATCTTTGAGTCATTATTAATCAGAGAAATGGGCCTAAAGTTAGGGCATCTATCGGGAGTTTTCCCTGGCTTTGGCAAAGTGACTATTCGTGCGCACAAGGACTCCTCTGGCATCTTTCCCTCGGACTTATAGGAATTGAACAATTTAGTCATATGGGGAATTAAAATTTCTGGAAAAGTTTTATAATATAAAATAGTTAATCCGTCGGGACCAGGGGCTTTTCCAGATGGCATAAGTTTAATTGCCTCAGCTATCTCTGCTGCTGATATTTCACATTCTAAGCTTTCTAAATGTACTGGAGAAAGCCGAGGCAATGACACTCTGTCTAAGAATTTATCAATTATTGTTGTAGAAGGCTGGGGGAGGTCCAAATTACATTCTAAATTATAAAGTTTACTATAATACTCTGCGAACATATCACTAATTTTAGTTGGATGAAACACTTTTTGCCCCTGATCATCAAGTAAATATGCTATTTTTGATTGGGCATTCACATGCCGGAGTTTGGATGCCAAAAGAGTTGAGGCCCTGTTACCTTTTAAGTAAAATGTTTTCCTGAGACGTCTCACCATGAGAGATGTACGATCTAAATTAATTTTGTTGATTTTAGCCTTAATTTCTCCTATCATTGCTGATAGGGAGGACGATGGACCAAATTTATTAGCTTGGTTCAAATTATACAGTTCTTTTTCCAATGTTCTTAAATTATTGCTATTAATTCTCTTCAGGTAAGACGCTCTAGAAATAAAATGACCTCTTAACACAGCCTTATGCGCATTCCAAGTCACCTCGCCAGGAACCTCAGGCGAGGCATTCTCCGAAAAATAATCACACAAAGCTTTCTCCGTCAGTGACTTGTTCACAACATCATTTAACAAATAATCACCTAATTTCCAAGTTCTGTTAGGGGCTGATGAGACAATTTCGTCAATATGCATTATGATTGGAGCATGGTCGGACCAGTTGATGTTTAAGATATCAGATTTCAAGATGTGCGGAATTAAAGCACCCTGGACCATAAACCGGTCCAGCCTGGAATACATATTTTTAGAGACAGAATAATACGTAAAATCTCTTTCATTCTCATGCAACAATCTCCAAGGATCGTATAAGCCACATTCAATCATATATCTGGAACATTTATACGCTAATCTGTCACTGTCCCCTCTAAGCTGTCGATCACGGTCTTCCCTAGCGTTATCCAACTCTCCATCCATCACAAAATTCGTGTCACCACACATTACCAAGTTGCCTCTCACATTCTCATTCACTAAGTCCATCAATTTCCTAAAAAACTGCAACTGACCGGTGTTTGGAAAATACATGTTCACAATAGTATATTCAATAGTATTAAGTGATCCTATCCATATTAAATACCTCCCGTCATCATCCTTTATAACTTTGTTTGTCAAGCATGCTACATTCCTGTGAAAAAAAATCGATGTACCTCTAGACTTGGATTTATAAGTGCAATGGTATTGAACTGGGAAAAGCTTTGACATGATTTTATGGTCTTTATCATCTTTAAAATGTGTTTCCTGTACACAAAGCACATCTGATTTGTTGGATTTTGCTTCTTTGAATAATAATCGTCTCTTGTGGGCGGTGTTCAGGCCTCTCACATTAAATGACATATATTTTAAGACCATGGTTTATATACCTGATAAAGGGTAAAGGAACATTCAATCTTGTGAGAGTCCCAGCCACCACCTTCCAAGAGAGAAACATGCAAGTCCAACAAAGCTATTAAAGCAAACTCAAGCTGTGTACTTGTGTGTACAGGAATAATGAGTAAACAGATGTTTACAATTTGCAGATGCCATGTATTATGCATTTTTGTATAAAGCATTGCAGTGTTTCGTGGTCTAAAAACATTTCTACTGAACTTTAAATGATGAATGGACAAAAAATATAAAAGAATAAAAAAGGGGAACAAAAAACTTGGATATATACCCCTATCAGGGGTAAAACAAAAACAGTGAAAGAGGGCCATGAGGGAGAACAAAAAAAGTTTCTCCATCTCAGGGTGTTAGGCCCAGGTTGGGGGGAGAGAAGGCTACCGGGTGCAGGGGGAGCTAATATAGGTAGTAAAAATCAAAAAGCAACTTTTCAAGTATGACAATTGAAAAGGTAAAAAGCACAGAACAATAAAAAAAAAAAAAAAATTAAAAAAAATTATAAAATTAAATAAATATGAAATTATATAAAAAAAAAAATTAATTAAATAAAAAATATTTTGATTGTATAAGTTTAGAAAGTTTTAAATAGAAAGATCGGTTTCTAAAATAAACCGAAAAGGCACAGGACAAATAACCGTTAGTGGAAGAACTCAGAAGTCTGTCATAAAAAGGAGAAACAAATCAAAATTCAAAGTAATCCCGATAAATCGCCGGACTGGAGCAGGACTCGATGATGACCATAGAAAAGGAAGACTATGCCTCTTTGGGCTGGGATCTCAGGAGGTGTCCGATTTGCTTCTCTTGCTGGCCTGAACAGGAGTAGATGGCGAGAGTCTATGAGGCGAAACCTGACGTCCATTCATAGTATTGATGAGTTCCATTCCTTCTTCAGGCGACGTGACTATAAAATTCCGACCATCCATACGGAAAAGGACTTTAACCGGGAATCCCCATCTATATCTTATCCCTCTTCGTCTTAGCTCCGCAGTAAAAAGTTGAAATTCCCTGCGTCGCTTCATTGTTTGAGCAGAAAAGTCTTGAAAGACCTTCATGCTGCTGTAATCTCCTGTGAGACCTGACGTGCGTACTGCACCTAGAAATTCTTCTTTAATGTGATAGTAGTGGAATCTCACTATCACGTCTTTGGGTGCAGCTGGAGGAGCATTGCTGGGTTTGGGCAATCTATGAATGCGATCCAGTAATAAATCCGTATTTTTTGCGTTTGGTAGAGCTGACTTCGCCATTGTCTGGAAATAGCTTTGTAAATCCTGGGAGTCGATATTATCTGGGATCCCCCTGATCCTTAGGTTATTACGCCTACTTCTATCTTCAGCGTCGGCAAGCTTTTCTGCTTGTTGGTGCACTTGCTTTTGGAGCTCTTTTACGGTTTCAACCAGATCCAGATGAGATTGCTCTTGAGAGTGCAATTTATTCTCTATTATTTCTGTACGCTGATTAATGCCCTCCATGGCTCCATATAATGTGTCAAAGTCATTTTTAAAGTCATTTTTCAAATCAACTCTCAAATCTTTGATAAGTTGAATTATCATGCCAGCTGACGGTGGCAGGTCTGCTGCCAATTCAAGTGGCATATTAGGATTATAGGTCGCAGCTTTAAATGTGGTAGTAGCCATATTGGAGGTGGCAGCGGTCATCTTGGAAGTGGAAAATACAGTATCCGGACTGTCAGCCATCTTTGTTGTGGCAACATAACGTGTTCTCTGTGGTAGTGCAGAGAAGGCACTTTTTTGGAGCACTTCAGCCCCTATTTCCATTGAATTATCATCTGGGCTTATTGTAGCCCTTGCTGCCCCTTTAAATACTTTGGGTCGGACAGCAGAGGCCCCCCCCGCCGGGACCGACAGCCTGGAGGCTGAGGATCCCGACGGGGAGCGTGACCTCACACTGCCCTCCCCTTTACTAGCAGCCCGGTCGCTTTTGTAAGTGAGCGACCGGGCTGCCCTGGAGTGAGACCGCGAGCGGCTTGCAGGGAGGTCCTTGCCGCTCGCGGGAGACACAGCACTGTGCTCCGAGCATGCCGAGTGCTCGGAGCACTCTGAGCCGCACACAGGAGTGCCGGCTAGTGCGGTCGCGGTCCCGCCGCCCTCAGGAAGTTGCGGACGGGTCGCGGCCGCACAAGCATAAGTTCTGGGGAGGGAGACCGGGAGGGAGGTAGGGAGGGATTTCCCCGACGCCACCAACGAAAGTTTAAGCGGCGAAACAAGCCGCGAGGCGGGTTTGGAAGCAGGGGAGCGAGCCTGGGAACCCTTACTCACCCCAGCCGCTCCTGCTTCCATTTTCTTCGTCCCAGGAACGGATTTTTCATTTTTCTTTTGTTTCTGCATGGTCACTGCTGATATTGCTTCTTGTATCTTCACTCAAAATTGTTCCATTCAAATTAAAATTGGCACTTTTGGTACAAAGTTGTCCCCCTTATCCAGGAGCCTCTCTATAACGTGGCCATCTAAGATGGTGGCCAAGACACGCCCCCTAATTGTGATATTCTCTAAGGACGAAGCTTTCACCCTTCATAGTAACTCTAACCATACACAGGAGGATTGTACATTAAAGTGTGCACCCGGAGAAATGTGGCATCTGAACTTTACTTTAGAAATACTAATATCAAAAAAGAGTTATAAAATACACATTTTTGCTCTAGTGATAACAAGGTGTAACCAGAGATCTTCTTTAACGTGATAACAAGAAAAACTAAACTTACACAAAACTTTCTAAAGAGACCTAAACAAGGGAAAGGGAAGACAATTTGGCACTGCAAAACAGAGTGACTAGTCACAACCTGCACATCCCCTGTGTACACCTATGATATAAATTGGTCATAATTAAATGTTTTGAGAGCACACACCACACACAATGGAAACTACCACTTTAAATCTTGAGGGTAGTAGTATTATTGTCAGACTACTAGTCAACCTTGGGAAATAAAACATTGCGGCATTGGGTAAGGACAAAGATAGGGGCCTATTAGTGTCTAGAATTTGGAGCTGTGTGTGATCAGAAGGGGCATGTGTCAGAACTTGCAGTTTAGTAAACAAGCACTTGATGTGCAAGGGCCAGGTGATTCCCCCCCTGTCCTGAGCAATCTGAAATATGTGAGAACATGCATTTCATCATTATAAGGTCCTAATATCAGTTGTTTATTACAATAATTCCATCAATGAACCATATTATTATTATTATTATTATTGTTATTTATATAGCCATATGGTTAATGTGAGCTCCTGTTTCCCATTACAGTTATTCTAGACTTCACAGGTTGTGTATATATATATATATATATGTATATTTTGGAATATATATACTGATCAGCCACAACATTAAAACCACTGACAAGTGAAGCAAAAACATTGATTGTATCTTTACAGAAGCACCTATGAAGGGGTGAGATATATTAGGCAGCAAGTGAACAGTCCTTAAATTTCATATGTTTGAAGCAGGAAAAATGGGCACAGAAAAGCTAAGCGAAAAAAAGTGACTTTGACATGGGCCAAATGGCTAGACAACTAAGCCAAAGCATCGCGAAAGCATCTCCAAAATGGCAAGTCTTGTGAGCTGTTCCAGTAAGAAGTGGTTAATACCTACCAAAAGTTGTGAAAGGAAGGACAACCAGTGAACTGGTGTCAGTATCATGGGCGCCCAAGGTTTATTGATGCACAAGGGGAGCGAAGGCTAGCCCGATCATACAGATATGCTACTGAAGGACAAATTGCTGAAAACCTTAATGCTGGCCATGATAGAATGGTGTCAGAACACACAGTGCATCACAGTTTGCTGTGTATTGGGGATGCATAGCCCCAGACCAATCAGAATGCCCATGATGACCCCCGTTCACGGACAAAAGCGCCTTCAATGGGGACGTGAGCATCAGAAGGAGTGGTCTGGGTGCCAACTCCCACTACCATTAACCCTACAACTGTAATTATTGCAGTTTTCATAAACTGCAATAATTACTTTGCAGGGATAAGTCCTCCTCTAGTGGCTGTCTACTAGACAGCCACTAGAGGGCACTTCCTGGTCCATATCACAGGTTTTCTGTGCTATAGCGTCGCTGGACGTCCTCACGCTGTGTGAGGACCTCCAGCGTCACTAAAATTCCCATAGGAAAGCATTGAAAAGCATTTTCAATGCTTTCCTATGGAGAGGGCTATTGCGCGTGTGCGGCATTGCCGCGCATGCACATTAGGTCTCCCCAGCCGGCGGGCAGGGTCAGTCTCCCCCGCCGCCTGACGTAATGAAGGGGAGGAGCAGCGACGGAGGAAGAAGCAGTGACGTGGGACATCGTCACTGCCTTTGGTAAGTGACTGAAGGGGTTTTCACCCCTTCAGCAACTGGGGATGGGAGGTGGGGGGGGACCTGCAGTGCCAGGAAAACAGATTGTTTTCCTGGCACTGGAGTATTCCTTTAAAGGATTTACTGCTAATGTCTTGGTGCCAGATATCACAGGACACATTTAGAGGTCTTGAGGAGTTCATGCTTGAAAGAATCAGAACTTTTCTAAGAGCACAAGGGGCACCGACACATTTCTTAGGCAGTTGGTTTTAAAGTTGTGGCTGATCAGTGTGTGTGTATGTATGTATATACATACACAAACACAAAGAAAAGATAATGGTTTGCACACATAAGAGAGACCCCTTCTGGACTAACTTAATATTACACTTATTCTTCAGATTGTGCACAATGAATTTATTGAAGACAGCCTCAGCACCCAGTACCACACAGAAAATATCTACAACAGATTATGCAAAGGCCAAAATAGTGTAATACAATTACAACACCAAATAGTGTACTTTTGTTTTACGGTTCAACTCACAAATGTACCGTAGGTAGAATAGTAAACCTGTCTTTAATAGTGATGATAATCTCTGTTCAAGTGGATCTTCTAAACGCTCAGAGATGCATGCAAAGACAAATAATAAAAACCATAGTGCAACACTTTTAAATCACAAACACTCTGCTTTATTATGGTACACTTACAAAATGTACGAAGTTAAAGGAACACTATAGTGCCAGGAAAACAAACTCATTTTCCTGGCACTATAGTATTAATAGGTCCCCCCCACCCTCATGGCCAAACCTCCCACTGGGTTGAAGTGGGAGGAAGGGGTTAAAATCTTACCTTTCTCCAGCGCCGGGCTCCCTCGGAGCTGGGGACTCTCCTCCTCCTTCCGACGTCATCGGCTGAATGCGCATGCGTGGCAAGAGCCGTGCGCACATTCAGTCAGTCCATAGGAAAGCATTTTTAATGCTTTCCTATGGACGCTGGCGTCTTTTCACTGTGATTTTCACAGTGAGAAGCGTGGAAGCGCCTCTAGCGGCTGTCAGTGAGACAGCCACTAGAGGCTGGATTAACCCATATGTAAACAAAGCAGTTTCTCTGAAACTGTTATGTTTACAGCAGGCAGGGTTAAACCTAGATGGACCTGGCACCCAGACCACTTCATTAAGCTGAAGTGGTCTAGGTGCATATAGTGGTCCTTTAATCAGCACACAATGTAGTGATAAATGGTGATTTATTCAGTAATCAAACACAGAGTGGCAACGGTTCAACAATAAACATGTCTTTCTCAAGTTTTAATGCAAGTGTACTATACTTAACAATACATAAGTGAACATACTGTGATTCATCCAATCACTAGGTAGTACACATGTGCAATTCGTTTCGGTCCGAATATGAATTCGAAAAATTTCGGGCAATTCGGACATTCGGGTACTTCCAAATGTCTGAATAGCCGAATTGCCGAAGTGCCGGATTGCTGAGGTCCCGAAGTTCAGAAATTACCGAATTTCCAAAGTGTTGAAGTTCTGAAGTGCCAAAGTATAGAAGCACTGTATTGCCTAAGTACTAATATACTTACTCAGTGGAAGAAGAAGAATGTTACACTGTAAACAAGTTAAAATAAAAAGTATTCAAACATAGCAAGGATTCAGCTGTAAGCATTTGCAACACTTACAACAATCAAGTAACATACATTCATATAAAATGTAAGTTACTTAGCCTGTCAATGGAATGACAGGAATTAATAAGTAGATAACTCCCTAATTCCCACGGTATTAGGGAGCTATCTACTAAAAGGCTGAAAGATCTGAATTGGTCTTTCAGCCAAATTTACTAATACTAAGTAAATACTAATTAGGGGGGGGGCCAGGGGGTAGGACATTAGGTCCCCCCTCAATTAGTATTTAGGGCCCCCACCCACCGCCCAGGGGTGGGGTCCAGGGGGGAGGACATTTGGTCCCCCCTAATTATTATTTAGGACCCCCACCCATCGCTCAAGGGTGGGGGACAGGTGGGAGGACTTTAGTGGCGTACATACCAGGGTCGCAGGGGTCGCGGTTGCGACCGGGCCCGGCCCACCAAGGGGCCCGGCCACCCCGCGACCCGCGACTCCTCTTCAGCTCCCTCGCGGTGCGCGAGGGAGCTGAAGAGGAAGCACTGAGTGCTCCCTCGCGCGCCCGCCTGCCCGACCGACCGCCCACCTGCCCGCCGGGGTCAGCAGCACCACTGGACACCAGGGAATCCCCCCAGCACTCCAAAAGGTAAGGAGGCTGGGGGATTACATTTAAAAAAAAAACGCAGGAGTGTGAGTAGAGTGTGTGTTAGTGAGGTTAGAGGTGTGAGTGTTAGGAGTGTGTTAGTGTTAGAGGTGTGTGCTAGAGTGTGTGAGGTTGAGTGAGTGTTAGTGTTAGAGGAGTGTGTGTGATGTTGAGTGTGTGAGGTTAGAGTGTGTGAGTAAGAAGGTTAGGAGGAGTGTGTGTGAGTGTTAGAGGTGTGAGTGTTAGAGTGTGAGGTAGGAGGAGGTTAGGAGTGAGTAAGGAGTGTGAGTGTTAGAGTGTGTGTGAGTGTTAGAGTGTGTGAGTGTTAGAGTGTGAGTGTTAGAGTGTGAGTGAGTGTTAGAGTGTGAGTGTTAGAGTGAGTGTTAGTGTTAGAGTGAGTGTTAGTGTGTGTGTGTCTGCTAGTGAGTGTTAGTGTGTGTGAGTGTAAGTGTGTGTGAGTGTTAGAGTGTATGTTAGAGTGCGTGTTAGAGTGAGTGAGTGTGTCTGCTAGTGAGTGTCAGTGAGTGTTAGAGTCAGTGAGTGTGTCTGCTAGTGAGTGTCAGTGAGTGTTAGAGTGAGCGTTAGAGTGAGTGAGTGTGTCTGCTAGTGAGTGTCAGTGAGTGTTACTGTGTGTGTCTTACTGAGTGTGTGTGTTAGTGAGTCTGTTTGATGTCTGTTAGTGAGTGTGTGTTGGTCAATGAGAGTGTATGTTTTGTAAGTGAGTGTGTATGTATGTCTGTCGCTGAGTGTGTCTCAGTAAATGTGTGTGTCTGTTAGCTAGTGTGTATGCGTCTGTAAGTGAGAGTGTGTGTCTTCAGCACTTACCTTTCTCCAGCGCCGGACCCCCTTGGCGCTGGGGATCCCTCAGCCTCTCAGCTCCGAATGCACAGCACGATTCAAATCGCCCATAGGAAAGCATTACTCAATGCTTTCCTATGGACGTTCAGTGTGCTCCTCTAGCGGCGGTCAGTGAGACAGCCACTAGAGGCTGGATTAAACTCAGTGAAACATAGCAGTTTCTCTGAAACTGCTATGTTTCAGCTGCAGGGTTAAAACTAGAGGACCTGCACCCAGACCACTTCATTGAGCTGATGTGATCTGGGTGTCTGTAGTGGTCCTTTAAGTGTGTGCATCTGCATGCACTGGCGTGATACCGCGGTCGCAGGGGTCGCAGCCCTGTAACCCCTGCGACCAGGTGCCCACCGCCATGTGTTGCGCCCCGCTGCGCGGGGGGGCCCACTGATCAATTTTCGCACCAGGGCCCCATGGGTCATGTGTACGCCACTGGGTCCTCCCCATTATTTTACTTTAGGGCCCCCACCGGGTCCCCCCTTATTCTAACACACAGGCTGCTCACTGTTTGCTAGACATGCCGCTACTCGCGGTATAGCGAGTAGGGGCTTAATTTACTAATACTAAGTAATCTTTACTTAGTATTAGTAAATTTGGCCGAAAGACCAATTTAGGTCTTTCAGTCTTTTGGTAGATAATTCCCTAATACCGTGGGAATTAGGGAGTTATCTACCAAGCGGCTGCAAGAGAAGTTCTGAAATTCCGAAGTTCAGAAGTGCTGAAGTTGCCGAAGTTCCGAAGTGGCGAAGTTACCGAAGTGGCGAAGTGCAGAAGATCCGAAGTTGCCAAAGTTCTGAAGTGTCGAAGTGCCGAATTGCCGAAGTCCCGAATTTCGGAATGCTGAACCGAAAATGTTTCCCATGCACATGCTTACTAGGTAGTGTATCAATCACTTGAACAACAAAGTAAACAAACTAATTAGGGTTTTAAACCTGAACCTTAGGCATGTAGAATAGCAGGGAATTAACCCTTAACAATCAGGAGTTTTAAAGAGTTTACAGTCATTATGCAATAACAATAATAAATGATCACTTTCAAAAGAAGATTGCAAAAGAGGGCAGGAGACACAGATGAAGGACAGCAAGCCCAGATAATATTGAGATGAATACTAAGGAAATGAATGCTAGGTCATATTAGAACTGTATTGTTGATTTCATCTCACGACTACTGTGATGCAACATAATGATTGAGAAAATAGTCAGCAACCTGATGGACTGTCTGAACTTAGAGGGTTACTCTAACCCTTTGCTGCAATTAGCATTTTTAAGTTTGCAATGCCCTATTGGACACAGGGGCAGATCCAGAACCTAATTTTGGGAGGGGCACTGGTAGACTATTTAAAAGAACAATCCAGGCACAACCACTACAGCTCAATGTAGTGGTTATGGTGTCAGGAGTGCCATGGTGCCCTCCCAGAATAAGTAGTCAAACAGTTTGACAGCTAAACTGGGGTTTGCCGGGATATGAGCTGTAGTAAGGTATAGGGTCAGTAGTGTGTGAGGGGTGAAGTATATGTGTTTCTATCTATATTTAAAAGAAGAAAAACTACCACAACAAGAGGACATAGTCTTAAATTAGAGGGACAAAGGTTTAAAAATAATATCAGGAAGTATTACTTTACTGAGAGGGTAGTGGATGCATGGAATAGCCTTCCAGCTGAAGTGGTAGAGGTTAACACAGTAAAGGAGTTTAAGCATGCGTGGGATAGGCATAAGCCTATCCTAACTATAAGATAAGGCTAGGGACTAATGAAAGTATTTAGAAAATTGGGCAGACTAGATGGGCCGAATGGTTCTTATCTGCCGTCACATTCTATGTTTCTATGTTTCTATGTTTCTATGTGTGTAAGGTGTGCAGTGTGTGAGAGGAGTGAAGTGTGTGAGGGGTGCAATGTGTGTGTAGGATGCATTGAGGGGTGCAGTGTGTGTGTTTAGGGTGCATTGAGGGGTGCAGAGTGTGTGAGAGATATATTGTGTGTGTGGAGGGGTACAGTGTGTGTGCAGGGGTGTATTTAGCCCAAGGCAAACTAGGCATTTGCCCTGGGTGGCACTATTTAAGGGGCGGCAAAACATGCCGCTCCCAAACGCCCATTGAGACGTCCCCTGTATTTTCAATGTCATGGCGGGGTGGGGAGGAGAGCAAGAGCTGGTCAGCTAAGAGACACCCTCCCCTTCTCTCCCCCTCTACCTCCCTCCAGCGGGCGGCTGGCTTACCATCCGAGGTGGCGAGGGAGCTGTGATCTCTCTGCTCTGCTCCCTTGCGCACCGTTTACATATACTCACAGACATACACACATACACTCACAGACATACACACACACATACACTCACACACACTCACAGACACACATACACTCAATAATTACCTTGAGGGGTTAACTCCACCTCTAGTGACTGTCTACAAGACAGCCACTAGAGAGACTTCAGGGTGGTTAGGTGACCAAAAGCCGCCTAACTGATGATGGACGCCCTCACGCTGTGCATGAGGAAGCCAGGCATCTGCTAAATCCCCATAGGAAAGAATTGATACAATGCTTTCCTATGGGGAAGCCTAATGCAAGCGCAGAGGAGGAGCTTGACCCAGCGCCGAGGGACATCGGCGCTGGATTCAGGTAAGTGACCAAAGGGGTTTTAACCCCTTCAGTGCCGCAGGGGGCACTGTAGAGAACTATAGTGCCAGGAAAACAACCTTGTTTCCCTGGCACAATAGTTTCCCTTTAAAAGTAGTAGGGAAAGGAAGGTGTGGGGAAAATTTAGATTAGTGGGTGCCCAGGTTTAGTCATGCCTAGGGCAGTGCAAAACTAAAATACCTCACTATGTGTGTGGGTGTGGAGTGGTGCAGTGCGCATGTGTGCGTGTGTGAGGGGGCAATGTGTGTATGTGTGAGGGGGTAGTGTGTGATGGGTGCAGTTTGTGTGTGTGTGTGATGGGTGCAGTGTGTACGAGGGGGCGTTGTGTATTTTAAGGGTAATAGTGTGTGTTTGAGGGGTGCAGTTTGTGTGTGTGTGTGTGTGTGAGGGGTGCAGTGTGTGTGAGAGATGCAGTGTGTGGGGCAGTGTTTGTGTTGGGTGGGCAATGTTTGAGTGTTTGTGAATGTGTGGTTGTGAGCATACGCAGGCCTAGGCCCTGAAGTGCCTCACGTGGATAGACAATTGCCAAAAACCTCTGTATGATAAGGACAAGGATCCAGGAGATAACAATAACAGTACAAAAATAAAAAATATTGTAACGGATCACCTGGCACCCCGACTGGGTACCTTCGTTGAAGGATGCTCCTAGCGCTTCCTGAGGACTCCAAGCACTGCAGCAGACACCACAATGGTGGTGGGAAAGTTATTGTGTGTGGGGGTAGGGAGGCAGATTAATATATATACGTTTTTGCTTTTTTTAATAAAAATAAATAATCTTTCTATCCCCCTCCCTTCTTACCTTTGCTCACTCCGGTGAGGAGTGAACTCTACCTTGTAGTTCCTGGGGTAGAGTTCACTCTTGCGAGATCGGAGCGTTGCCATAGTAACCACGGCAACGCTCCGACCTCGCGAGAGGAACCTGGTGGAGCTGCAGAATAGAGCTCCCCCGGATCCTCTCTCCCTCCCTCCCTCCCTAGCCGCATCTCAGTGCCTGTGGGCCAGTGGGAAGATAGTTTGTCTCCCCACCGGCCCATGAAGGCACACTACAGGGCCGGTGCTCTGATAGCGCTGGCTCTGCATGGGCCGGCAGGGAAAATACACTGATCTCCCCTGTCGGCCTCGGCCCTTGGCCATCGCGAGCCATGACTCTCTGTATCCAGCGCTGCAAGCCCGCCTTTCAATACAACGAATGCTCCTTACACACACACAAAATACAACCCTATTATTTTATACTTTAGGTGTTAGTGGAGCCTCATGCTTGAATTTCACCTAAGGCCTCATAAAGTCTAGAGCCGCCTCTGCCTGGATTTAAGTGCCTCCACTACTGCCATTTTGTCTCTGAACGACTGAAAGCAGATTAGGACATCTCAGGAGGCCATCACTGGAGCTCTAGTCAATTTTATTAGCTGGTACACGCCATCCACTGTTATTCTCTTGGAGCAGAATGTGAGCCAGTAGGCCTCGGATGAAATGTGGTAATGGGCCTAATGCACTTGCAGAACTTGCCGCATATGTGCATTAGCCCCCCCTTTCTGATAAAATTGGAGAAGCTGGAGCACTGTTCTAGCTCTGAGGAACATCGGTGTTAGAATCAGGTGAGTAAATAAGGTGTTTTTTTAAACCTTTCTGAGCTTGGGAGGGAGGGGGAGAGTAGAGGACCAGAGGGCATTATTGTGGTATGAATACAACTTTATAGAATTATAGAATCCCTCTAATTATTCAATTATTACATTTTGGAAGATTGCATCTTTCTCAATGCTTCTTATACAAATGAACATATAACATATTTGTAGAGAAACTATAAGGAGCAGCAACACCAAAAACAAAAAGGAGCCATGACATTGACCCTGAAGTCGAAACATTGCCGGTTCCACACTGGTGGAATAAATCTCTTTGACTTTTATTTTGGCGTTGCAGTTCCTTATTGTTTCTTTACTGCATGTGAGCTAGTTGTAAGGGGACCTTGGAGATTTGCATCCAAATGTCTAGTGGAGTGCTAGCCCTCCATATTGCTTTGTATGAGTATGTATTCAGGGCCGGTGCAAGGATTTTTGCCGCCATACGCAAAAAAAATAATTTGCCAACCCCAATATTGTGACATTAAAATGGGTGCCTACAACACAGTCTGGCCAACTGGCCAGTATTTAGGCTCTTTGCTCAGTTTGCCTGGGCAGCTCATTTGCCCAGACTCCAGTAAAGTCGCCACGTACTACGCATAGGCGTGCCCTGCCTATTTCATTAGGTTGTGCATCACCCTATGTTATTTTGTTAATGTTATGTAATGTGAATATTTATATAAAATGTTAAGTGGATGTGTGGTGCAGGGTTGCTGTAAGTGTAGTAGCTATGTGTAAGGTGTGTGTTGTGGCTTTCTGTGTGTGATATATTAGGCTGACTGTGTGTAATGTGTGTATAGCTGTGAGTGATATGTGTAGCCGTGTGAGTAGCCGTGAGTGATAAGTTTGGGCCGCTGTGAGTGTTGTGTGCGGCAATGTGTGATGTGTGGGACATACATATGGGAAGTAGTTGAAGATGGAAGAGGGGAGGTTTAGATGCTGTAGTAAGGGTTTAAAGGCAGCTGACAGCTTTAAGAGCTGTAGTGGATGGATAGGGGCTGTAGTGGGGGATAGGGGCAATAGTGGGGTAAAAAAAACAGTAGTGGGGAGCTAGGTGTTGTTATGGTGGGGGTTAGAAGCTGAAGTGAAGGTTACAAGATGTAGTGTGGGCATAGGGGGTTATAATAGGGGTAAGGGGCAGTAGAGGGGGGTTAGAGGCTTAAGTGTTGGGTTAGAAGCAGTAGTGGAGGGTGTGAGGCTGAAGTGAGGGGTTACGAGCTGTAGTGCTGCGTTAGAGGCTATAGTGGGCTTTTAGACCTGTAGTTAGGGTTAGGGACAGTAGTTACAGGTTAGAGGCTGAAGTGCTAGGTTAGGATCTTTAGTGGGGGTCAGGACCTAGAGTGGCAGTTAGGTGCAGTAGTGAGGGATTAGGGGAAATAGGAGGTCAGGACCTATAATGAGGTGTTTAGGAACAGAAGTGGGAGATTAGGACCATTAGTTGGGGGATAGGGGCTTCAGTGGGAGGTTAAAAACTGTAGTGGAGGGATAGGGGTATCAGTGGGGATATAGAGGCAGTAGTAAGGGTTAATGGATATGGTGGGGAATTAAGGGCAGGTGTGGGGGATTAAGGGATATGGTGGGGAATTAGGGGCAGTAGTGGGGGTTAAGGGATATGGTGCAGAGTTAGGGGCTGTAGTGGGGAAGATAAGTGCAGTAGTGGGGGATTAAGGGATATGGTGAGGAGTAAGGGGCAGTAGTGGGGGGTTAGGGGATCATAAGAGTAAGGTTACAGAAAATATATTTTTAAAAAATAAAACTAGAAAACTAAATGTTTCTTCCTCCTTCCCTGAGGCTTACCTTGGTTCCCTGGTGGTACATTGGGAAATGCAGCATGTCTGCAGAATCACTACAGTAGGAGGAGCAAGAACTTGGTCTGGTTGTATAGACCAAGTTCTCCCTCCTTCCTCTCGGCAGCAGGGGCGGCTTGTGACTGCGGACCGTGG